GCCACTTGCTCTGCTGCAAACTTTCGATGTCTTGGGCAGCAGCTCGCTCCACATCCTGTGCCCGCTAGCCAGCTCTGACGATCAATTTCTCGGCATTGCTGGGTCTGCCAAAAATCTGCGGGCTAGGTCCTGACAGTCAGCGTTGCGGTGAGCAAAAGACTCCACGCCAGCCCTAAGCCAGTGCTGGCTGCAATGATCGTTTCAGCGCCCTGCAGGCCCGCTTCGCCCAAGCGACCTGAAGTGCTGCTCGAAGCTTGTCCCGCAGGAGGTGGTCTCGGTGCACTGTCGAAGCCCTTGCGTCGGAACGATTCGTCCTCGGTGTCCGTGTCCAAGCCAGGTCCCAGAAAATTAGGCCTTCGCACGTGGGGGAACGCCCTGCCTCGGTAGCCGTCTTCGTCAGCGCTGTAAAAGTCGCATTCCACAGCAGCCCCAGGTCCGTGCGCGGACGCGGGTTGTCCACCGGCGGCTCAGTGGACTGAGGGAATTGTCCAAGTAGAAGTGGCTGGACGTGTGCATGGTGGCCTTGCGGTTCGGCAAGAAAAAACGGTTGGGCAAGCGAAAGTCAAGTGGTTTCCCTGCGTTGATAAATGCCAGGACTTCCCCGTAGTCGGGGCGCCTGCGAAATCCCATCACACGTTGTTCCTCCATTGGTTTTTCGCTTAGTATGCGCCGCCCACCACGCCCGATGCTTCAACATTTTGTCGACCAGCTCTGGGAAGATCCTTCGTTTGGTGGGCACCTTGCGGAACGAAGCCTGGCACAACGCCTGACTCCATGGTGTTTCTGACGAGTTGGTCACCTGCCCTTTGAGGGTTTGTCGGCGTTCGGCCCCTGCCCGGAAAGCTGTGGTTGACGGCCTCGGTGAGTCTACCCATGGCATCTGCGGAGGCCTCGCCTTCCTGCTTGAGCTGTCGGATCGCCGGGTCTTAGTACTTGCTCGGACTGACCGCTTGGTGTGACTCACAGTGCAACTCAAAAAAAAGCCTTGGCGTCCATGAGTCCATGAGTTCCTCATGACTCATCGCATTTCGCATGAGCGAGTTCAAGTTGGAAGAGGGGTACTTTTTCCAGAGCTGCTGCAGCATCGGGGCCTTCTGACCTGCTTTCATGAGATCATTCCCCTAGGCTCGCATTCACCATCCCACATTTGGCATCACATTTGCAGCTTGGACTAAGCTTTTGTGTGCTATCCATGTGCGATTGCCCATGCCATATCCTACAATAAGGAGGCTTCAACTCTGAGCAATGCCCAAACTGCACCACAACACTGTTGCAAGGCGGACACTGGCGGCATCTCTTCAGATTCATGTGCCTGGAGCCAGGCCGCGCGTTTATTTTTGAGAGGGGACTGTTGTGAGGCGGAGTTTTTTTGAATGTGATGCAGTGTTTTGGATGAAGTTGATTTTGTTGCGAGTGCAAAGCAGATGTACGAGGGTTTAGGGTTATAACGCCGACGGTATAAATGCCCTGACCTTAGGTGCATCAGGTTTAGACATTAAAACCTTTAAGCCTTATAAGGCTTTTAAAGGTTGAATTAAATTCAGGTTTGGGCATTCAACCTAGGTTAAACCTTAAACCCTATAGTGCAGCCCTACAGGGTTTAAACCCTATAAGAGGTTAAAGGTTTAGAGTTTAAGGTTTAGGGCATTGCAAAAACGTAACCCTCAGGGATTTAATCACTTTACTGTTTTCCTTAAGCCTGAAAGCATATAGTGTTTGGGTTTAGGGTTTTTACGCAAAACTCTATAGGATAAGAACCGTATAACCCTATGTGGCATGGACCTTTAGGGTCGATTTGGCACGCCCCTTTGTTTACTATTTACAAAACTTTTTGAAAGTAGTAGTGGTAGTAGTAGTAGGAGTAGTAGGAGTAGTAGTAGTAGTAGTAGGAGTAGTAGTAGTAGCAGTAGCAGTAGTAGTAGTAGTAGTAGTAGTAGTAGTAGTAGTAGTAGTAGTAGTAGTAGTAGTAGTAGTAGTAGTAGTAGTAGTAGTAGTAGTAGTAGTAGTAGTAGTAGTAGTAGTAGTAGTAGCAGTAAATGTAGATCCAGCCGGCCAACAGCCAGACTTAGGCAAGCACCCTCGCTTCGTGTTTCCTGTGACTTGGTAGGGGCCAGAGGTTTGTCGTATGTCCCCTCCCTTCGTCCCTTCGTGTTGTAAGGGTTTTGTAAGGGCTTTGGAGGTTTGTGTGCTTCCCCTTTCTCGTTCTTATAGGTTTTGGGGGAGCATCAAAATGATTAACATATATGATGTGTTTCCGTGCTCGTATTATGAGGGCTAGTGCCTGCCCTAGAGGTTTGTCGTATGTCCCCCCGCTTCGTGTTCCTGTGATTTGGTAGGGGGCTAAAGGTTTGTCGTGTGTCCCCTCCCTTCGTCCGTTGTAAGGGTTTTGGGAGGGTCCTGGAGGTTTGTCGTATGTCCCCTTTGTTCGTGCTTGTAGGGTCTGGGGAGTGTGTAGATGATAATCACATATCATGTGCTTCCGTGCTCGTATTATGAGGGGCTAGTGATTGGCCTGGAGGTTTGTCAGATGACGCCCCCGCTTCGTGATCCTGTGATTTGGTAGGGGCCTAAAGGTTTGTAGTGTGTCGCCTCCCTTCATTCCTTCCTATTGTAAGGGTTCTGTGAGGGCCCTGGAGGTTTGTCGTATGTCCCCTTTCTTCTTGCTTGTAGGGTTTGGGGAGCATCTAGATGATAGAGGTTTGTCGTATGTCGTCTCCCTTCGTCCCTTCGTGTTGTAAGGGTTTTGTGAGGGCCCTGAAGGTCTAGGGCAGTTACTAGCGCCTCATAGTACGAGCACGGAAGCAAATGATAATGACAATCATCTAGACGCTGCCCAAATCCTACAAGCACGAAAAAAGGGGACATACGGCAAATTTGCAGGGCCCTCACAAAACCCTTACAACAAGAAGGGACGAAGGAAGGGCACATACGACAAACCTCTAGGACCCTCACGAAACCCTTGCAACACGAAGGGACGAAGGGATTGTATCTAATTTCGTATATGGTAAAATGACATACGACAAATCTCCAGGACCCTAGCAAATCACATGAACACGAAGCAGGGAGACATAAAACAAACCTATAGGGCAGTCACTAGCCCCTCATAATTCGAGCACGGAAGCAAATCATATATGATAATCATCTAGACGCTCCCCACGCCCTACAAGCACGAAGAAAGGAGACATACGATAAATCTTCCAGGTCCAACAAACCCTTGCAACTCAAAGGGACGAAGGGAGGGGGCACACGACAAACCTCTTTAGGCCCCTACCACATCGCAGGAACAGAAAGCGGCGGGACATACGACAAACCTCTATGACAAACACCAGCCCCTCATAATACGAGCACGGAAGCAAATGATATATGACAGTTTTCTAGAAGATCCCCAAACCCTCTAAGAAGAAAGAAAGGTGACATACGACAAACCTTCCCCCAGCAAAGCAATTTCAACACGAAGGGACGAAAGGAGGGGACATTCGACAAATCTCTGGCCCCTACCCTAAACCCTAAACCCTAAACCCTAAAGCTTTTAAGCCCTATAAGGTTTTCAGAGGTTTAAGGCCTGGGGATTTAAAATTAAGTTTGGGCATTCAAACTAGGTTAAGCCTTAAACCCTATAGGGCCCCTTTCGGGTCAGGGTTTATCTACCCTACCGGGTTAGCCCTTTAGGGTATAAACCCTATAAGAGGTTAAAGGTTTAGGGTTTAAGGTTTAGGGCATTGCAAAAACTTAACCCTAGTCCCTCAGTGATTCAACCACTTTACTGTTTTCCTTAAGCCTTAAAGCATATAGGGTTTAGGGTCATAACGCTAAACTCTATAGGATTTTTAACCTCATATCCCTACATTATTAGCACCCACATCATCAAGACATGTCCTGTAGGGTTCGGGGACGCGAGAATACAATGAGCAGATATCCTTTTACTCGCACATGTGACATCGCAACCTTCAGATATAGCGCTGGAACCAAGGTGAGATTGGATATCGTTTTGTGAAGCAGTTGTGGCTGTGACATCCATGTTTCGAAACAGGGGCTGTGTTTCGAAACAAAGGCTGTGTTTCGAAAGCAGGGAACTTCCGAATAACAGGTCTGGAAATACGTGAAAGCAAACCAACTGTGGCACAGCTAAACGGCTGTTACGCTTGAAGGGCTGTTACGCTTGGGGGGGGGGGGACTCCTGCCAAGATGGGCCAACTTCCAAGGACCCCCTCCCCCCCCCCACCCCCCAAATCATGTATGCCAAACATCATGGTCAAGATTCCCACTTATGAATGGACTGTTGTGAGGCCATAAGTTTAAAGTTGTAAGCGTTTACTAACCCCTAAACCTTTTTAAATGACTGAAAACTACCCAACAACTCCGCCTCACAACAGTCCTTTCTGTTATTCTTGGGGCAGGGGTGCTTGTTTGGGTCTTAAACAGTGATGTTGGGGTAGTAGTCTGGTGCAAGGTTGGTCGGCTGAAAACATTTGAAGTCTTCGTTGGGGGTTGCGCATTTTTCATGCCTATGTAGTGTCAGGGTGCACCACTTCGTATGTCCCGGGGGGGGGAGTCCAAGACTTCATTGTCATCAGCATGACAGAGAAAGCAATTGCGAGCCCATTGCTGAGTACAGGATTAGGTCCTCTCCCTTCCAAGGTCTCTGAAGGGGAGACCGTAGCGACGACCACTTGCATCTAGCATTTAACAAGGGTTGGTTCTGTAGGAACCTGATGCAAAATGAGTCCCTTTGCAATACCAAAGGCACAGCAACGAAGCAAGTCCACCTGCACATTCTTCCATGGGCTAGTCCATGTTACATTGCCAGTCTACGAAGACACATGGAAGTAGCGTTGCGACAGCTTGTTCGCATGAGACTCCTTGCACTCCTTTTGCACTTGCTCTGCATGCCCGTTCATAAACGTAGAACCCGCGCAGTGGAGGCAGATTTCAGGGTGCATTTGATGTCGAAAGCCATTTCGGCTCCGTCGTGCAGCCTGTGAGGTACATAAACGCGTGCAATGGAGGCCACAGGCAGATGGCAGTTTGCGAAATTCGCATGCCTCATAACCCTTGCTGTGGCTGAAGAAAACCTCACAGCGCCGGCGCAGAAAGCACGGGGCAGCTGCCAGTCCTTTGGTTGTTCCAATGAGTTTCGACCCTACCAGAGCTGTCAGTGCAACGACAAGTGCGAGGGCTACGGAAACTGCTGTAATGACTTCAGGGCCTGTTCTGGCAGCTGTAAGTCTCTTGGCTGCCCTTCCGATTACCAGGCAAGTCGTATCTGCCAATGCAACACCCAATGCGAAGCCTTTGGGAACTGCTGCGCAGACTACAAGGCCTGCAAGGGGTCTCCATCATCTCCAGCACAGCCAGTGGCACAACGAGGACAGGGTGCAACGTGCCCCGGCACGATCGAGCTGCGCGGACATGGCTCCATGCGCCTGTCGAATGCATACTGGGACAAGCCCAATGAGCCGGCTGGCAAGGTGAGGCTCCAGAATGGAGCCATCGAGGTCTTCATGAAGGGGCGGACTTACTTCTCAGACGTCTGCCAGACCGGTAAGTTCTCCAACCAGCATTACAGCAGCTTGCAGCTGCTTGGCAAACGCATGCGATGGACCACAGATGTCTCCAACGCTGAATGTGGCTGTAATGCCGCTGTGTACCTCGCCTCCCTGCCTCAGAATCGTGAAGTCTCCGGCTGTGAGGATTACTACTGCGACGCGAACAGCGTCTGTGGAGTGCGATGCGCCGAGATCGATCTGCAAGAGGCCAACAAGCACGCCTTCCACTCTGTGCTGCACCTCGCGCAGGATGGCTCAGGCAAGGGTTCTGGGTATGGTGGTGGATCCACATGGAATTCGCACCGGGACTGGACTCGGCAGCAGTATGGGCCTGGAGGCCGCTGCATCGACACCCGCAGGCCTTTCCAGGTGGAGGTTGGTTTCCCCACAGATGGGCGGGGCCGCCTGCGTGCGTTGACCACACGTTTGTCACAGAGCGGAGGTGGTTGTGACCTGTCAGCTGAAATCTCTGCCGAGTCCTACCGGTTCGGTGGAAGCTCCAGTGTGGAGGAGCTCACTCAGGCTTTGGCTCGTGGCATGACACCCATCGTTAGCTACTGGAGCGCACCAGATATGCTTTGGATGGATGGCAAAGGAGCAGACGGGCTCGGGCCCTGTGCCCGGGATGAGCCGCAGCGCTGCGGCGACTCCGCAAGGTTTTGGGATTTCGCCGTCGAGAACTTGTGGGAGCGGCTAATTTAAGCACGAAGTACCCTTTTCTAGCAGCAGATAGCGAAGTTAGCGGTACTAGCATTTTAAGCTAATTTTGACAGCCGAGTCAGGTCCAAGGAGACCAGTCCAAGGGCTGCTGTTTAATTCGGTGCAAGCCCTGTGGAGCTTGCAGCCCCAGACACTCCTCCAGCCTTTGCAGTTCAAACCCTCATCGGACAGATGCCCCAAACCGCAAGTTGCAAGAGCTCTGATTGAAAACAGTCTGCCCCTGCGCGGGTACAACATGGCAGCCCAATCGCTGTGGAAGTGGCTCTTCCGCTTGAGCGCACGCTGCCTGGCCTTGTTTGGTGAGTGTACCTTTCTTCACTTCGACCTTCCTGGTGAATCTGCCGTTTGAGGATTCTTGTCGGTTAGGCAATCAGTATTTCGATGTGTGGTTCCTGGTTTGTGAGGGTTGACACTCACTCACACACTCACTCACTCACGATCCAGCTCTTTTCCAAATCCTGAAGTGCTATGTAGGAAGTCTGTAGATCTTCAGAGAAGTTTCCTAGAAGCTCATCCTTGCGTCGAGCAGCGAAGATTGACACATCCCAAAGCTTCACCTCAAGGGGGCGCAGCTGCCACTGCGTCCTCAGACAGGACTGGGCGTTGGACAAGAAGCCACTTCAAAAAACTCAAGCCGCAAGCAACACAGAAACCAGGATACCCAGCAAGACCAGAGTTGTGTTTCTGCTCAGCTCCTTTGAGGGCTGTTAGAAACTATGGTCCCTTTGTACGTAGTGACGTAATGTGGACAATAAGGAGAACACTGGAATGGATACCGCAAAGCGGACCATAATTTAGAACAGCTCCGATGCAACACTATAGCCCAATCCTGATACTTCATGACTTGACTAGGCACAACCTTCACATGGCCTTGCAAGCAGTGCATGCACAGCGAACGCCCTCCTCTTCAATGCCAGGCCGTCTTAGGCTACGCCTCAGTCGTGTGAGAGCTGGAGGAAGACGATGGCCCCTCTTGTGGATGGAAGGGGCTTGCCGGTACTCCAAGGCCATCCTGGGCCGATATTTCCGAGGAGCCCTCGGACATGTCGGCCCAGCATGGCCTTGGAGGCTTTGCCAATGCCTGCGAAGTGTTGGGGAATTCACGGGTCCAGGCACCTGCAGGACACACAGCCGACCTTCATGAACCCCCGTGAATCGGAGGGGGGTTCATGAAGGTAGGTTGTGTTGGGGAAGGTGGCTGGTAGCAGGGCATTTGGAACTGGGGTGGCAGCTGCATGGGGATGGGCTGGTAGCTCAACCCTAACGCAACACTTTGCACCAATGAATTGCTAGTTCATTGGTGCAAAGTGTTGTGCTGGGGGGCCAATAGACCTGAGCCTGCATGGAAATTGCGGAATGACGTGTTGCGGGTGGCAGTGGTTGCTGCCAGTAGCACTGATGGTGCTGCATGGCCGGGGGGTGTATTGGAGAGGCCCCGGAGGCCACGGCTCTAGGGTGTAGGATGGTATGGGTTCAGATTCTGACAGTCTGGCGCACGCCTGATCCTTAACGGCGGCATCATACATTTGTGAGTCCCTTCGCCAGCAACTGCGTGTAGTGTGGTTGCAGTGCTCCTTTATGTCTGACTTGGTGACAATGCGGCGCCGGAACAAGTGTAGTCCTGGCAAGAAGCTGCCTAGGAAACCTTTGCCCACGCTTCAGCTCATCTCACCTCCACTTTTGCGGTTGAAGGGGAGCTAATCAAAGTTCTGCACACTACCATCTCTGCAGCCGACAAGGGCAAGACGATCGTACGCGAGGACTCGCGTGCGCTTCAAAGACTTCACGAGACCCGTTGCAGTTGAGGAGCACCATACTGTGTCCAAAGTGCGCACGCAGTGCGCCGAGCCCAAACTTCAAAAGCCTACTTGAACCCCATGCCCGCCTAAGACGCATCCTGAAAGTTGACAAAAAGTGTCTTGGGCCTGCCTGGCAAATCCTTTGGGGGCCACATACAATCATACAATCAAGCAAGGCATGTGCAACGCTGGCGATTCGCTTTTGTTTTCGATGTTTTTGTTTTGGAGGGGTGAGAGGTTTTCGGGGACATGCCGAGGGATGGAGGCCGCAGTGCTTTTTGCTGATGCTTGATAAGGGCACATGCATTGAAATCTACAGCTTCCATGAACCCCTTATGCTTTTCAGGCACTAGAGAGCTTTGAAGGGGCCTTCCAGGCACCACTTGCGAAGTGAGGGGCAGAACAAGCTTCTGGGGTTTAGGGCTTGTGAAGGGGACCGAAGATTTCAAGGGGGAACCATTCCAAAGGTAAGGGCAACTCAAGCCAGAAAAGATTCAATGGTCACCTCAGCCAGAACACATTCAAAGAAAGAGTGCGCAGCTGCGTCCCTCACACATTCGATGCACAACTGACTTCAGTAAACGACATGCAGCGTCATCAGCCTACACAAAGTCGCCACCAAGAACCAGCGATCACACAGGCATCGAAGAACTCAAGCGACCATCCCTTAAACCCCTCCTTAAACCCCTAGCCGCCCGTTGTAAGTCCCGCTTAGGTCACTTAACCGCCCCTTAAATGTAAACCAGTCCTTCAGCCAAAGTTGAGAAGACAAATCGCTGCTGGACATGGATGGCTGATGCGTCTCGCTGTGTGTGTCCATGACTCTGCACATCTTCGCGCCTTAGCATTTGCCTCGACCTTTGCTCGGCGTTCATGCATCCATGGCTTCAAAATTGCTTGTGACCATGCTTCGTGGTCCAAGTTGCTGTGGGCCCGGATGACATCCGACAGCCGACTGGCATGTGCCGGGCTTAGCTCTCAACCTGTATCAAGCAAATTTTGCGTGTCATGCTGTGAGATCGCTGGCATTTTGGTCGAGCTGCTGATCACTCGTCTCAGCAGAAATGGGCTGTCTGGCTTCGCAGCCAGGCAAGGAAGAGTATATGCGCAGACAAACGCAAAAGCAAGGGTCCCAGCTTGTTGTATCCCATTTCTATTCTATTTTGATGGCAACTGCCAACTCAGGCTACGGAGCCGAAAGAACCGGCTCGTGGTAAACTCAATGAGCTTGAGCTTGAGAGTTGAGCTCGACCTCATAGCATCTTCGGCGACAAGGTGCTGAGAGCTTGCAACATTGCGGAAGCACAAGTTCAGTGCAAACGACGAGCACTGCAGCAGCTTGGACAGCTTCTTCATTGTCATTGCGAGCAAGGAAGGAGCTTAAACCAGTGGAAGTTGGGCTTCTTGTCCCGTCCTCTTCCTGAGGCTCCAAGTTTTTCTGCGGTGGTGCTACAGCCTCAAGGCCTGGTTGGGGTTGCGTGTGGCTTTGAATGGCGAATGTTGGTTTCAATGCCACAGGGGTGCAGCAGAGAAATGCCCGGATCTCAAATCTTTGTGCGACAGTGACCGGATCTTAAATCTTTGTGCTGGCTTTCGTTTGCGCGTCCGTATCAGTTCCTCGGTAAGCAAAGCCGCGGAACAGCTAAATTCTTCAAGAATGCCCACTTGCCCGCCCTGAACGCGCCATTGCGGCCCCAAGTGGCTCCAGAGAAGGGGGTGTGGGTTGCTGATTGCTGCGGGTGTGGCCACCTATACTTTGTCGTGCGCACGTACTAGAACGGAAAGCTGTATGCGTGCGTATGTGCGTGTTTGCGGGCCTGTTTTTGGTACGGTTCATGTCTGCTTTCGCGAGGGATTGCAGGTTCCACTGTTTAAAGAGGAGAGCATTTTTCAACGGGTAAGAAGGTTTTTTCCTTTCTGCTTCTCCGTTTGAGTCTTTGGGAGAGCACGGCAATTGTGGGCAAGGCCAGGCTTTCGCAGCGATCTCTTGTCGCGAGAGTCCGGTGTTCTATACAAGGTAGCGCGAGAAAAGTCTGAACAAAAACGAGAGGGATGTATTTTCTTGACAAATCTTGACAGCAGGTCGCCGATCCATAGGCACTTCGTCACTACCCTTGGCGCTGTTTTTCTGGCTTGATCTGAGGCATTTTGTATGAGCCTAGCATTATGTTCTGCGACGGTTCGCTCCGTTCGGTCCTGGTACGGTCGGCACCCAGGTCCCACGTGCGAATCACCGGGCTCCTGCAGTCCCATCAGCAGCAGATTTGTAGGTGCCCTGCAGTGCTAATGCAGTTTCGAAGGTTGCTGCGGCAACACCCACACAGAGCCCGATCAGATGTTTTGTTTGGTGGCTGGCCGCGCGATCTCAAGCAGCAATTTTTGTTCTCTCCTCGCGTGTTTTCCCTACTACAGCCAGGCCAGGATTCGATTTTTCAGTTCATGCCTGCAGTGTTTCGGTTGTTCTTAGCATTGGCAGGGATCTTTGTTCTGGTCTTGCAGTGCAGGAGTCATGACCACAGCCGGCGTTTGGGATCCCAAGCAAGCGGGCATTGTGCCTTGTCATGCAGTGAGATCAGAGCCTCAGGGAGCTGGCAGTGTCGTGCATTGGCCCTTGTCGCCTGAGGACATGAAGCGAAAGTCGTCATTTTCGCTTCTGGACAACACCAAGCGGCCCATGCCCAGCGAAGAGACTTAGCGGCAAAGCTGCTCACAAATGTGAGTGTGTGTGTGTGTGTGTTGTGCTTTGGACGGTTGCTCATGACACTGGCGTCTGCAAAATGCGTCTGAGAGAGAGGGAGCGAGAGAGAGTGAGAGTGAGAGTGAGAGTGAGAGTGAGAGTGAGAGTGAGAGTGAGAGTGAGAGTGAGAGTGAGAGTGAGAGTGAGAGTGAGAGAGAAAGAGCGAGAGTGAGAGTGAGAGTGAGATTGAGAGAGAAAGAGTGAGAGTGAGAGTGAGAGTGAGAGTGAGAGTGAGAGTGAGAGTGAGAGTGAGAGTGAGAGTGAGAGTGAGAGTGAGAGTGAGAGTGAGAGTGAGAGTGAGAGTGAGAGTGAGTGTGAGCAGGAAAGAAGTAAAGAAGGAAAGAAGGAAAGGAGGAAAGAAGGAAAGAAGGAACGAAGGAAAGAAGGAAAGAAGGAAAGAAGGAAAGAAGGAAAGAAGGAAAGAAGGAAAGAAGGAAAGAAGGAAAGAAGGAAAGAAGGAAAGAAGGAAAGAAGGAAAGAAGGAAAGAAGGAAAGAAGGAAAGAAGGAAAGAAATGCAGAAAGAAGGAAACAAAGACAGAAAGAAAGAAATAAATATAAGGAAAAGAGAGAGGGAGAGAGAGAGAGAGAGAGAGGGAGAGAGAGAGAGAGGGAGGAAGGGAAGATCTGCTCTTGCTTCTGGGTATGTTGCATGGTGGTGGCTTGGTGATTTCTGTTCCGATCGTTCTTTGCTTTTGAAAGTCACTGCTCGATGCCCGCGTGCGGGAGCATTCACCTGCCCGTGGGATACTCATGATTTGTTTGCGACTGAGGATGAGGCCGGCGACCAGAAAGAGAAATTGGAGAAGCTTTGGAAGCTGATGGACCGCTCTGTGTTCGGTTTGCAGCCGTGCTACTCTTGCAGGAGCTTGGCTGTTGAATTCCTCTTGCAGCTTGTTCTGCCATCAGGACACCTATGAGCCAAACGACCCGGAGTCCATCCAGAAGTCCTTCGCCCGACATTTGGAGTATTCCCTGGCCTGCACACGCTTCAACTTCACCATGCAGGACCCGGCCCCCCATTCTTTGCCTCGCATGTTCGTCGCAGCTCACCTGCGCTGTGTAGGATGCCTACCGGGCAGCTGGCTTGGTACTCCGGGACCGCCTCCTGGAGTCTCTGAACGATACAAACGCGTACTACAGGCAAGGGGGGCGCAAGGGGATGCGAGCTCCTTTTGCCATCTTTTCCGCTTGCATTGCCCATCCTCGGAGGAAGATGGACGTGAAGCGAGGGTACTACTTGTCTGCTGAGTACCTGATTGGAAGGCACATGCAGCAGCTTGCCGGCATCTGCTTGCTCAGCTAAATCGGTACGAGTTGCCAGAAGCTTTCCCCCAAGGCATGTGCGTGTCACACAGGCTCTCAGGTGGAATCTGTCCTGAGGGAGCAAGGGGACAAGTCAGTGGCAGTGTGTGTTTCAATCTGATCCAGAGACCCTCTGACTGTAGTCGTCGGAAAAGAGGCAGCGTGACATCAACCTTTGTCGCCGCTAATCATGATCCATATGTCCTTCGTCGTCATCGCAGTCAGTCAGTTTTGAAATGGCACCGTCGGAGGCAGAATGAAAGTGCCCTCCCTTGGTCCCCCGTTTTGTAAAATGCATCAGCTCCCGCAAGGCGTGTGCCCCACCGAGTATTGTAGACCATACAAGGAACGCCATTGCCAACCTCGACCTGGAACAGCCCTTCAAGGACAGGTCCTGCCCGCATAGTCACTGAGAAGGGACAAGGTGACAGCCAAAGAGTATAAGAGCAGCTGCTTGTCGAGGAAGCCTTCCAGGGTCTCGGCATGCAGCTCGAGGAGCTGCCACATCGAAATGATCATCAGACACCAGAGCATAGACTCTAGACAAGCAGTAAAGCCAAGCGGCTTGCAGTGGTTTGGACCAGGACCTTTTCCACGAGGAGGCGGACCCGGCGCTGGGCAATGGTGGCCTCGGTCGTCTTGCCGCTTGCTTCCTTGTCCGATGCTCAAATCCGCCTCTGCCTTTCAGAAGCGTTGCAAGAGTCGGAAGATGTTGGAAACCTTCAGCTTTCAGCCGGTACGGCAGGACTCGATGGCCACATTGTCGTTGCCGTGCTGGGGCTACGGCATCCGCCACTTGCCCCATCTCAGTACTGCCTTGACTCATTGACTGCCAGTGCCAACTTGGACATCCTTCTGCTCAGGTTACAGCTACGGCATGTTCAAGCAGGATATCCAGAACGGCCGTCAGGCACATGGTGAGAGTGAAGCTTCCGATCAGCAGCACTGCATGATTCTGCAGGTCGAGATGCCTGATTTCTGGATTGGGGATGGATGCCCCTTCGAAATCCCTCGGCCAGCCGCAACCTTGAGTGCAGTGCCACGTGAGAGAAGTTCTCGTGTATGGCCAGAGAACATGAAGCGTCCCAGCTGAGGACATCACCTACCCTGTGCGTTTGTATGGCGAAGTCGTCGAGGGCCTTGATGCCAGTGGGTCATGGTCCATGAGCCTGGGCAAGAAGCTTCAGTATAGGATCAGATGCCTGGCGTGCTCTTGACTTGCGTGAATCTCAAGGAGCTGGGTCGGCGGCGAAATTGTGCAGGTCCTGCGTGGCTTTGGCGTTAGCAACCAACTGAGCAACATGTGATACAGTGAGACTAATGTGTCAAATACTGTTGTGCAGGCCATGGCCTACGACAATCCCATTCCGGGCTTCGACACGTACAACACAAACAACCTGCGGTTGTGGCGTGCGTGCGCTTCGAAGGAGCTCTTGAAAGCTGCCTCGTTTTGTACTGCAATCTGAAGGTTAGCTGCTTGAGCCCTCGACCCTTGAGCTCTGTACTTACTTGAGGAGTTCGACCTGGATCAGTACAGCGCCGCAAACTTTACCGATGCTGTGGAGTCGCGGCGAAAGGCGGAGGACAGATGGAGCCGGACATGTGCCGAAGACAACGGACATCCATAGCTCGCAGGATCTGTCTGCAGTTCTGTATCCGAACGATGCAACCTACGAGGGAAAGGAGCTCCGCCTGCGGCAGCAGTGCGCCCGGGTCAGTGAAGTCACGTCAGAAAAAGAGACGACAGAAGAGGGGCCTGAGCTGGTCAAGAGGGTCAACACACACTTTTTCTCGATTCTTTGCTTTTTGCTCTTTTTTCGCTCCGGGATTTCAGCAACAGCAAGTCAGCACAGCCCACTTTCTCTCACAACACAGCTGGCTGGGAGGAACAGTCAGGTCTCTTTTGCACATCGTTTGGAAATCACATTGTTGCAGCACACGCCCAGTGCCAGCCCGCAGATTGCAGATCATACAAGACCATTCATGTGCGACGTTTGTGCCGGGCAGGTACTTTTTTGTGAGCGCTTCTTTGCAGGAGAATCCTATACGATTTATCGCAAGGTGCATGGCAAGCTGATGCAAGTTGTGTGCTTCATGTCCTAAAGGATCTGCTGCGTGAGTTCATCAAGCGCCCGAACTACAAGTGGTCGGAGCTGCCGGAGAAGGTCTTCGGCGTACGCACGAGGGAAGTGTCGTTTGTGAAAGCTTGCAGCAGCCAGGTTGCTGTGCAGATGAACGACACACATCCGACCATTGCTGTTTCTCGGCCAGCATTCTCGTGTTTGGACAGGTAAGCTCGCATTCCACGTGCCTGCCAGGTGGCAGAGATGATGCGCTTGCTGGTTGATGTGATGCGGGTGCACTGGGATGAAGCCTGGGAACTCACCACAAAGTGTGGCGTGGTTGCAAGAAGTGTGCTCAACGTGGCTTGTTCCTGAAAGCACTGTTGCGAATCGGTTGTGCTGCTTACAGTATGGACCTGGGTGAGCTGTGTTTTTAGTCATGTGCATTCATGTGCCATCACCTGACAGACCCACCCAAGGCCTGAACTACACTAACCATACGGTCATGCCGGAGGCGCGTGGGGGTGGGAGGGCCTGGATGCTTCTAGGATGGAGAGATATGGAGACGCGGGTGACACGTGTGGAGACTGTGAGAGGCTTTGGAGAAATGGCCCGTTGAGATGATGACCCGCATGTTGCCCCGTCATGTGCAGATCATTGGCGAGCCTTGGATCATAAGAAATAGAAGCCAAGGTGTTTCCGAGAGCGTTGCAGCCACTGCGTGGGTTCAGACATTTGACATGCTGAGGAGCTCAACCTGCGCTGGGCTGGACTCATAGATTCATAGATCAGCACGATGCAGCGCATGCGCAAGCTCAGTGCAAGCTCTGATTCCAACCGAGATCAACGCACTGGTGGCAAAGTACGGCGACGGGCCCATGATCCACGCCTTGTGCCTGGGCTGCACCCCAGGGATGCCGGCGTCCGAACATGAGCCAACATGGCCCAAGCCATGGCCGCCCCCAAGCCCACCAAGCCCAGGAGCATCTTCGAAGAGGGTGACGTCAAGAAGATCCGGATGGGCAACTTGGCCATCATGGGCGCCAACAAGGTGCATCTTGCAGGGGTTCGGGGGCATGAAGCAATATGACAACCAGTGTGAACAGACACCAAGAAGCACCACCCCTCCCCTGCCAGGTGAACGGCGTGGCCGCCATTCACACGGAGATCATCAAGAAGGCAGTGCCCCGTCTTAGCAGACGTAGTGGGAGAACCAGTGCTGTGCGGAAGGAGACTTTCCCCGAGTTCTATAAGTACTGCTGCGACAGTGGCAAGCCCGCCAAGCCCTTGGATCTGGGTGCAGCATACATGCCGCAAGCATGCCGCAGTCGGAAGGAAACCTCTTCCTTGTTTTACAGTTTTGTACAACAAGCAGCCTGACCTTTGCTGACGTTCACCACCGGCTCGCCCCACGAAGAAACTTGAAAGCTTGACCGAATGACGAACAGGCACCACGACGTTATTTCCTGTCTCGGTTATGTAGCAGGATGTGTGCGATGGGGGGCATGGGACTAGCTTGTTTGGAAAAAGCCCGTGAAGTCACCGGTGAACGTGTTGTCAACAATGTCGTTGTGTTGATTATGTCAGAAACAAAGACACTGCTGGAAGCATGGGCATGCTTGTCTAATCTTTTCTATGAGCCGGGCTATCTTCGGGCGTAGCTGATCAGCACTGTGACACATTTTATCCTTTTGACAAGCTGGCGCCTTCTGGAAATCCCCATTCTGCTGCGCTTCGGGGTGGGAGTGTACGTAGAATTTGCGATACGTGGGGGATCGAGGGGTATTTGAGAAATCTTACTTCGACGGAAGTGCTGTCAGGTTTGTGGCTACAGGTGCTTTTGTGGGTAGTTGGGTGGGATGCCAAGAAAGCCGCGGCGGACCCTGAGGACACGATCGTGAACATGACCAATGGAGTGACACCACGCCGCTGGGTGCACTGTGCGAACCCTGCTTTGTCTGCTATCTTCACCAAGTATCTGGGCTCTCATGAGCGCCTTGTCTGCAATGGTGGGCTGTTATGAATCTGATACACGTGTGCATGAAGAAAGCTCAGACCTTTGCTTGGTAAGAGGTGGTTGACGGACATGACGAAGCTGAAGGACATGTTGAAATTCAAGGAGGACCCAAAGCTGCACGCTGAGTGGATGGACATGCCTCTCAGCTGAATGGGGGCCACATCCGACATATCAGGTGGGTGGGTCTGATTTAATCCCACCCCCCCCCCCTCATAGGTAGGCGAGTATTTCAGAGGAGTATTTTGGACCCACTTTTGTCCTCATGAAGTTCTTGCTCTCACACGCTCAGAGTTAGATGTTCTGAGGAAGAAGACGGCCAAAGCAAACCTTGCAGGCTTCGTGAAGGAGCTCTTTGCGTCAACTGCTTTCGCCGTCCAAACCAAACCTGGCAATAGTCTGGCAATGTACTTGCACCAGCTTTCTGTAATAATAATACTTACAAAATTTATAAAAAATAGTTATATTCATGATAATAAGAATTGGTGAGCTGTGAGCAGGAGAAGCTGGACCTGGACATCGACCAGGACAGGAGAGAGCAAGATAAGCCAATTCATACCCCCTCTGCCGACATGGAGCCTCAACGTGACTCTAAGCCTTAGTTCTGTAAAAGGTTTGAACCCTACTCCTTTGAGAGTCTCTCAACATGTGCTATAGTCTGCCTTGCCCCTAACGTAAAAGAAACCTGGACTTGAGCCTTTGGCTAGTCGCAAGCTCGGTTCAGGTGCCGCACGGAAACATCAGAACGCACGTGAGCAAAGAACCAACACTCACAGGGGTAAGGTCTCTGTATATGCTGAAGACAGTGATGTGCTGGAGTTGTGGCTGCTCACCATGTTCACCAAATAGGTTTCACTAGAAAGGACTTGCAGGTCTCGGTGATTAGCCTAGTAAGCCGAGCAAGCCTCGGAAAACCTTGATTGCTCCTCGGAGCACTGGTCCAACGAAGCATATGATGTGTAAGTGTGTGTGTGTGTGTGTGTGCGCGTGCTTGCGCGTGAGCGCTCGCGCGCGCCTTCGCGCGCGGAGGGCGGGCGGGTGGTCCTTTGGTATCCCTTCGCATCGGAGGACGCACTCATCGACATCCAGATCAAGCGCATCCACGAGTACAAGCGCCAATTGCTCAATGTCCTGTACGTCATCCACCGCTACCAGGAAGCTCCTGCCTAGGTGCTGTGCCAGTCTGCCGTGTTTGTGTGGAGGGTTTTTTACTTTTGGTTCGCGTTCTTGCCGCCCGGGAGCAGCCGGACTTGGAATCTACAGCCCTGCTTGGCAAGCTGCTTTGCTTTGGCAACGATTAGGGCCATTGAGGAGGACTAGCAGCCAAGCCTGGCATGGAAGGTAGCCATTGATTCAGCGCCGTCCTTTCACACAAACGTGCGTCCAAAGTGCCTCTTCGTCAATCTTTGTTCTTCGTTCACATGGCATGGAGTTCATCTCACGGCTGTACATGCTTTCTTTGGAGCATTGTCGAGCCTGTTGCAGGAGCTGAAGAAGAAGTCGCCCGCTGAGCGCGAGAAGGCTTCATGTTTGTATCCTGAATCCGTCTCTGGTATCGAAGTGTTTCCACTTTGCGGCAGGTGCAGAAGAGGGTGGTGTTGATCGGCGGCAAGGCGCACTGCTTCTGAGAATAGGATGCTTTGCCGATGGACTGAACAGCAGCTCGTCTCAGGCAGCGTCTGCGTATGTGAATGCAAAGATCATCATCAAGTTGATCAACAATGTTGGCAAGGCTTTGCTCAGCACTGTTGCGCTGAGCTCCCTGCAGGCTTGTGGCTTGTGGCTCGTGGTCTCAAGTCAGTGCGTGGAAGGTCATCAACAACGATCCGGACACTGGAAAGCTTCTGAAGATTGCTTTTGTGGGGAGCTCAACGGAGCTCATGTGCCAGAAGCAACAACTTGCTGCTCGTTGCGTAAATGCGCGGGCAGCTGACCGGCTGACCAGGTGCCCAACTACTGCGTCTCTGCAGCGCAAGTCATGATCCCCGCTTCCGACATCTCGGAGCACATCTCGACAGCAGGCTCTGCCCGCCCGTGACAAGACTTGCATGCAGCATACAGCATATGCGTTGCAGGCACCGAGGCAAGCGGAACCTCCAACATGAAGTTTGTCATGAATGGTGGGTTGATTGTGCTTAACTCAGATCAACAGCTTGTCCGAGTGGAAACTGTTTTCGGTCATGGAGAGTGGCCGACGCATGGATCGCAGCCACAGATTGGTACCATGGATGGTGCGAACATTGAGATTCGCGAGGAGTGTGGTTGGGGCCCCGAGTTGAAGAGCGCTTCTGTTGCCGGTTGACACGATGACACGGGTTTGTGGGACAAAATTTGACAGAAGGGTGGCTCGTTGAGGCAAAACTTTTGGGGTTTCGTCCTCGTCCTAGTAGCTTTTAGTCCAACTGGCGGAAGCTTGTCATTGTCCTGGCCTCTGCCCAGTCTTCCTCGCTCCTCGTACTTCAGTGGCTCACTCCCTCGGCTCTTCCCAGCACTGCGCCCCCTGCAATTTTTCGGGGTTTGCATGATCTGCTACCGTAGTCCTGATAACTCCCAGTAGACTATAGTAGACTCATACGGTTCACAGCAGCCCTGTGGTGGGCCGCGCAGCCAGACCCGTGGCTCCCTTTACGGCTCCTGGGCTGGGTCGGACGGGCTCCCTTTCTCCTGGGCTTCTCTCTTTCTTGCGTTGGCTCCCTTTCTGGGTGCTGGGTTGGATGGCTGGGCCGAGGGCTGAGGGGCCCAAGCTTGCTCTCCTATTGTGGCTGCCTTCACGGTCGTTTTTTCTGGGTCATGGGTGGGCTGCGGGGCCCGAGTTTGGCCCAGTTTGGTCTTCCACAGCGGTTCCCCGCTCCCTTTCAGGTTCATGTGTCTGGATGCTGTCCTTCGTGGGTCCTTCCGCGGGGCCGCAATGCTTGCAAGTAGGGCAGAAGGCGCTAGTGTGGTCAGATACCGGCTTGTGGATAAAGGAGTATTTTGGACAGAGAAAGGTTTGCCTGGACCATGGTCAGCAGCAGAACAGTGGTTCTGGCAGTTGACCTGTAGCTGTTTCATGTTAAGGACGAGTTTGCAGCCCAACCAGTCTTCACGACTCATGAAATATCTTGTTATCATGTCCTTTTGTTCGATACACGTCTGTGGCTGAGGTGAGGACACCATGTTCATTTTCGGCTGCTTGGAGCATGAGGCGAATGTGCAGTCACGTGCCGCATTTTCCACCTCAAAGCTTGGCAATCGATGCAGGTTGCTGGAATTTCAGCCAAAGCCAAGAGCGGCCACTACCCCATTGACAGCCGATTGCAAGCTGTTTTCCAGGTTGGTGGAGCTGTCTTGATTTGCCCCACTTTGCCGGGAGTGAGACGCCCTCTTTTGCGCTTTTGGCGGGGCTCTCTGCAGTCTTGGAGGCCATTCGCAATGGGGAATTCTCGAAGGGCGAGCCCGAGGCGAGATTTTGGATTCAAAGCCTGATGTAGCTTGGCAGATCTTGGCAGAGGCACATGGGGAGTTCTGCTCGCTGATTGACAAGCTCTGCAACACACACGGCGCTGGCACCTGGGAAGGCAGGACCTGCGCTGAATCATGGACTTGAGCTCTTGATATCTCTTGATGTGCTCTGCAGCAGTTTTGAAGCATATGGCAGCAGTCTTTGAACGGAGCTCGATCGATTCCTCAGCTGCTGTGGAGGTGACAAGTACTTGGTGGTGTATGACTTCCCCTCTTATGTCGATGCGCAGAACAAAGTCGATGCCACCTACGCGGATAAGTCAAAGTGGTGCAAGCTCAGCATCCAGGTACATGGTGCTGTATGCATCTGCGTCACGTGTGTGATTTAATTATGCAGGTCCTTAAGGTTCCAATGCTCTGCAACTTGTGCGATGTCTTACATCATTCGTGAGTTACTTAGACAATGCAGGCTGCTTCCTCCATGGCGAAGTTTTCGACGGACCGCACCATCCAGGCGCCAGTTTCAGAATTTGCATCCACTCTGCTCTTGCTCTGGCCACGGGTCTGGGTAGCTGATGCTCATGATACTCGCATGCTCGACCAGTCGGGCTTCTACGAGTCAAGGGTCTGGGCGGCTGATGCTCATGATGCTCGCCCAGTGGGGCTTGTACGGGCCGAGGGTCTTCGCCCAGAGGGGCTTCTATGAGTCAAGGCTCCGGGGGCCCTGATGCTCATGATGCTCGCATGCTAGGCTCTACGTGCCCAAGGGCCTGAGCGGCTGTTGCTCATGATGCTCACCTGCTGGGCTCTAGGTGCCAAGCGCCCCTGGCGCTAGTGGGCATTAGAAGGGCCTGGGCGGCTGATGCTCATGATGCTCGTCTGCTGGGCTCTAAGTGCCAACGGCCTGGGCAGCTGATGCTCATGATGCTCGCCTGCTGGGGGCTTTGCGTGGCAAGGGCCTAAGCGGCTGATGCTCATGATGTTCGCCTGGCGCTCGCCTGTTGGGCTTTGCCTGCCAAAGGGCTAGACATCCCAAACGGCGTGGGCAGCTGATGCAGATTCTTGCCTGCTGGGCTTTACGTCGCAAAGAGCTTGGGCGGGTGAATGCTCGCCTGCTTGGGCTTTACGTGCCAAAGGGCAAAGGGCCTGGGCGGCTGATGCTCATGATGCTCGTCTGCTGGGCTCTAAGTGCCAAGGGGCCTGGGCAGCTGATGCTCATGATGCTCGCTCAGCTGCGCTTGACGTGGCAAGGGCCTAAGCGGCTGATGCTCATGATGCTCGCCTGGCGCTCGCCTGTTGGGCTTTGCCTGCCAAAGGGCTAGACATTCCAAACGGCGTGGGCAGCTGATGCTCATGATACTTGCCTGCTGGGCTTGACGTCGCAAAGAGCTTGGGCGGGTGATGCTCATGATGCTCGCCCCCTTGGGCTTTACGTGCCAAAGGGCAAGGGGCCTGGGCGGCTGATGCTCATGCGTCTGCTGGGCTCTAAGTGCCAAGGGCCTGGGCAGCTGATGCTCATGATGCTCGCCTGCTGGGCTTTGCGTGGCAAGGGCCAAAGCGGCTGATGCTCATGATGCTCGCTTGGCGCTTGCCTGTTGGGCTTTGCTGCCTGGCAAAGGGCTAGAAATCCCAAACGGCGTGGGCAGCTGATGCTGACTCTTGCCTGCTGGGCCTTACGTCGCAAAGGGCTTGGGCGGGTGATGCTCATGATGCTCGCCGCCTTTTGGGCTTTACGTGCCAAAGGGCAAAGGGCCTGGGCGGCTGATGCTCATGATGCTCGTCTGCTGGGCTCTAAGTGCCAAGGGCCTGGGCAGCTGATGCTCAGCCTGCTGGGGGCTTTGCGTGGCAAGAAGGGCCTAAGCGGCTGATGCTCATGATGCTCGCCTGGCGCTCGCCTGTTGGGCTTTGCCTGCCAAAGGGCTAGACATCCCAAACGGCGTGGGCAGCTGATGCTCATGATGCTTGCCTGCTGAAGAGCTTGGGCGGGTGATGCTCATGATGCTCGCCCCTTGGGCTTTACGTGCCAAAGGGCAAAGGGCCTGGGCGGCTGATGCTCATGATGCTCGTCTGCTGGGCTCTAAGTGCCAAGGGCCTGGGCAGCTGATGCTCAGCCTGCTGGGGGCTTTGCGTGGCAAGAAGGGCCTAAGCGGCTGATGCTCATGATGCTCGCCTGGCGCTCGCCTGTTGGGCTTTGCCTGCCAAAGGGCTAGACATCCCAAACGGCGTGGGCAGCTGATACTCATGATTCTTGCCTGCTGGGCACGTAAACCACAAAGCGGCCTGGGCGGGTGATGCTCATGATGCTCGCCCCCTTGGGCTGTACTTGCCAAAGGGCAAAGGGCCTGGGCGGCTGATGCTCATGATGCTCGTCTGCTGGGCGGGCGGGTGATGCTCATGATGCTCGCTTTCTTGGGCTTTGCGTGCCAAAGGGCAAAGGGCCTGGGTGGCTGATGCTCATGATCCTCGTCTGCTGGGCTCTAATCATGATGCGCGCCTGCTGGGCTTTACGTGGCAAGGGGCCTAAGCGGCTGATGCTCATGATGCTCGCCTGGCGCTCGCCTGTTGGGCTTTGCCTGCCAAAGGGCTAGACATCCCAAACGGCGTGGGCAGCTGATGCTGATTCTTGCCTGCTGGGCTTGACGTCGCAAAGAGCTGCTTGGGCGGGTGATGCTCATGATGCTCGCCCCCTTGGGCTTTACGTGCCAAAGGGCAAGGGCCTGGGCGGCTGATGCTCATGATGCTCGTCTGCTGGGCTGTGCCAAGGGCCTGGGCAGCTGATGCTCATGATGCTCGCCTGCTGGGCTTTACGTGGCAAGGGCCTAAGCGGCTGATGCTCATGATGCTCGCCTGGCGCTCGCCTGTTGGGCTTTGCCTGCCAAAGGGCTAGACATCCCAAACGGCGTGGGCAGCTGATGCTGATTCTTGCCTGCTGGGCTTGACGTCGCAAAGAGCATCAAAGAGCTTGGGCGGGTGATGCTCATGATGCTCGCCCCCTTGGGCTTTACGTGCCAAAGGGCGAGGGGCCTGGGCGGCTGATGCTCATGATGCTCGTCTGCTGGGCGCTAAGTGCCAAGGGCCTGGGCAGCTGATGCTCATGATGCTCGCCTGCTGGGCTTTACGTGGCAAGGGCCTAAGCGGCTGATGCTCATGATGCTCGCCTGGCGCTCGCCTGTTGGGCTTTGCCTGGCAAAGGGCTAGACATCCCAAATGGCGTGGGCAGCTGATGCTCATGATACTTGCCTGCTGGGCTTTACGTCGCAAAGAGCTTGGGCGGGTGAATGCTCGCCTGCTTGGGCTTTACGTGCCAAAGGGCAAAGGGCCTGGGCGGCTGATGCTCATGATTCTCGTCTGCTGGGCTCTAAGTGCCCAGGGCCTGGGCAGCTGATGCTCATGATGCTCGCGCTCTGGGCTTTACATGGCAAGGGCCTAAGCGGCTGATGCTCATGATGCTCGCCTGGCGCTCGCCTGTTGGGCTTTGCTTGCCAAAGGGCTAGACATCCCAAACGGCGTGGGCAGCTGATGCTCATGATTCTTGCCTGCTGGGCTTTACGTCGCAAAGAGCTTGGGCGGGTGATGCTCATGATGCTCGCCCGCTTCGGCTAAAGGGCAAAGGGCCTGGGCGGCTGATGCTCATGATGCTCGTCTGCTGGGCTCTAAGTGCCAAGGGCCCTCAGCTGATGCTCATGATGCTCGCCTGCTGGGCTTTACGTGTGGCAAGGGCCTAAGCGGCTGATGCTCGTGATGCTCGCTTGGCGCTCGCCTGTTGGGCTTTGCCTGGCAAAGGGCTAGAAATCCCAAACGGCGTGGGCAGCTGATGCTCATGATTCTTGCCTGCTGGGTTTTACGTCGCAAAGAGCTTGGGCGGGTGATGCTCATGATGCTCGCCCCCTTGGGCTTTACGTGCCAAAGGGCAAAGGGCCTGGGCGGCTGATGCTCATGATGCTCGCCTGCTGGGCTCTGAGTGCCATGATGCTCGCCCAAGCCTGTGGGCTCTAGGCTTGGCCCGGCGATGTGTGATGTGATAGTTTTGCTGAAATGCCAGGAGTATGCCGACGTGATCTGGGGCGTCAAGCCTGCACCTCGTCCCATGGATGGGTGCCTGGGACTGAAATGACTGAGAGGAGTTCTTCCTTCCACCTTGATTCTTTCTGAGCCATCTGAGCCCAAAACCCGGATGCACAGTGCCAAAATGTGCCAAAGCAAGCGTTGCACAGACTGCTGTCCCGAGGTGAGGCGAGTTTTGGGGTTCTGAGGGACGTGAGCGGCCAAGGGAAATCCTTCGGCTGCCCATGGCACCTCTACACAGGGCCCAGATCTATTTTAACTGCTGACTCGCTCGGAGCATCCACAAAGAGCAAGCTCAGTCAGTAGGTTGGAGCGTGGGCGGCCACTTTCAGGCAAGTGCCTGCACTGGTGGTTGCCGTATTGATTTACGAGAAGCAGTATGGAGGAGACACTTCTGCTCTCGACGGAGTCGGAGTGCGAGTGTAGTGAATGACAACTCAAGAGTATCTCAGCCAATTCCAAAGTTGTTTCTCTTTGTAATTGGTTTTGACTGTTGCCATCTGAATTGTCAGTGAAGCTTAGTCGTCGCGACTTAGAAGCTTTTGCTGACCTCCGTGCTGCAATCTCAGTTCCGCTGACACATGCGTACCGTGTGTTTCTCGCCACTCGCTAGTTGTCGTTGCTCAGAAATTCTCGTCAAGTCTCACGTTGCACAATCCAATCACAGGAGGTGTAGTGGTAGTGCTGGGGCGTCAGCCTGCCTTTGCAGGCTCATCAAGAAGGGCCGCAATGCTCAGAGTCGCACGAGCTTTATTGTGACCACCTGCTTCCTAATCACTTAGCTTATCCCCAGATGATCCCGACTTGCCAGTCTGCTCTGAGGCCAGCACGCCGAACTGGCCCGTTGGCTGCAAGCCCTGGCCTCGAACCTTGAGTTTTTTTTGTTGGGGGACGTGGACTCCAGCAGTACTCAGCGTAGACTGTAAGGATGTTGAAAGATGTTGAAGGTCCCCAATTCAACCTGTAGGAATTGCGTTCCTCACCCCTTCCTGGTGCCTACGCTGCCCGCGCGCCACGCTGCTAATTTCTATGCTCAAGGAATGCAATGAAGCGACTTAACATGTACATGTAAACCGCAAGCCGTCCTGCTTCACGGCAAGTTATGAAGTTGAGGCCGTGTGCCCATTAGCGTAAATAAGCTCGGGTAGCTTGCCATAGTTACCGCTTTGGATTGTCAGGTGCCAGGGGCCGTAGCTCAACTGCTTCCATGCTGCCCTGGACTGTTGACTCTCATGGCGGAGCAGCAAGCGCAACAGCCGGCCAATCAGGATGATGATGATGGCCCGTCCTGGGTTGAGAAATTCCTCAATGTTGGCAAACGTTGTTTGGGAGTCTTTGCAAAAGGCTCGCCGCCCGAGCCAACGCCCGAGGTTTCTGCATACTTGCGCTCCATTGGTATTCAGCAAAGACATATGCTCCAGATTTACTCTGTGTTCGACTATTTGAAGCGTTGTGAGGATGACGAGGCCTTCATCACCACTGTGTATTCGGTTTCGTCAGATGTAATGCCAGTGCTCATCGAGGACCGCCGAAAGTATGTGATCAGACTACTGAGGTGCATCCTCAAACTGGGAGATTGTGAGGAGGAAGCTACGTGGGACAAGTTCCTGTGGGTAATGTTGCGCTTTTGTTCATTGAATCGGGTGGAGCTTGCCCAGACTCTCTTCCTATGTATTCTTCGCATACGTGACAGTACTACGTATCATTACATTCGCAGCTACGAGCTTCAGGAGTTCTTTGCAGCTTACAAGAACTGCCCGGTTAAGTCTTTCGACACAGCGGAGATTAACTTCGACCTGCTGCCCATCCGGAGATATTACGCGTCGGATTTCGCCGAACTGTTAATGAGGTATTCTGTCTTGCTGCATCCCATTCTCCATCTGCAGCAATCGCTTCAATCCAAGCTTCCTTCCATGGACTTCTGGGATAACAACACAGAGTCCGTTTCCTTCTGCAGAAAGATTACCTTCGACTTCTTCATGATGGAGACGGGTCGGATTTTTCTGCGAGGTGAGCCACCATTCCGGGAGACGTGTGACATGCTGTGCCCCGACGCCCTAGGCTGTGTGCCGATCAACCAGGACCAGTGGATCCTGCGAACTTGGGTTGCCAAGGGCGGCCAAGGTCTTGCCCAAGTTTTTGTTTGGGGCGAGCAGGCACTGCCCGAAGTGATCGACTTGCGTCAGATGGCCAAGGAGGAGGAAGAGGAGCGAGAGCGCCTGCGTCTTGAGAAAGAGAAGGCGGAAGAGGAGGAAGCCATGGAGAAGGAGATCTCCAAAGCGGACTTGGCAAAGATACAGAAAGAGTCAGAAATTAAACTTGAAGACATGACGGAAGATGAAGCCAAGCGGCACCGGCAAACGCAGGCAATGGAGAAGGCCAAGAGGGAAGCGGAAATGAAGAAAGACCGCTCGATGAACGACAAGCCTTCCTTCGACTTAACGGCGCTGACTCGTCAGGCGGCGGTGATGGATGAAGAGTTTGCCGCGCCCGTAGATGTGTTGCCGCCTCCCTGGATGAAGAACTGCACCATCGCGCCTGCTCAGCAGCTCCGCGGTGCGGATCCCCCGCTGCAAGTACAGATGAAGCAGCCTAAGAAGGTCATCTACAAGGTCACCAAGGAGTCGGATCGCAGGAAAGTAGCCAGGGCGAAGAGGGCACTGAACGACGCCGAAGGCGAAGATGACGGGGCAGACAGTCCGGACAGTCGTCCGGAAAGTCCGGACGATGAAGCCTGAGTTTGCATCCTACACAAATCTTGCTTTTTTTTCTCTCGAGTCACCGTGTCACCCCCGCGCAGAAGCCACATGTGCAGTCAACCTCTAGGTTGGGAAAGATTTCTCGCAGGACGGAATCTCATGTTGCATGTCCGTGCAGGCGGAAAACATGAGCTTTCGACTTGCAGGGGAGCCTGCAACTGTTGTCACATGCTTGTGTTCTGGTTGCTATATTGCTATATGTTGCCATGTACGGGAACGATCCTCGCCCAGACCTGGAGATTGTGCATTCGCAACATGAAGATGGTGGATGAGTGCTCCCAGGAGCAGCAGGAGGTGTTTGTTTTGAGCAAGCTTCTCTAAAAAAAACCATATCTTCGGCTTCGCAAGCGAATCATCTTGGCTGTGCAGATGCTTCGGCTTGTCGAGCGCAGCAACATGTTCCCTGCTCGGAGAATCCTGAATTTCTTAACGAGACTCCTCTTTGGCCTGACATGCAGATACACTCGGTGAAGGTGGATGCTGCGACTTCAAGAAGAACGCCAAGAAGTTGAGGAGTGAGATGTGCCAGGCATGCGCATCCGACGCGTCTAAACGTTGCAATCTGGAGGAGCAGCTACTGTCAGCGTTGGTGCAGGCTGGAGCTGCAGACCATGTAGAAGCCATATTGCTAAGGGCAACAAGCGCTTGCAGCAGCACGTTTTGCAAAGTGTTCAAGTCAGAGAGAAGAACTTTCGAAAGGCGCGATTTCAGTGTGCGTGTGTGTGTGTGTGTGTGTGTGTGTGTGTGTGTGTGAACAACCTTTTTGCATAGGTGCGAGCCCATTCGCATTCAAGCAACCTGCCCATAAAGTGTACCGACATTTTGCACCACTGTGTGGTTATCTTAGGGGCATGATTATGAGATGTTGAACCCTTAAACGACGACACCGTTTCTGTCAGTGTGCTGAATACCTTGTGTCATTATGCATCGCTGTGTATGGCGTGCCTGCTCAGGCTTCATGTAGTCGTTTATGCCCTCGCGGCGCATTGCAATCACAATCGCTGCTGTTTTCTGCAAGACACTGTTCCACGACCAGAGAGCAAGATCAGAGTTGCAACCCCAGATCTTGTCTTGCAGTCACAGATCTGTTGCCATCCCCAGGTTCGTCGATATCCCACATTAACGCAGACACAAAGGTCGGTACCATTCCACGTGCTGCGCATGTGGCTTGACAAACGCAAGAGTGCAAGTGTGTGCGTGTGTGAGTGTTCTGCCATGTATCGGTCGACCACCCCAAACACCAGATTTACATGCCCCCCTCCTCCACAACAACAAAACCAAGCAAACAAAAGCGAAAGAAATTTCTGTGGTGTCTGCCTTGCAGCTGGGCAACCTGAGGGGACTTGGGGCTCAGGCGATTTGGGATTGACTTGGGCGCAAAAAATCGGGTCGAACAGGTGAATGAGCTGCAGGAGGCGCTCGAAGTACCTTTTGATCTCTGCCATTTTCAGCACGGGGCCAAGTCATGACATGCGAGACTTGCGCGCCGATAGGCCTTGTCCTTGGAAGCCAGGAGCCCAGCACAGCGCTGGCACAGCTCATGTTCATGCTGTGCTCTCGTGCTCTCTCGATTTCGCGAGGCCCGCTCAAAGGAGTGTCTGGTTGACGAGTTCCGGCAGCTCCAGGTTGTGGCTTCAGCTTGGAGTGTTTCTCTGGAACTGCATGGTTGCGGGCACAGCACTGCAACTTTGCAGGAGCATTTGAGAGCTGCCAGGGCGTGAGACTTGCTCACGGAGACTGAGCTTCTTTGACCAGTACAGCGGGCACAAGGGACTGCTTTGCCATCTGTGGCATCTGCGGCAGTTGTACAGCGTAATTGGTGGCCTTCACCGTGCGCATCTCGCAAAGTCATTTGTTCTGCACCCCGACGCCGGGAAGCTGCGCGGAGCATCGCGTTTTAGTGAGATGCGACATCAGTTATTCCCGCAAGTTGGATGAGCTTTGGTGCCTGTAGCATAAGTTGGTGGGCGCCGGTGGACTTGTTGGTGCTGGAAGTGCGAGCTTTGGGCTCGAGACTTCCGTTATTCTGGACCATCCATCTTTCTCGCATCTTGCCTGAGCGGAACACTGGCAGAACGACATCCTGTTGGAGGAGGCTGATGTGCCAGGGTGGCAAGATGCCGTTGCTTCCCCATGATTTTTTTGCTTGTTCTCGAAAGGATCCACAAACGAGCCATCAAAACACAGATTCTGGAGACCCTTTGTCCAAGAAAGCCTCGAAACGCAGCATCCAAGGCGCCTTGGAGTTCTAGCCTTAGCACTCGAAGGTGCACCACAACTGTTGAAGTCTGGAACTCGGCATGTTTTAGGTTTTCGGACTCTCTTTTCCCATCGCTGTGCTCGCGACTGCCGGGCACTTGGCACATCCAGCCGGATCTGTCTAGGACCTAGATCTAGGTCATCTAGGTTGCCTGACGTCGGCTACTCTTCTCAGGAAGGAAATTACCAATCATTGGTCTTCTCGGATGGCCATGTCGAGAGATCGCGACACATACATAAGATGCTTGGTTGCACTGCTCGGTTTGCCCCATCTGGGCGCTGCAGAAGAAGCGCACTTTGACTCTTCCTTGAGCTACGATCCGTGTTTCTCAGCTCAACCTAGAGATCCTATTCCCTAGCGCAAAAACTGGATATTTGTTGCAGCGTCCGTCACGGGCGCTTGATCGCTTGATACTGTATACTGTGACATTGCTCAGAGGCAGCATCGTCATATGCGGCGCGACACCAGCCTTCATCACCATCGAGACCATGTCCATAGTGTCGAGGTCCATGGGAAATGGCCACTGCTTATTGGTCCGTGTGGTTTCATCGCGTAGTCTCCTTTGCTCGCTTCCACTGCTGCTGGGCAGGCCGAAGCAGTGCTGTCTCAGGCTAGAGGGAGTGGCTCAAGACGTGTCCTGTCGGATGCACCGCAGCAGGCAGACGTCCTACAAGACCCCAAGCCAGCGGACAAATTTGGGGGCCCACAGGCAAGCATGCTGCAGCAGCTCGTTCCAAGACTGTTGATATTTACAAGAATATTGCTGCCGTGCCTTTTTCAGACAGGACAATGATCGCGTGGACGAGGTGAGGTTAGCCAACCGCACCGAACCCAAGTCCGAAGCCGGCAAGAGCGTTGCGCCCTCGGGCTTTCGAGCTAGCATTAATGCGTACAGTTCAAGGATGTACGAAGCCTTGTCAAGGCATGGAGCCAGTGGGCATGTGCGCTTATGTGTGCCGGCAGAGCAGCGGATGGCTGCTGTTCTTACAAAGGCGCGTGACACACGAAGCTCTTGGCCAATTGCCTCTGCCTTTTCACGAATCCGGCCAGAAGACTCGGGCAGCTGTGAGTTCCTTCCCGGGAGCCCGGCCAGAACTCCGGAAGCAGGCCAACCGGATCCAAGCCAGTAGCCCAACCAGTTCCATTCCCTGATGGGAGACCATGCTCTCCTTGCGATCTCTAACTGGTAGGCATGAAGCTGATTTGGCAGTGATGTGGAAATCACCGAGTCATGAATGCAGGATGGACACAGGCCCAGTGCATTCCAGGCTATGGCACCGCCAAGTGCACGAGCCTCAAGAGGTAGTGGCAGTATGTGGTACTGTGGAGACCGGTTTCCGAGGCACCCCCTGGACCGCGGGCCGTTGCACTGGCTCCAATCCACAGCCAGCTCGGGACCCAAGCAATTCTAACCCTGGGGGCTGCCCGGCTACCCTTGACCCTCCTTGTGAAAGAGGTGGGATTGGGCAAGGCTTTTGCGTTTTAGGGGTTCAGACCGAAGAGGAGGGACACAGCAGTTGCAGGTGTGTAAACCCCGCTGGTGAAGCGGACGTCTTGTTCGGTTTAGGCCCTATGCTTTTTCCCGATTGTCAGGCTTCGCCTGGTCTGCCAGTTTGGGAACTTATCTGGGAGGCCTGGGCGTGGGAGAAAGCGATCTCTTGAAGCATGCTGACACATGTCACTGTTGTGCTCAGGACCATTTTGACTCGCAGACGTGCGTTCCTGACACTTTGGGCGTCCTGCGACCCAGCCCGAAGTTTTGGAGTGCCTTGGCTGATTGAGCTGGGGCGAACATGGGTCAGCGCGAACAACACACGATGAGAACCTGCGAGGCCCCGAAATCGGCTACAAGCGGGGTAAGGACTCGGGGAGTTTACAAGGGCAACGCAAAGTTGTTGACACCATCGTCCGAACGCTTGCTTTGAGTGCGCATCTGTAGTGAGATTTGACTTCTCTCGGTGGCGAGACGAAGTATGTGTCTGGCATTTCCTATAACAAGTGCCGTCTGCATGAACGAAGCCACCGATGTCCGAAACTTGAAAGCGACTTGCCCTTGTGAACGGAGAAGCAGTATGTGCAAGTACAATGCTGGCCAACGGGCTGTAAATGACCATCTGCCGTACATAGGCCGGAACCTGCCGGACAAGGTTAGGAGAATGCAAAGGGCACCGCTGCCCTGCGAGGCACCAGGTTGACATTACCTCGCCTGTTTCGCAGTTCCAAACTTGCTGGGATGCGGAGGTTGAGCCGCATCACCGTAGGTGGAGGATCTGACATCGTGGGAGCTGGGCCGACGTCTCCCCAACGCCAGACCGGCGCGGGGGGGTTGAGTCGCACCATCGATTGGTCGACTATGTTGAACCTGTGCAGCGAACAGAAATTGCCGGGCGGGGTTGGGCCACATTACTTGTAGCAATACAGCGGTCCAATCACTTTCCTAAACGAAGCCGCCAGCCTTCTTCTTTCAAAAATTGGCAACTTCGCCATTGGTGATACTGGTTGGCACTCATTGTGCTTCCAGCAGGAGTTGCAGTGGTACACCCCAAAGAACGCCGAGTGACTCTTGGATGGCAAGTCCGGAAGAGCGATGGTGGCATTGCACATGTGCTTGTCAAAAGCTCAAGCATCTCCGAATGTCTCCGAAACAAATGAAGGCAAAGATGGAGCATTGATCATCACAGCCAAGCGGGAACGCCAGGCATGGCAGAAGCCGCAGGCACCGTCAAAGGGCCATGCACGGTGTGGACTCTACATCTAGACCTGGTTATCTCCAGCTCAAGTTTGGAGATCTCGAGATATTTCTGCGTCTTGGATGTAGATGTCTTTGGGTTCTTTGATGACCCCTTCTTGCCAGGGCCCGCAATGCCAAGTCATGAACTGGGACCCCGACGAACAGCCTTTGGACAATGCGTCCTGTGCCGCTCTTAGAGAGCATGAGCATGAGCGAGTTCACGCACCCTGGGCAGCCCCTTGGAGATTGTTCCCCAAAAAAGGTGCTGTCTGTGCTCCGCCGTATTTTCAATATTACAACCCGTGCGACTTGGTGCGGTCACCTTGTTGCATCTACGCAGGATTGGGCATCGGGCAGTCAGGTAGATTGGAAAAGGGTTTCCTAGGAGAGTATTTGAGTATTTGCGGCATTGCTTAGGATGTTTGATGAAACCTCGCTTGGCCAGCTGTTGTGTTGTTTTTCACAGTAGAGGCAGCAATGAGGCTCGGAATGTCCGGCTTGACTTCAGGTGGGTTGAACAAACCCAACGCCCCCTTTTTGGTAGCGAGAGAGGAAAGCCCAAAACCCTTCAAGTGGATGCCCCTAGAACCGACTTCTGCAAACGCTCAGCATTTCCTAGAGCTAGCCCAGCCAGAACTCCAAGACATCCCAGTGTACTGCACCAAGAGCCAGAACCCTAAGACATTTCCAGTGTAAACCCAAAACCTCTGCACCCCAATCCCAAAGCTTCAAAACGCCAGCCTTAATCCCTAAACCCCAACCTCAGCCCTAATCCCGAAACCCTAAACCAGAGTCCTGAACCCGGAACCCTCAACTGCAACCCCAAAACCCCAATTCTCAGCTCCTTGCAAAGCCTAAGCCCCCAGGCGAAAGCATGAACATCGACATCCTAAGCCCAAAAGCCTAATGTTCGCTCGGCAGATGAGGAATGACGACTCTGGTGGCCCGGCGTGCGACTGTTCGGAATCAGCCGAGTTCACCTCGGCGTCGCTCATGACTCGTGGCAAGAAGGATCAAGAGCCTCTGCGCAAACACCGATTCACAACCTCAGCATGTGCATGAAGTCTAAGTGTTGGGATGCACTGTTAAGTGCCAGAGTGGCGAGTCCTTGCAACACACTTTAGCACACTTGTGCCTGTAGAAGGATGCTGTCGGGTCATGAGCATGTTTTAGCTGGCAGAATGACAGTATCATTTCTTCCTCCTCTTGATGGGAGGAGTTCTCCTACGGCCTTTTCGAGTTACGGGCGAAGATTGACACCAGACCAGGCAAGCCTGGATGCCTTGTGATGCCTCACTCGCTTGACTTAGCCCCAGGTGCCTGGTCCAGCTGGTGGGCTGTCGGCCCTTCGGCCGCAGTGCATCGTGTTGAGAAGCTAGAAGAGTCGAAGAGTCTAAGAGTCTAACAGCGCTCCTCCGAGTTGTTCACGCGGCAGGGGAATGGTATGAGCGACTTGTAAGTAACAGGCGCAGCATCGACGGCACTTGCAGCAGAATTGTTGCACTTCACGGCAGGGACACCGAAAATGGGAAGAAAACAGAAAATGTGCTGGCACTGTGGGAAAGTTCGCCAAATTGGGAAGGTTTTGATAACGAGTGCTCGAAAGGAGGGTTGATGGTTGGAGGGGCCTGTGTTATGGCCCGCACCGTCTGAGCTTTGTGGGCTTTCTGAAGTTTGGGTTTGAGTTTGTGCTGCTCGTGCTTGGATGCCTTTAGGAGGTTGGGGGGGCTTAGGGCTGTGAGTTGGCGCCGACAGCAGAAGCTGTCTGGAGCATCATCATCATCATCACCACCAACATCACAGCACAAGCTGGACCCTGCCGTACCAGTACCCTCCTAACAAGCCTAAGATGCTTCTTAGATAAACAAGAAAATGGCACAACAGTACACAAAGCCCAGTTGGCAGTCAGCCCAGCCACAACGGCGACTTTTATTGTCTTTAAATATACATATTGTCATTATATTGTTGTCGTGATAATGCAATGGGTAGGTCTGGAACGCCTTTGAGTGCGGCATTTGTACGAACGCAGTCGGCGTTCGGGCATGGATGCTCTGGTCACTGGATGCTCTGATCGCACGGGCAGCATCGTGCGGGATGGATGGAACGAATCGTGGAAAGCAGGACGATAATGGACATAGCATGGACAACACGGTAAGAATGGCGGAAAACTGCATTCGTCGAGAACACTGGTGTACACGATGTTCTCGGCACACAAATGCAACACATTCAATTCTGGGCGATGTAGTCAGCCTGTCCAGTGCGTGAGCAGCCCGGCAGAGCCTCTAACAAAACTGATCAAAACTGCGCACAAAAAGACTGCCAAGTTGTAGGTCTAGCTAAGTTCGATTATTGCAGGCGATTTCGATTATGTGCCCTGGCCAAAGAACGGGGAAATCGACATCATGGATGCCTTCCAGCGAATGGTAAAAGCCAGCGCGACTTGGGCGCACATCATCTGCGATCACTCGCCATGCCCAGGGTTGTTGGAGCACTTTTGCTCCTGGGCTTTCAGGTAATCCATTCCGGTGAGTCCGGGCTTCCGAGCGGTGCAATTCAGCATGCAGGCAAGGATCACTGATGATCATGGCGCAAACTAGAGACATGGATTGTGGAAGCAAGCCGCTGCAGCAAGCCGCTGCAGCAAGCCGCTGCGCAAGCCGCTGCGCAAGCCGAGCGAAGCTGCACCCCATAGGTGCTCGCATGGTTGACCGCGAATGGGAGAAGCTGCGCACTCAATCCGACACGGTGTGGAGGGATGGCTTGTTATCGCTTGGTCTAACGAAGGTACTACCATACCTGGCAGCTGGAATGGGACGAGAACTTCATAGAGATACGAATTGATGGCGAAGTGATTCTGAAGGCAGCCCTGTGTTCACACATGTCCCACACAGCAGCGTGGTGAAGCTGCGGTGCACTCAGCTTGACCTCTCCGTGGCGGATCCAAAGCGGACCTCCTGGCCCAATCCATTCACGCAGGGCAAGCCGCAGCCTCGGACAGCCTCAGACAGGCGCAGCCCATCTGAGTAGCACATCTTGACATCTTGAGGAAGTTCTTCATGATACTGAACTTGGCAGTTGGTGGTCATTCAGGAGGTAGGTTGGTGATGCTTGGTGAGTGTGGGGGATTGTGGGGGGCTGTCTTCGGGAAATGGAGTTGCTGCAGCAGGAGATGCTTCCTTGACGCAGTTCCCAGCGCAACTTCATGTTGACTACATCCGCAGGGACCTTGCTCCAGTCAATTGACTTGCGGCGAGATGTTTGTGCACGGCTGGCTGAGGTGTGTACGAGAAGAAGGGCACGACGGCGAATTAGTCAGTAAGAGCTCCTTGAGAGCTGCTTCCATGGGCTTCTTGTTTGGAAGACCATCAGACCTGCGGAGCCGCCGCAGATTCTACAAGAGTTGCTGGGTATGGTGCGAGTTAAGGCAGGTGCATGCTGGGATTCTTTGGCACCATTTGGCACGGTGCATCTGCGACCCACGGATCAAGCTTGGACACATGACACATGCCAGATCTTGCAGCATGGACCAGAACTTGAACTTGCATGCACGGCATGAGTGTGAATACGTAGAGCCAGTGCATCCGACATGCAATGACGTGAGACGCGGCGTGCAAGAGATATAAGAGCAGCTACTTCAAGGGGCAGAGTCTTTTTGAATGAGCCATGGCACACGGCATGCAGAGTTGAAGCCTCATCCGTGTTGCGGGGCGCACATCCATTTAGATGGCAGATGATGCAAGGTTTGGGAGTCGATGGTCCACCAAGCGGCTATGAACCTTCGCAGGAATTCGTAGTGCCAAGCCCATCGGAGCTCCTGAAAGGAAGCTTCAATCTCAGTCTGTGCAGGCACCAATTGGTGGAGGAGGTGGTGGCGGGTCCATGGTTCCAGCCTGAAGCACTTGATTGAGACAGTTCTGGAAGCTATGTGTCAACGCCCATCACGACTTTTTGCGTGTTGGCTTTCCAGGCAGCCGTATCACAGCTTTTCACCCGGCTCGCCCAGGAGATAGAGGTGGGATATGGTGGGATGTTTATTCTCCGGACGAATGGGCACAGGAACCTGCAGACTGTGCAGTCCTTGTTCCTGTCATGCCAGGAGCAGAAGCCGAAGAATTGCATCCATTTTGTGGTGGACTTTCTTTGCAAGCCCGGCGCCCGCTGCAGAGGTTGTTTTGATGTCTTAGATACTCCTCACGACCTCTCAGGCACTATCCTGAGCACTTGCATGGCTTTGCCTCCATCTGGCAGGCAGGTCCTCAGTTGCAAGAAACCATAGAACACAACACAAGGCATTAAGAGTATAAAGGCTTAGAGTCCATAAAGAGCCTGGCGAAGAACTCGTGCTCTTTACCAGATGGACCCAGACCTGGAGCGGGAGAGGCATGAGGCCAGGTCCGAGCGACACCGGCATTCCAGAAATTTCCTGAGTGTTCTTGTTCTCTCTGAGGTGGTGAACTTCTTCAAAGCCCACAAGATCTCCACAGCCGTGGCGGCTCACTTCACAAATGCCGGGTGTCGTGCTGAGACCGTGTATGAGCAGCCCCTTAAGTAGGGCATTTTGTCCCTTTGCAAGCTACAGAACAGAACATTTCAGGTATGACACCCTCGATACTTTGACAACGCTATCGCCAGATAGCCTCGTCGACGTCGAGGCCGATTTCAGGGCCGGTCTCAACTTCATCCCGCTGATGTGCTCTGAAGGCCTTCAACAATGTGAAGTGGCTGCCCGGCCACAAGGCTCTCACTTTGGCAAGCGCAAGCTGCGACATGCAAGAAAAGACATGGCACGTGGCTTGAAAGGTCAGACTTCAGCAAATCTTCAGCGAAATCTCTGCCAGGGTTCGCGCGTGCGCGAGCTTTCTTGCCACGCAATCGAGCATCTTGCAATGCCTCGCAGCAGGAAGCGCCCGCTTTGTGAAGGTACCGGCAGCAATTTGGAGATGGTCAGCAAAACCGTGGCCTGCCGAAAGATGCTTCTGAGCCGCAGATCTGCGAGTCTGCACAATGTTTTAGCCCCAAGGCCGGCGGCACAACCACCAAGGCCAGGCTGGCAACTCAGCTCCGGCCACAGGCTTATGGTGTTCACGGTGTTTTGCACCTGGCATATTTATGCACATGTATTCGCATGGTGCGGGTGTCTCTTTTCACAAGAAATCGTAGCTTCGTGCGCGTTGTGGGCCTTAAGGTTGACAGGCGACACGACTCGCCCCCTCAGTACAACAGGTCACACCACCCTATTCATGATGCTCGCCAAGATCATACATGGTTCATGCTTCTGCTGGTTTTGCTGTTGGAGCATGATGTTTCGCTGTCACAGAGCATCGAGTCTCAGGACAGTTATGCACCGCATGCTCATCATCCAGCAGGTCATCCTCATCAAACACACGGCCATCACGCTTCAATCAGCCATCATGGCACTCCACCACACCCCCATGCCGGAGCCTCAGGTTTCAGATTGGTGCTGTATTTTGCAAGATTCGGATGACCGGATCCTTTTCAGGTCGCAAGTCACCACAGTGTCGCACACCCGGCAGCCGTGTTCTCAGCGGACCATGCTGCGCTTACTTGGAAGTCGGCCTGTTGTTCCGTTTACCTTAGCCGGGCTTCGCACATTCTTCCGTTGTTCGTTTGTAGATCTTCGTGTGTTGAAATCCGGCAGAACAGTCGTCCCCAGCCGATGTTTTCAAAAGACGTGTGAGCTGCAGAGGCATTCGATAAAGCCGATCTAAGCTCTTGAGGTCAGTCACCCTCACCACGTGTCTCCAGTTGTTTATCCGCAGTCGTCACATCCGCCTCAGGCGGCTCGCCAAATAGTGCAGTAGTGCACTTTGTTTCGCACATAGCATCCCAGCACCACAAGGCTGAAATCTGAATCCAATCCTGTGCAGATGGCGTCCGGGGATCGGCACGTGGCCTACACTGGCGGCTTCAGTGGTGGCTATGCAGGCGGCAACTGCCCAAGGCATCAGAAAGGCGTTGAAATCATGAGACAAAAGATTGCTGTTCCAAGCTTGCGAGCAAGGTCTTGCCCCTCCTCAGTCTGTTGCTCCTATGGCTCCCCCGGCAGCAGGCAGGTGAGTCTTCTTGCCCTCTGCATGATGGAAGCAGTGTGCCAGGACTAGCTTGACTCTTGACTTCTTTGCTTGTGATAGGGGCCCTTGACATGGGCAGTTGGTAGACTGCAGGCGTCCGACCAGCTTTTTCCTCCATTTTGTTTTTCCTTTTCTTTTCTCCTCAAAAATTGACAGTCGCCGGTTTACGGCCGCAGGAGACCACGGTTGCTCACGTAGCCAGATCTCTTCCTTAAGTCCGAGTTTGTGCTTGTGTTTTTTCTTTCCAACCTGTCCCTGCAAATGAAGCTGCGGGCACCCTCGCGGTTTGTGAAAGACTGCGCCGTCACAAGGAGATGGATGGCAATGAGCATGAACGAGCTCTTCATAGCTCTTCCCTCATTCCGACTCATTCCCCTGCAAGGGAGTCTTGGTCACACAGGTCCACCGAAGGTCTGGAAGGCGGAGTCCATCCTTGACCGCGTGTCAGCACCACATTTCATGGTGCTTGCGTAGGCCGCAGTTGCCAAGCAGAGTGTGGGGCCCATGGGGCCCATGGGGCCCATGCCAGTGCAAAGAATTCTTGCTGAGTTCGGGTTTACCGACGGGGAGATGCTGGTGGGATAGGCGGTTGGACAAAAGCGCTGTGCTGAAGTCCTGCATGTGGACAAGCATTGCGATGAGACATATGTGCCTATTCATGGGTGGCGGAGGCCAGGGAGGGGGCCACAAGACACCCAAAGTGCTGAGACCTGGCCTCAATCGAGATCAAGCGATGCAGCAGACCATGGCCGGCACGAGGTCACCCATGCGGCATCAGCGAGTCATATAGAGCCAAGAGACTTCGTGGCGAAGGAGCCGGCGATGGCAGGCACAGGGCAGCCACGATGTCGTTCCCGCGGCGCCATCTGGCTCACGAGTCATCTGGAGGTCATGAGGTCATGAAGGAAGGAGCCACAGGAGTTACAGCGACTCCGTGCCGGGCATGGCCGTCGAGTCGGCATTTTGTTGGCCTTTGCACTTTCTCCCCGGGCCATGGTCTTTGTGGTCGTTGTGGTCTTCGTTGTTTGTTCCGAGGCCGGTGAAGCCGCATTAAGAGTGGTCGGAAGAGTGGTCCCGAGATCTGCTGTTGGCCCGACTTGACGAGATCCTGCACTCGTGCGGTGCAGGGGTGTGTTATGTCACATATGTCGATATACCTTCCGTGTGCACCTTGACATGAGCTGAGACGTCCGCTGCCGCTGTTGCGTCGGCTTTCGCTGGTTGTCCATGTTGTTAAAAATTGTTAGACATTGGATGCCCACGCGCTGAATGAAGTGCACACCGGTCTAGCCGAACGCAGGAGACTCTTGCTTTCCTGCAGCATTGTTGTGACGCTGCAGCATGCTGCAGCATGCTGCAGCATGCTGAAATACACAAATGATTGCAGAAGTATACGGTAGGACTTGGTCATATTTGGTCCATTTGGTTCTCGTGCGGTGTCGACGTCGAGCACCTGTTTCTGTTTACCCTGCAGGTATGAGCCTCTCTCCGGGGCTCCCGAACATGTCGCGCGCTCAGCCCAGCAGCAACGTGCAGCACCGCGCCGGCTCCCCAAAGCCTTTGGCCCTTGGGGCTTTTGGGTCAGTGTCTATGTGTGTGTGTGTGTGTGTGCAGAGGTCGGGCAACATCTTCCTAGCAAATAGTGCGATCCATCCTCCTTCTTGAGACATCTCAAATGTGCCCATGGCTTGATTTGGAGGCAGTTGCTTGGAACTCGGTACAGTGTGGTGTTGGAGGTACGTGTCTTGGGAGCTCTGGTTGTGACCGGGATTTCTGCAACGTGGCTGTTGAAAATTTGCTGGGGCAGATGCAATGATAGCTGCTTAGAGGGAAAGCCCTGCAAAGATTTATATGCAGACAGCGTAGACTTGTTTCCTCTCGCGTGCAGTCCCACCGACTGGCGAGATGCATAAGCTTCGTAGTCGTAGCAGGGACTGCCGCTCCAGGTTGTTCAGGTGTATTTTATACATGCGGTCATTTTACACCTGTTATTGCTGACATCGGGGCATGCGCCCGCACAAGGAAATCCTCCTTGTGCACGACCTGACTTAATTGGTGATGTTCAGTGTTGCACAATGCTGCTCTCACCGATGTGTGCATGCAGCAGCTGTAAAAGCGACTCAGTTTTCCCAGCGGCTGACTCTGGATGATGACCTTTGCTTGCTTAGTTGCTCTGACAGGTGCAGGTGCAGTGTTGATATTTTTTCCCGCAGCCGTTCGGTCTGATCCCGAGACCGCAAGCTGCCTCCGTGTTCACCCTGGTTCACCCTCCTTTCCGCATTGGGCTTAGAGGTTTAGCGTGCCTCGGCCTTGCAGATCAGGCAGATCAGCTGACTTTGAGAACTGAGGTGTCACTCTGTGAGGCCCCGTCGGTTTTGCTTGCCTGGCGCAAACCTTTGCACAAGTTCCCCTGGTTGAGAGCCAAAGGCATGTCACATCGCACATGATGGTTGCAGGCGGCTGGGATCCGGCCTGGCGGCGTGTCACCTCGTAGGGTGGGTGCGGGGCTCTGCAGCAAGTACTAGGGGCTCATGCCACCATGCCATCTCGTGCCGTCACTGTCACCGAGCTCAGGCATCTACGAGCCCATAGCATGGCAGACAATTATGGAAAAGGCCATCCAAAGAATCATCTTTGTGGCCCAATGTGGCCCAATCCCAATCCATGCTCTGTTGCAGGGAAGAGGAGCCGAAAGGGAGGAAAGAAGGGCGAGGACACGCACACGCAAGCAAAGCCTGAAGGGGCGGGCTTCAGCATGTGCCATGCTCAGGACTATGATTCCGGGTATGGCAAGGGTTATGGCCTGGCACTTGGGGTGCTTGCTCGGTGCAGGAGCAGTTCCAAGTGTCTAGTCCTGTGCAGGCGCGCCCCGGAACAATTCAAACATGGGAAGCTCCAATGCAGGCAGAAAGTGAACGAAGTTTGAACGAGTTGAGAGTTCGACCTTCTCTTCGCGCGTCAGGAGGTAAGCCTGCCAAGGACGCAGCGCAGGCCATGGCTGATGTGTTTGTCCCCTTTCCGCCCTGCACCACGTGCAACGTGCAAGCTGGCGGCGAGGTCCACCACTACCCACCGAAGGAGATGGCCGCAGACGTCGGTGCTCCTTCTGCAGTTTCGTACTGGCATGCGTCGTCTCTCTGCCCAGCTGCACTTTCTTCTGACTCCGCCTGCAGGTTATCCAGTTAGGGGTGGGCAGACCTTGTTGATTGAACGCCTGACCTGGTTGATCAATCGGGCGTGCTCACAATTAGAGGTGTTTTTGGTTTCTCTGATCTGATTCTTCCATTGCCAGGCGTACTTTCCTTGGGAGGCATCTGAGGCGCAGAGTCGCATCGACTAGCCTTGCAACAGGTCTTCAGCTTTCGTAGTGCACGCGCACTACGTGCACGTGCCACCAGGCAGACATTGAGAGGGAGTTTTCAAAGTTTTGCCGCGTGAAGCGGGTCCACTTGGTTGTGGCAGCCCCGGCACACCTGAGCCTTGGAGAGCATGTGACGACTCTGACGGCGGAAATTTTTCAGAGGTTGACAAGTCTTCTCGGAAGCCTCGTTGCTTCGGCTTTGTCAAGTTCCTCAGCAAGGCTTCGCTTAAATGAGGTTTGCTCGTGGACACGACCTGTTCGGTTCTTCCTGCACATGCGGGTGTCCAGTATGAGCAGGCTGATGCTGAAGAAGCCCTTCGGGCCACTACCCAAGGAGGGTGGCCAGCCGTAGAAATAGTAGCATGCATGGGCATGGAATGCTTTGTGTGACTACCAGTTGACTTGGACTCGCAGGACTGGTGCAGCTGCCAGATACTCGAGGTCATGTGTGGCACCTCAAGGCCAACATGAGAGAAGATCTCTTGATGTCTTGATCCATCAAACTGCTGTCCATGACAGTGTGAGGCTGAGTGGACAAAGTCTGGTGACATGGTAGTAGACGATTCCGAAGCAGAACAGGAGGTGCGAATCGTCCTCCTTGGTTGGCGTTCCTCTTGAGAGCAAAAGCGGCAAACTCAACAGGTTGCGAAGAGGAAAGAGGAGAGGCGCAGTCGCACCGACACTGCTACCCCTGGAGCAGCACCACGCATGGGGCTTAGAATCTTCAGGCGGCGGGTGCAGATGAGCTTCGTCATGTGACATAGAAATACTCATTTCGCCTTTTCATGTACCGCTTGGTCATGTCACTGCAGCTTGAGGCACCAACTCGGGTAAGGGAAGCGCGCCGCCACCGAAGGCGTGCGTGTTTTGCTGTCTCGTGTCGTCAGTTTGTGGAAAACACCTGGCATGACGAGCCCACATGTCCAGGGCGCCCTTCACCCTGGCGTTCCGGCTCCCTTACCCCCACTGCAGACGCGCTATCCCCCGCAGGCCCAACGAGGGTCAGTCCGGGTCAGTCGAAAGGGCCGGGACAGTGCTAAAGTTTGTATTGACGTCTATTCTTTACCGCATCCTGACTTACAGCTGCAGTAAACTGCCAGGCCGCAATTGGCATGCCGCCGCCGCCGCCAGCAGCCCTCCAGCTTCCATCTCAGCTTTGACCAATTTGAACAAAGCCCACGACTCTTCCAGAGCCCGACTTGTGTTGGAGATTGTGGTTGCTCGTCAGAGTAGCAGACGTAGGGCTCGAGAGCATTTTGAGAGCTCCTGGATTCAGGGCATGTCAGCAGGCAAGGCCCGCCAGCCTGTGCTCAGGCCTGATAATCATGCCATGGAAACGCCCAGGACTTCATTGGGCGGACTTTCCCAGGCTCCCGACGAGGCGGAGGGCGCGATGCCGGAACGAGTGGCCAGCGTGGCCAAGAGACCCGAACACCATCGCATGGCAACGCCTCGAAATTCCCTGGGTTCTGCGGCTTCTTCTCCTCGACGGAGTTGGCGTTTGTTGCGACGACCCGACAATCATGCCATGGAGACGCCTCGGACATCCCTGGGCTCAGGTCACCGAGTCTCTTTGTCTTTGCGGGATGATCGGGGGAAGTGCACCTGTCGGCGCAAGACGGCCTGTGTGGTAGGCTTGATGCTGCTGGTTCTTCTGGCGGGAGCTGTCGCCTTCGTGATGCTCACAAAGGGCAAAGCTGACCCCGGCATCATGCCGCAAGGAGCCTGCTCCACGGTGCAGATTCAGCAGGGCTGCGCGCCGGGTTTCTGTACATCAAGCCGGTGCGCTTGTTCTCCAAATTATGACCAGATGGACGACTCACACTGCGCAGTCCCTCTTGCGAACAAGCGCATGCAATTCTTTGTGTACCGAGTAGGTGGAGACGTTGCTGATGATGCCGCTGCAGGAGCAAGTGGAGGTTGCTCTGCGGACTTTGCACAGGTCTACAGCTTGCAGGGTATTCTATGGTACGTTCACAACGCAATTGTGAACCAGTCCTGTCCTCGCAGTATGAACATGACCCGCATTCTACGCTGCAGAGCGACAGTCTTCAACACGGAGCGCCCGTTCCTGGAGTGGAAAGGGCAGTTTGGTCCCTTCACCTCCTTTAACAGCTCTGGTAGCTGCACCAGCCCTGACTGCTTGCAGACTTGGAAACGGTTCGGCCATGTGGTTGGATGCCTACCATGGTCAGGCTACATGGGCGGCTACAGCTATGGCAACTCGTCACACCTGTATTCTTTCCCTGATGAGGCCAGCAAAGAGACTTGCCTGAAACATTGGCAAACCAGCCTCCATTGGTATCGTCTTGTGTCTCTTGTGTTAATCTTTAGGAACTTTAGTACATCCGGACTGACACAGCACCTTGCCCAACTTACATTGGCAGCGCATGTATCTGCAGGTTTCTGGTAGCTGTTCGCAGCCGGACGGGTCCAATAACTGCACTTGGAAAATGGAGGCAGCTGGAGAAGTTCGGCTGGACGATCTTGAGAACATCTCCGATTATCGGGCTTTTTGTTCTAAGGGTGGAGTTGAGTACATCAAAGACAGGGATGTAGGTAGCGGCTGCTCTTTCTGGGACCATCAGCACAGCAGCATGGCGAACGCTCGACGTGTAGCTCGTTTGCAGCAGCTGTTTGGAGAAGTCTCTGGATCTCGCCTGCCAGAGCCAGTCTGCGACAGCCAAAACTCTGCATGCCACTACCACGAGAAGTGCAGGAACCTGTCTGGAGCCTGTTGCCCAGCGAGCACAGGCATGATGCTGGCCTGCTGTGGAGCTTCCTTTCCCGGTCCTACAAGCACCATCGTTGCTTGATGCTGGCTACAGAGGGGTCTCGGAATTCTCCGCTGCATAGAATAATGCACTGGGCACGCAGTCCCGTGCTCAAATTAGCTTTGACGCGACTTGGACAAAGCAGGAGACGGACTTGCTGTCCCATTAAGGCTGGGTCGCATTCGTTGTATCTAGCTTGCATGGGCGATGAACGAAAAAATGATCATTTCGGCTCATGCAGCTTTCAACTGTGAAAGCTGACGGCTCCACTTCTGACGGTGATCGCATTCATTTTCTGCGCTTTTGAGGCAGCACCAGCAGCGCTCGCTGGCCCTTCGTCTTAACGTTGCCATGCGATCTAGCTGCCAGAGCAGACGCGACGCCCGACACAAGAGAAGCTTGCATGACAAAGTGGCCACCGAGGCGCATTCACATGTCCCTCCGCTTCAACAGCCTTTGCCGCACCAAGGGCAGGCGGGTGCCTTGATGGGTAGTGCAGCTGTTCTTTCGCCATTGCTTTTGCTGTGCCAGCTCTACGGACAGCACATGTATGGCAGCCAGGGGCAGGGCACACAGAAGTTCATCCTGATGATGCTGGTGTTGAATCTTCCTGTGCTGATGCTGTGCGGACGTGTGAAGCGTGCGCAGCACAGGCAGCAGCTGTACAGCAACCAGGCACTGGGGATTTCACGTGCTGGCTGGTGGGGAGTTGCTCCTTTGACAGGCATCCATCTACGGAGGACTTCCTTGAAAGTAGTGAGAGGTGGCAGGTGGTGTGTAGGTGCCGTGTTGAAGGGAGCCCTGGAAGGAGGGGTGCCGGTGGCGCCACTGGGACGAGATCCAGCAGATGCCCCGTTCGTTTCATGTAGTCTGCTGCATTCTTTGCGCGTTTTCTTTTCAAGACTCTGAGGGATGGTTCTTAACAACAGTCGGAGAAAGACCTTGGGCATCATGCGCCCATCATTTGGTTTCGCGAAAATCGCCCCTCCAAACGGTTTGAATGCCCAGTAGTTCGCAATTCTTGCGAGTTGTGTTTTGATTCTCTGAGGTTGGCGGTGGCTTAGATGCCACTCGTGTGGCATTAGCAGGACATAGCAGGATGTTGTTCTGAAGTTTCAGAGCTTCTTGTGAGAAAGATGCGCTTTGGACATGTTTTCCTTCCAGTATCGAGGCCGGAGGTGCACCGCTTCGTGCTGAGATGAACGATGGAGAGCAGAGCAGAGCAAGAAGCAAGAGGGCTTGTTTTGGTGACCTTGGGGTGGCAGTTCCAGAGTTTCAGGGTTTCAAGAAGTCAGATCCCCGCCAAGGCCGCTTCTCCGCGACATCAACAGCTATGCGCACGCGCCACACTCGAACTCTGCCCTGACTGAGTGTTGTACGATAGTGACACCTTGTGAAAGGGGGGTCTGCCAAGGCATCTGCGGCAGCTCAGCAGGTTGGACCTTGAAGTGAGCAGTGCTTTTCCCCAATGATTTCGGGCTGCCTCGCTTCATCCTTGCTTTGGTCTGCGCCGCATCGGGGTGACACAGGCTGCTTATCCAGGGTCCAGCTACGCAGCGGCCGTGGCTGCTGCTCGAGCCTTAAATGAGCAACAGAGCACTTTTCTTGGACACACCTGGCAAGCGCATGATGGGCTTATAATATGACCGTGTTGACAAGTTGATTTCGAGTCCTGGAGTGAGGCTGCAGCCCATGCACCAGGTCGGCGCATTCTCCTGTTGTACCACTAGCGAAGACTGCCTCTCGAGATTTGGTTGCTTGCAGGATACCCGCCTGCTCAATCGCAAAGTTACGTGGGCCCTGGGCTTACCTCTACACTGAGTGAAGCTGCTGTCAAGGCTTGGGCACGAACTAGTAGCGGTCTCTGTCGTGCTCTGTGCTAGGCCAGCCTTATGCTGGTAGTCAGCAACCCTATGTATCACAGCAGGCCGGTTTCCATACAGTACAGTCATTATAGAACTACTTCATCATCGGCTCGCTACATGCAGGCTTACGCAGGAACTGGACAGTATTCAGCTGCTGGCCAGCAGGCGCGTGCTGGTTGTAAACACGACCTTTCAGTCACGGCAATGATGCGTGGTCCACCACCCCCCCCCGCCACCCCCCAATAGGCCGCTTACGCAGCTGGGTTGTGCTCTCAGGTTGCGACATGTAGCGGTGATGTTCTAAGGGTTGTTTTTGCCGTGGCCCAGGCAGCAGGCATATCAAACTGCAGCTGCAACAGCCAGCAGTGCAGTGTATCCTTCAGCCGGAGGGGCGTATCCACCACAGGCTCTTGATGGCTCTTGTTTTTTGCAAGGAGTGCTTCTGGTGTTGTCACGGAAGCTGCAAAAGGCACAGTCTGGTTACGGTGCTCCGCCCGGATATGGAGCAGCTGCTTGCGCCCTACATGCCGGTTTTTGCCGACATGACTTGAGAGCCATCCAGCTGTGAATGCTTCGCATGTCACGCGCATTAGGCACAGTACAGCCAACAGCCCGCATCTTATCCGACCAACCCGGCAACTGCTCCAAGCTCAGATGCGCATGATGCATTCACGCGCAGCAGGCTCGCAAAGAAGTGACTTGCAAGTTTCACGAGGCGTATGCTGCGGCTGGCTACGGGCTGGGGCAAAGTGGCAGACTCAGCTGCACATGCATTCCATACTCCTGTGTTTTTGGGAAAGAGTCAAGCAACTTGACAGATGGCACGAGCCCGAATGTAACCCCTTGTTTTGGTTTTTTGCGGATGTGGAAATCCGATCCGGTCACCCTGCTTTGAACCCTTTGCTCTGCCTTTGCGCTTGTTTTGCAGCAACTTGAAACTTGCAGGTCCGTACAACTACCTCCAGCAACCCGCCGGATCCGGGGCAGCTCGGCAGCAAGTACCGTCTGACCAAGCAGGCCAACGAGCTCAAACGGGTTGCAGGTGGTTGCTTATCCAAACTACCAGGGTGCGCAGGGCCAGGCACTGGAGGGCTGCTTCTACCCTTTGAGAAAGATTTTCAACACTATCTTGCTCGCGGCCACTTGAGCAGGTTGCACAAGCACAGCCGCAACAACCCCAAGCGCATGTGCAGCCCTACACGCAGCCACAGGCCATGCGACTGGGCTTTGAAGGGACTAAAATGGCTGCAGAATCTTGCCCTTTTCCAGGCGGATCCAACCGTTGCGACTGGCAGCCTTGTCCGCCCCTTACGTGTATGAAGGAGTGCTGTCCACTTTGTGTTCCAGCGTCTGAGCTTTTTGTGTGTTGCTCTGTGGTTTCCACACTTTGTGGTGTGGACAGGGACGCGGGCCCGTCAGGGACTTGGTTGCCCGGCTGCAGTCTTCGATGCTCGCAGACTTTCCCGATTGTGAGGCATCCACGGACCAGCAGTCGCAACAGCAGTACTTGGATATGGTACATGCCCTGGACCCGCGGAATGGTACCTTTGCGGATCATGGTGTGATGTGAGGTCTGGCAGCTATCTGACATGTCCTTGAATGACAAGGCTAGGGCCGACATGACCTTGAGAGTGCGCGCGAGATACTTGCAGTCAGATGCGTGACCCGATGCAAGCATTTTATAGTTCGTCTCGTTTGCTCAGCAATCGTTGCCGGCACCTCCGGCACAGCAGCCGCCCGCGCCGCCAGCAGAGCCTGCAACTCAAGAGCGGGACCTTTCCACATTACAACATTGGCGCATGTTGCGAAGCTGTCTTCACCTTTTTGCATTTTGGAGACCTTGCGATCGTGTCTCAATATCTTATCCCTAGGCATGTTCCAACAGCCAACTGGCAGCGTGACGGCACTGCGGTGCCAGCAGCCGGTGGGCCCGGCCTGAGACCGGGAGACAGCGGAGCTGGGTTATTCTTTGTGAGCAGAAGAAGTTGAAGATGTTGAAGAAAGTTCGTGAGCAAGTGCCAGGGAGTTCCGCTGCGGTCGAAAGCCTAGTCTCCATGTCTGTAGTGAATGTCGAGGTCGATGCAAGTGACCTGCGTTGTAGCAGGGGCCCTTTTCAAGTTTTCGTGCAAGGTCTGGAACTCTTTCGACGATGCTGCTGCAAAGGGCATGGTTTTGGACCAAGCTGCATCTGGATATGTGTGAATAGCATCGGGGGGTCGAAATCAGTTACTAGAGCTCTAGAACTCTTCTGGTAGTGCATGATAGAGATGCACGGAGTGCATTGCGGACACGGGAAATTCTTGATCTTTAGGTGGATGGACTCGTGGGGGGAGATGAGAGCGCTCCTCCACCTCTGCCGCCACCTCCTCCCAACGCGAACACAGCCATGTGGGGGTCTCACTGAGAAGGCATTTGGCTTGCCATCATTGTTTCATGTCGGAAATGGTTGCAAAACAGGAACAGGACCAAGCTAGTTGTTCTTTGGAGTTTCAGTTGGTCTCACTCTGCGTCCCGGTTTCATCCGGTTTCACATATTTATGGGCTTTGCCCGGGGTCAAGGCGGACTTGACCTTGGGAAGCAATTATGTCTCAGGCAGAGAAGTGGTGCCACTATGAATGTCTCCTCTGCAAAGTCTCCTCACACTGAGCTCATCACGTTGAGGGTGAAGCAGTGATGTGTGCTTATGAAGACGCGTCTCACAGGGTTCAGTCTCGGACATAACGTGACATCTTGCAGCAACTCCCCATGCTTAATGTTCATGGTGCCGACACCTCGTCCAATTGGCCGAACCTTGTATCACAACAGTAACAGGCCCTGCAGCGCGTGGCAATGCCGGTTCAATTTCACTATAGCTGAACGGCAACCCATATAGGCAGGCAGTCTCCCAATGAGTATGCACAATTCGAAAGATCAGATCCCAGCAAGTAGCTCGCTTGATCGCACGATGACACACATCGATCACACTTGCGTGAAGATTGCTGGTCTGACAGTGACAGTGACTATGAATGAGTTTCATCGGTTTTGATGGAAGTTCGGCATAAGTAGCCTACGTGCCTATGCATTAACAGCGAAAAGGTTCAGCAAACGCGCGCTTTCTGCGATGCATGTTTCTGCCCGGTATGCTGGATGCGGGAATGTGGGAGGTCAGTCTCCCATATCTTCTTTTGTATATATACACACGGAGATATAAGTACTATAATATTCTGGACATATATGTATATATGTATATATATATAGTTTGCGCTGTGCGTTCTCCCCCCCCCCGGGGTATGCCCCCCCCCCCCCCCATGGGGGGGGCGGGGGAGGGGGGCGGGGGGTGGGGAGGCGGGTGGGGGGGGGCGGGGGGGAGCGGGGCGGGGAGGGGGGCGGGGGTCAAAAGGATGGTCCCATTTTTGGATGCCATGACAAAAACGGCACCTAATTCAAGGGTACCCATGATTTTCACGCTACGCGACCCGCCGCGGCCTGGTAGGGAGGGGCCAAGGCCCTTGCCCCCCCCATCCCTGCCCTTGGGTCCTGAATCTAAACCACACAAGAGAAGTTAGCGAGACATTCCTATCATTTTCTTGCACTTCCTGTCTCACTTCCTGTCTCATGTCTTCTCACATGTAAAGTGCCTCGGGTTCTGCAGTGTTAATTTTAACGCTACGCGACCCGCCTCGGCCCGGCCCAGCGCATCTGTGTGAGCATGGTGATTCCGCAGCGCTGGACCCCAAGCAATAATGGTTGGGTTTAGGGTTTAGGGTTCCGGGTTTATGGTTTATGGTTTGGGGTTTAGGGTTGAGGGTTAAGGGTTGAGGGCTTGGGGCTCAAGGTTCACGGTTAGTAGAGGGAGGGGGCGGGGGGTTGGGGGGCGCAGGAGGGCGGGGAAGGGGCAGGGGGGGGGGGTTAGGGGGGGGGGGTCAGGGGAGGGGGTTAGGGGGGGGGGTTTGGGGGGGGGGGGGGCAGGGGTACCCTTTGCAGGCAAAAAAAGGGGTCCGAAAATTGGCTTCGGGGAGGAGGATCTGGGGGGCTGTTCTCATACACCTTCGGCCCGAGGCCTCGGCGGATAGGGACCGCATGTCAAACGGTCGATTTCATGGGTTCTTGTGGTCGCTGCAAGTAACAGGGGCGTCCGTATCAGGGCTCCGGGCAGGATCATCTAATGGGATCAGACCCTAGACCCCTGTGCTGATGGGCCAAACCTACGTATCGTGCCCCGCAAACCCAAACTCTAAACATTAAACCCTAAACCCTAAACATTAAACCCTAAACCCTAAACCCTAAACCTTAAACCCGAAACCTTAAACCCGAAACCCTAAACCCTAAACCCTAAACCCTAAACCCTAAACCCTAAACCCTAAACCCTAAACCCTAAATCCTAAACCCTAAACCCTAAACCCTAAACCCTAAACCCTAAACCCTAAACCCTAAACCCTAAACCCTAAACCCGAACACTGCAAGCACCTTCATTACATGACGAAGGCCATTATCGGCATCCGTCAGGTGACGATGAAGAAAAGGGTACGGTACTGCATGTAAGCTTGGAATGCCATTCTTTTCGTGCAGTAAGACTTGTCATGTAACAATAAGGAACCACCAGCAAGAGAGACGACGGGGGTCACACTGCAACATCTCTCTTTACGACGCAGCCCCGTGTATATGAATATGCACATATTTATGCAGATGTGTGCTTATATTTACGTTTATATTCATATTGATATTCATATTTATATACATATCTACATAGATATACACATATATATATATAAATAGCCATATCACCCTGTGCTTTTGGGCTCAGAGCGGCCTTGCCGCCAACCTAAGTCTTGCTCTCACCAATTGACATGGCCAGGAGCTGAGGTCTGCTGGAGTGAGCGACAATTTGCTTAGCATCGGTTTCGTACAGTCGACAGCTTCTGTTTGAGGTCAAGTGTGAGAGCTATGGTCCGAAGCTGAGCCCCAAAAGTGTCTTCTGCCGATGAGGCTTCTTGTTTTTTCCCTTACAGGTGTTCGGCCTGAAGCTTGGTCTTCCTAAAGCTACAAAGGCCTCTTGGAATTGCAGTTTGCTCCAGCTCTGAAGACTGCTTTGACATGCCTGGTGCTTTTTGCAGACATCGGCTGAGTCTCCGGACAAGAGTTCGAAGGCCTCGTGGGATTGGGGACTTGCAACCTTGGTGACTTGACTTCCCTGCAGGCAGAAAGCAGTGGACGCAGTGGCTCCAAGGGACACGACAGGAGTGGAGGAGGAGGCATGGACGAGCCAGTGAGTGCGTTTTTCGGGTATGGGGCTGGACCTAAAGTTCTGGGGGCAGCAACTAACTCATTCAGTTGCTAGTGGTACTTATTTTATGCTTCAGTTGTTTGCTGACGGAACATTGCGATTTCTGGCTTCTCCTCACTGTGATTCTGAAGCTTCACCACAAAAACACCTTCAACTGTATACCGTAATGGTCAATCGGACAACAAATGCCAGTTCTAGCCTGTACTTCTTTGCAACTACGCGCAGTACTTCGCCCACGATCGCACAAACTGTGTTCTAAAAGGTTGTATTGTATTGAGAAAGCGCACGCCACACATCCACACATCACACACATGCACAAACCGTGACGTACATGTACTTCATCTGTGGCATGCACTCTAAGAACTTGATGGAAGGACCATTCGCACCAAGTGCATCAGAGCTCATCATCTCACAAGGTCTTAAGCCACGCTGTTGAGAGAATGGGGGCGACCCTATGACGGCCATGCTGGGGCTGGCTCCGACCGCCTTTTTCGCTGTCGCCCTTTTGGTTCTCTGCCAGGGTAGGGGTCTCCTTCGTGCCACCGCACGACAGCTGTCTGGGAAATCGCCACTTCCTTTCTCCCGCGGCCCGGCACAGTCTGCTGTCCTCGCGCGGTTTCTTGATGACGTCGTCCGGCGTTGCCCAAATCGGGACCTCTGAATCCCAGGGCCTTGTGTGAAGACCGATGGGGACCCGACTTGCATAAACAAGGCACTGCCAAGCAGAGGCTTACGCGCTTTACAGCCTCGAGAGCTCCGGTGACGAAGACGTCCTTCGGGCCAACACCAAGGTGGTGGGAGCCAAAGTGGCTTCTGTTGGTGCGACCCACACCCTGTTGTACTGGTAGCCCTCTTTCAATGAGCTTTCTTGATTCTGCCGGCCTCAGCCATACCAGCTGTCCACCTGTGCCTAATGGTTGGATGCTGACCCTCCGTTACAGGAGCCCTCGATGTCGATCATGAGCCAGAGTTTCTCGCTTGTCTGTGAAGTGAGCATGGGCACCTGTGGGGATTTGTGAATCTGTGAATGTGATTGAGCGAACTGCTCAAGTCAACCCGCCCGCCGCTCCCGCGTCCTGAGTGGAACTTTGGGGACGCTTTCTCCCCAGACCCCTCGCTGACTCGATGCAGACAGGACGCATCGCCATGATCCGTAGCGGTGAAGTGAACATGAGCACCTGAAGAGACAAAAGGACCCATAGTTCAGCTCAAAAACTCATGAGGGTTATAAGAGACATGCATATTGCAAAGAGCTGACCTCAGGCAAAGGAGCGCTTACAGTCAATGAGTTCGTAGGGTGCCCCAGAGCTGCTGATTGCCCAGGATACCTGGTTGTGGTGCCATTGCACTGCTTTGCCAAGGTAGCTCGCACAAAGCGATATAGAGAAAGAGGGCTTGAGCCGACCAAGCCTGAACTCATTGCATATGCGCGGTGCTGCACTCAGCGCGACAAATCCGCAAGCTCCAGGTGCAAAATCATTTGAGTCTTTTTGCCTTGCCGCTTCCCAAGGTACTTGGGCATAGATCCCATCACTGATGGTGACCTCATGTGGATAGCGGACGAGGTGCGAAGGCATGTTGCGCAGATTGTGCATCTGAACCAGAATATGATGACGGTCTCCAAGGCCCTTGCGGCACCGCTCCCTTCCGAGTGGACCGAACACCATGACAGGCACGTTGCATGTTGCTTTGGGGCAATTGAGCTGGGTTTTTCCTTCGCTGCGTTGTTCAATGGTCGCGTGCCGTCCAGTGCGGACCGGGTCTTCTACTACAATGTGCAGACCCACGCCAGCTCGTGGACGCATCCACTTGAACAGATGCACCGGGACACGTGACTCCAGCCGTTGGATTGACCTCTTGTTCTGCTGTTGCCTCCGCTTTTTGCCTCCGCTTTTTGCCTCCGCCTTTTTGCCTCCGCCTTTTTGCCTCCTTCAGTTCTATTCAGAATCTCATACAAGCTGCTTTTGAGAGGTTTCTCTCGATTTCTCTCGATTGTTTGTTGGCAGGTACAAGTCCATTGTGCATTATCGCAGCGGAGAGGTCTCCAAGGAGGCCACGTGCCACGCATGTCGAGACCCAGCACTGGATACTGGCCGTCTCTCCTGTATAACTTGCCAGGATCAGGTGACGGAGCTCGAGAGGCTCAAGAGAAAGCTGCGAACTTGATGTTTTCTTAACATGTTTCGTGAGGGTTTGCAGACCCCGTCGGACATCGCTGGGACCGTTGGTGCTGCTGATGTGGCCATTAAGGTGTGACGATGCGGAGCGAGAGTCCATCAGAGATCTTCAGGTCCAATCTGCAGCGTGTCATGTCTTTCGTGCATCGCCATGCTGAAATCAAGGCGTGGTCAGAACATACTGACGAAGGAGGCGCGTGCGAGCTAGCGTTCAAGACAGCCAAAATCGATCCAATCCGGTCGCCTTCGAGGTCAGAAGTTCTACTACAACCGCGAGAAACAGGTCAGTGCCACGAGCCCAGTCTTCAGGGACTAGAGAGTCTGGGGTTTGAGGTTTGGGACTTCAAGGGTGAGGCTCAAGATTAAGGTTTCCAAGTGGGACTTAGTTCTGCCAAGGTGTGGACAGATCCACGACCTGCGCGTTGTCACGCCTTGCCCGCCTTCAGATGCACCTAAGGATTCAGTGAATTTCTGACAGCTTCTCATCCCAGGTACTTGCAGATGAGAGCGCTCCGGGATATGAGCAAGCACTGTGGACAGGCAAGACGTCAAGCTTCCTTTCAAGCTTCGCGTTCTCCACGCTCCTCCACTCTAAACGAAAGATTGATTTGTCTCACAGGCAGTTCCTGGGCTGGGCCCAATGGATGATCCACGCAGAGATAAGCTTCGAATTCAGCAGTGCCGTGCTCACCCTTCCCGTTCTGAGGTATTGACATGTTCTTGCCACAACATGCAATGTGCGGCACCAGCTCTGATCCAGCTCTGCACGTGCCCAGGACATTGGTCATGGGCAATGTAGGCCGGTGTCTTCTCATGTCTTCACATCCGCCTAGGTCTGCATACACTTATTGGATGGCTTTTGCTCCAACTCTTGCCTTGCAGATCCTTTGGGCAGAAGTACTACGCGCAGAACCCAAATGATTGCTGTAGATACCGCTGTACTTCTCTTTTGCTGTCGCCTGCTCTGAGTTTTTTTTCAGCTCTTGAGGCGCGATAAAGCAGGTGCAGAGGATAGCTCCTCTCGATTAGCCGGGGTCCAAGAAACTTTGACAGCAGGGCTTTGAAGTCCTTGAGCACCTGCGCTGACTTGCCCATGTGCAGGCAGATGGCGCAGGCACAGAAGAGCACGAAGAGACCGCAGTCTGTTCTTGTTGCGTTTCGCTCGGCGTCAGCTTCTTCTGTCGCAGGGAAGGATGAGGAAAAGAAAAAGAAGAAGAAGCACAAGGAGGTAACGCGGCAAATGTGGCTGTGCAACTATGCCTAGAGATTCCAGCTGGGTCGATGTGCTGGTGATCCTTTCTGGGGCTGCAGGGGAAGCACAAAAAAGATCCCGGCAACGAGGCTGGGACCACGCTCGCTCTGGTTACGACTGAGTAATCTGAGTACTGGGTTCTGTCGTGTGCCTGTCAGGAGCTTCTAGACCTCACCGAAGATGGCGATGGGGACATAGGTGCGGGTGAACAGCTTTGGTTGAGTGCCAAACGCAGGGTTGCTTTCCGCGTGCCCAGCTGTCCTCCACTGTGCTCCGGCCCAGGATCTCCGGACATCTTCAACAAGAAGTCTGGCCTGGATGTCAAGAAACCCTCTCTATCTGCGGTGGAGGAGGCAGGACAAGGATGCGTGAGCAGTGAACCGAAACAGGCCCAAGAAGCAGCCGCGCGACAGGTGAGACAAGCCCTTGGGGTTGCACCTGGCAGCAGCAATGCTGGCAGCAGCAATCAGCAAAGCAGGATGCCAAGCCTTCCACTGCACCAGACCCACTCAAGCAGCTGCCTGCTAGATCTTCTTCGACCTCCCTTAACTCCCTAAGACCATCCGAAGCTCGTTGGCAATGGGATGTAAGATCGCAAGGTCCACCCAGCTTGTCCGGCGCTGGTGGCGGACTGCCCAGCATAAACCAGGGCAGCTTTAGCTCCCGCTTGCCAACCCCACCAGGCGCAGGGAAGGAGGGGAGAACTGGTTCGAAATGTTTCAAGTTCCGCGTCGAGTATTACGTGGTATTACGTGGTCCTGTCCTGCTACATGCTCCCAAGCCTGCCAGGTGACGGTTTGAGCTCTGTCGGTCGAGCAAAGGTCAGAGCAGGCATTCGGTTAGAGCGGAGAGCTGAGACATCTTCGAATGTTCTCAAGTCTTCTGGGCAAGAAGCTCATAAGAAGCTAAGCCAATGCGGGCAGTGAAGTCTCGTCACCGAAAGTTGGGGATGCTGACTTTGTTTACTGAGGCCGATCAAAGGCTAGCACTCCATTCTGGGTGTGGCGATGCAGGCCTGCACGTGACATCCGCTCAAATGACTCCTGTGTGTGGAGCGCATCACGTGTCTGCCTCTCTCAATGGCTCTCTCACTCCCTCGCTCTCTCGCTCTTGCCTCTCTCTCGCTTTCGCTCTCGCACTCTCTCCCTCTCTCTCGCTCTGTGCTGGTTTTGCCAGGCTCAGTGATGATACTGTACTGCACTGCTTGAGCTCGGGTCCCACCTGTCAAACCATGTGACATTTGCCATGTTGCGGCATTGCATGCGATCTGTTTGCTACCGGCAAGCACTGTCTGAGGCTGCGGAAACTAAACGCCGCTAGGCTTAGCAGTAAGGCTTTGCGCCGGTGTTAGTTGCACTTGAGATGTCGGTATTGGTATCAATGTTTCGTACCAAGCTGCAGCAGAGCAAACTTTCCAAGGCTGCGCTCAGGCATTTTGCTATGATTTGCTTCTCACAAGAAGTTTCTGCCTCAGTTTTGGAGCCACTTGTCTTCAGAGCTAAAACAACCTACCTCGAACTCCAGGTCAGAGGCTCTTTAGGAGCAGGGGCCTCATCAGCTTCGGCACGCTGGGCAGGTCAGGGCAGGTCTTTTCAGGTGTTGACCGTCTCTGAAGCGCTGAGGCCAGGTCTCTTTTTCCTCCCGGCTCTTTATACAGCCAGGACGACCGACACGTCGTACCCTGTCGTACCCCCACATGCAGCGCACGGCACATACAGGCACGCATCCCTTGCGTTAACTCTGCCAGGAGCCTGAAAGGACTGGGCCAAAGCACCAGCTTGTCCCGATGAGATCTCGCTCGTAGAGCAGCTTGGACGTTCTGGATAGGTATTTTCTCAGTTGCGGATACGATATTCACCAGCTTGATTGCTTTGCGCGTGCTTGCAGCGTATCAGAACTGAGGTGGATCTCTTTTCACCTCGTCCTTTTGAGTGGTGCTCAATCCAGGGCTCAAGCGTTAGCAAGGCGTCATTTATGGCTTCGTCATGTGATCAACAGTCAGGCTCGTGTGTTGTGGCTGCTCCACTCTGTGTGGGTTCTCTTTGGCTCGCGACCCTCAGAGGGTTCGAAGCTTAAGCCAGCTCTAAGCCAGCTCATGGCACTCTGTGAGTCGTACTCGCGTACTCGCCTGCAGTGCATCCTGCTGACGTGCACCAGAAGGAAGCTTCGAACCCAATGCTCTGCAAATACTCTGCTGGTGCGTGCAGCAGGTTTCACCAGTGCCCACCAAGAATTGCCCACAATTTCCTGCAAGCTACACAGCTTGGTTTCAGGAGAGTAGCCGGCGAAGGTTCAACAGTCAACAACCCTGGCTGATGCCAGATTGTGCCACTGTCCCCGTACCCATGCGGTTGAGTTCTTTTGAACCTTTGTGTGGTGCTAGCTGCTTTTTGAAAGGCGAATGCCTTGTCTCACTCACTATCTCGACACGTACGTAGCAGCGTAGCTTTACGTACCGGATGGTTATTGTTGAGGGCAAGACCATGTAAGACCTTTCGATCAGGAGCGCGGGAGCACAAGCAGCACAAGCAGCTACCAAGATGTACATCGCCGCGTGGTAGTCCGACACCTACAAAGATGCTGCCGCATGATGGAATTTCAGCACGTCTTAGCAGCAGCTTTCGGGTTCCGGTTTATCAGCCGGAAGATCCGATTTGCGTCTCTCGTTATGCCAAGAAAATGCCCTGGAGCCGCTTATTTGAGCCGTGGTGCGGCGTCTGCGTTGCAAGTGCCTCCGGCTCCAAGAAGGTGAAACTCATCGGCCCATTTCATGATCGTGGCTCGAGAGCTTGTATACATAGGCGCGACACATGGTGTCTCATGGAAGCAGGCCAGCTTATGCACGCTAGCGTACAGACTTAACATGCAGGATCCGAGCAGCAAGCAGCAACTCCAAGACATTGCATGAGCAAGAAACGTATTGATGTGACGAGCATGCAATGGACAGTAAGCGACGAGACACAAGTGCTTCTTTCCAACGGGCCGTAGTATTCCTCGGTATCGCGGATCTGCCGCAGGCATCTCTTTTGGTACAAGGGCAGGTCTTGAGTTTGCAGGGGGAGCATGATATCACAGTGTGGTGCTTGCTGCTCAGTGCGCCGCAGGCAGCACGCCAGCGTGGGGAAGATGGTAGCTGCGGAGAGGCTTGTGGAGCTTTTGCAGTGCGCATGTCTGCAGCCGGTCGGCACTCTGAGTAACGGTTCTCAAGCTTACGATGCGCTGTCTGTGCAGCGTCCATGATGCGCCTCTTTGCGTGAACAGCTAGCCAGAAGTGCCCTCTTCATATGGATTGCACTGGTTGGGGGACCTTTAGTTGCCGAAGTGAGCATCATACTCCACTACTTGCTGACTTTCTCTCTGGAGTCTTCCTAAAGCAGCAAGTGCAGGCCACAGCGATTTTGCTAGCATCGCTGGCAGGTGGGCTGATATGGTCGACACACCAGAGGTCGACCTTCCTGACGAGGTTGACGCCCGTGCTCAACTGCATTTGAGCATGCTCTGGTCGACACTCTGCAAGTTGCCAAACCACAATGCACCAGTATCTTCGGACATGTTCAGCAAGTACCCTCCTATGGTGCAGGTGAATCGGATTCAAACAATATCAATGGAGCACACGGTAACCTGCGACATCAAAATCGAGAAGCTCTTGAGGAAGGCGCAGAGACCCCTTTGCGATCTTGTGTGCCGTTTTTCTGAATCCTGTGTTGGCAGGCGGATGTCTGTACTCCACCATCTTTGCTTGTTTTCGCTCCAGAACCAGAACCAGAGGCAGTAAGTGGAGCTCAACCGTGCCAGCAATGTGCCGTCGAGTATGCCCGCAAGGTCGATGAGCAGGAATGGGAGCACAGGGCTGAGATGCGCTCAAAGGCCCGGGATTGCCAGATTTGTTTTTTACGTTTGCGGGCGCCGCGTTTCAGTTTCAGTGAGGCTTGTCGCCTTTGATTTGCAGAACGATGCCTTAAGTGGGGCCTCATGAGCCAGATGAGGATTATTGATTTACTGTTGCAGCAATCTTGCTGGCAAGTGACGCAGGCTCTCGCCCAGTGCAGGATGCTTAGCAATCAGCTCACATTGTCGGTGCACCGCTCACCAAGATGCAGTTCTGAGGCAAAGCCTTGCCAGAGTACCAGAGGCACTTGTCCGCTAGCAGATATTCTGAAGGAGGGTTGGATCCCTTCCTGGTAGGTTCAAGCAGCTCAATCTGAAGTCCCAAGAGGAACCGGAGATGCCGAACCCGTTGGACCAGCTCAAAGTTGATTTCAAACACTGTTAGAGCATCAGTTGGGCTGCGGTCATGTACTTTGCATACTCGCGTGGGGCTAAGGACCGTTCCATCAGTAAGAGGCACTGGAAGAGTCTTGACTGCATGACGATGCAGTCTTTTCCGGCAGACAGATGATGAGATCTGTGCGCTAGAATCCTAAACCGGATGTACACCGATCGGGTCGCTGTTTAGTCATGTCAAGGTTTCTTCTGCAGCAGTGGCGTTCTGAGGCCAGCGGGGTCGCCAGTCTGAGTAGGGGGTGATCAGTTCTAGCATCTGCAAGTTTGTTGTTCCTGTGCTGTTCCCTTTCTTCTTGGTGTGGAAGCAGTCGTTCCTTTTCTTCTTGGTGTAGATGCAGTTGATAGCATGGTCTCTTCTTTTTCCTCGTCACCACGCTCATGATCTTCGTCGTTTGCCCGACGGTTAGTCATTCATCGAGGTCTTTGGATCCCACCCCCAAGCCCTAGCCTCCAAACCCTCAACCCTCAATCCAAACTTCCAAGACCTTTTGAACCAACCTTGAGTTGAAACCCGAAACCTAGCCCAAACCATGGGGTGTACTGTTACAATTGTAAACGCTTCTGCGCGCCGCCTCGGCAGCCGGGCCGGCAGGCTTTCTGGGAAAGGCCTCAAAAAGGGGGAGGGCCCTGGGTCGGGGGGGGGGGGGTGCGTCACAAATTTGGCATTTGGAAGACTCGGATCGTCATGAGTTTGTCGCAGCGACCATGATGGCGAAGTCTCCATCAAATTGGGCCCAGCAGAGAAAAAACCCTCGCCATTTCTTCAAAGATCGTTTGCTTCCTTCCAGCCCAAACGCATTGCCAATTCCTTGATGACAACGAGTACTTGCACTGTTGGCTTTCCCGGCCCGGATGCGCACGCCGGCCGGATACTGTAAGGACACTTTTGAAGCCATGCTAGCCTCTCATACAGGGTGTTCCTCCACGAGCTTTTCGCCTTGGTCACCGCCTTCCGCATCTCTGGCAACACAGCCCTGAATGCAAACATGGTGCATAACGCCTGCTATCCCGCAACCATCGCACCTGCTTCTGGCCAGGAAACAGACACGGTCTGCCAACACGCTAGGCCACTCCATACCCTCTCGAAGGAAAATCGCTCAAATGGTCGGGCTCCACAACGAACGTGATTCGAACAAATCCTTGGTGCGATGCCCACCGAAGCTGCCCTGGGGAGTTTGAGCGATGACGAACCTGTTGCCATGAAAGCCTGGTCCACTATAAGCGTTGGCCGCAAGATGACTGCTGAAGTCGCCTTGTTCTGCTGCGGTAGGATGTTCTCGACGATCAACACAGCTGGTGGCCAGGCCCAGTTTGCCTCGAGCTCCTTGACCAGGTTTGGATCCTTCGGGACCCGGCGCCCCAAGAGGAGACGTGCCATAATATGTTATAATCATGAGAAGGCAAGGGAAGCCATTCTCAAGCCACAAACTTGCGCCAGTAAGCGTGTGCCAGCTCGAAACGTGTCATTTCGTACACGTGTGCACTACGAGACAAGTTGTTCACCAAAAGAAAGTGCGGCTAAGCGGCAGCGCGTGCCATGACGTCCAGGTGGTCCGACTTTGACTTGCTGCCAGTTGCACGCACTAGATTCGACTCTCTGGACCTTTCTGCATTTCTGCGCTTGATGCATTGCTGACCCACATCGCATGCCTGACATTTCCTGGCATCAGGGTCTCTGTTCCTTCAAGCAAGCATCAAAAGTGTGCAAGACCAGACGCTGCGTTGCTAGAAGTGCTCAGTTGCTGGAGTCATCTGCTCTTGAATAGTAGAGAGGGGCCCAATGAGAATCTCAGCGCCTGCCCTGCAGAGTTGCTAGCTACTGAGCTCTGCGCCAGATTCAGAAGCTTGCCGATGAGCGTGCGGAGTTCAACCAGGCCTAGCAATTGCAAGTGCGTTGTTGTTCGAGGTGCCGCAATGAAAGTACATTGTTGTTTGAGGTGGCGCAATGACGCCGAGGCAGGTGTCGCAGTGTACAAAGTGCCGTGGTGCGAGCGGTTGACTGCCTGCAGCCAGGCGCCTTTATCATCATGCTTTGATAATGACTTACAATCTGACTGCATCGACCTTGGATGCAGAATGAATTGCTGACGTCTTGTGACAGGATGTAAATGGATTGAGGTGCCGACCTCTGTGCCACGAGCCTGCTTCCTAAGGTCCTCCAAAAGCGGCATGGGGTTAGTTGCTGAGGGCAAACCGACGTCACGATTGAGATTTCAATGGCTCGGAAGCATCGGTGTGTTACGCCATCCAATATCAAGACGAGACAGCATGTTTCATGCAGCGTGGTGCTTTCGACATGTGTCAGTGCGATAGTGTCAAGGGGATCGGAAAAGGTCACCAACAATCTGAGGGCATTGTCCAGCTTCAGTGGGAAGATTGCCTTGCAACATGTTCTAAATGACCCAGAGTAAGGATCTAGCTGGGCAGCATGCAGTAGCTGTCATGGGACCTGCAACATTACAAATTCTGTGCTTCCTTCCCTTTCGCTCTGCCAGATTGCAAGTGGTTTTATTGTGATGTCGCGAGTGATAATGGATTCCTTGATGGCATACGGTCCACCAAAAGTGGCATTCACTCGTTGGTTTTGGATCACTCTCGGCATCCGTGTATGTTACATAATTGCATCGTCGCCTCAGGTGGTGTTGCCGCACGTAATTTCTGCAGCTTTTCTGTTGGTGTTTTGCTCCATGTCTCTACTTGTCGAAATGTTCCCGTGTTGATGCTATCGGTTCTTTCAGATGAGAGGCTGCAGGCAAGTGCTATCTGCCAAAGGACCATGCCTGGGGCAGGCATGAGGGTTTGCGGTATTGGCTGCATGCAGATGCACACAAGAAAAAGGCGCCACGTCAGAATTTTTCACGTGTCGCTTCAGCTGCTTCTGAATCAGATTGCCCCTTCTGAAAGCACTTGAATGCAGCGGGTTTGGCCCAGCGCAGCGCCCGGCTGTTCACCGGGGCAAGCCATGGCCGTTCCAGGCGCAGAAGTTGCAACCAGAAAGTCTGGGTCTGTAGCTGTTTCTTTTGCAGGTTCACGCTGCTTGCAGCTCTTCACTGGCATTCTCACCATCTTGCTGCAAGTGTGCTGGCTTCAATGGGACCTTATTGAGCCCCGTTTTTTCTGCCATCAACAAACCCCCACATCAGGGCACAGACCCCGCTTGGTACGTCCTGATACTGGGGTCTTGGTGGGCTTCGGGAGAGGAGGCGCAGCCACGTTTAGGTCCAGGTCTTGCGCCGAGCTGGCTGCAAAAAGGTGGCTGGGAGACACGTAGGCGATCCTGAGCACTTGAGCGCGCCAGTGAAAGTCGAGGCTTTCATTGAGGGGATTAGGCTTGTACATCTTTCGAGATCGGAAAAATCTTCCAAGAACGAAGCCTGAGGTGCGAGCAGGCGTTGCCTTTGTTTCCGTCCCTGGAGCGAGCGTGCAGACAAAGGCACCACAAGTCATTTTCTCTGGAATGCTCTCAAGGGACACTCCCAGCACTCTTGTTCCGCGCAGCCTGGCAAGGAGGTTCACGCCGTGCGGCAAGTAGCGGACTTCCAAGCTTCAGCAGCCAAAGGTTCCTTGAATGCGTGTAGAAGGTGGTTTGAGATTATCACGCTCGTGCATAGTCCAGAGGCTTGCTTACGTAGTGCAGCAGCAGAGCAGCGTACGATCTTCAGGGTGGTCTGGCAGTGCCTGTGCCACACTGGCCTCAGCTGGCATTGCCGTCACTCTGGCTTTGTGGCCATGGACCTACTGCACTCAAAATGTTCAGACATGTGCAGACATGTGCCGACATGCTCAGACTGTAGAAGAGCTCGAATGCGGAACCTCAGGCGGAGATCGAGTCGTGACTTCTCAGCAGTCGCAGCCGGATATGCCCCTGCCAAGAATAGGTTCGAGCGAAAGTGGTGGTCCGATGCCCGGAGCCATGCATGGTCGTTTGTAACCTTGGTATTTCATTTAATGCGTGCATGCAGCTCCTGATGATTTGGGGTTGAATGCTGTGTGAGTATTGGACAAAATCTGAGGTACGTCGAGGAGACGAGGGACCCGACAAAGTTGCCTCTTTGGCAGCGAGATTACCGCTTTGGTTTCCAGGCGGGGGATATGGCTGGAGCCATGTGATTGCTGCTGCAAGGTCCGAGTTGTGCAGCGCGTCGTTCTGTCTCTCGGTTTCGCTTCCGACCGTTATGTTCCTGCTTTCAGTCCTCGTTCTCCTGTAGGTGCCCGATGCACTTTCCAAAGCATGACCTTTGAACTCGAACCTAACCAGCCCGAAGCCAATTCAGATTTTTTGGGCTGTTGCAAAAGGACACGGTGATCACACTGCTTGTGTTCTTGAGGTGGTCTGATACTTGGCATCCAAAGCAACGCAAGTGCTTGTGCAATAGAAGTGCGAGAGTGCCCTGAAATGCTGGCTTCTAGCCTTTCTACCTTTCAACGTGGGCCCCACGGTACCTTGAGAGAAAGCCCTCAGCATGACCTGCCCGTTTGGTTCATTCACACTGGTGCTGTTGTTCTTGGCCCAACCTTCACAGCCCAGTCAGCGAGGACAGGCACTCTTCCCGGTGATTGCAAATAGCACCATATGCGCACCAGGCAGCTTTGGCGCCTAACCAGCTGAAGCTCCTTTTGCATTCCACACCCAAAGCCAGCACACATCAGCATGCTATCAGAAGACCAGTTTTCATAGAGCAGCCTCAAAAGGCGTTCAAGTGGTGTGGACGAATCGTGTTGTTGTTGTCTGCGAGTTATCGGGCAGATCAAGAGAGTTATAAGCACTGTGACATGCACATGTGGGCTGTGGTATGACGTGGTCATTGGACTTGCTTGAAAACGAATCACATGGAAAAGTCGAGGGTCGGCGGATAGAACCCCGGATAGGACCCTGCAACCGAACAGATCCGAGCAGTCTGTTTCTACATGTGTGGCGAGGGCCTAGACAGTCGAACCGAAGCTGGCAACATGACGTGCAGGTGCTGAGACGAAGCATGGTTGAGGCGCGCAAGAAAGGCCGGGTGTGCTGCGTGCTGCGACATTCACAGGTGAGGGCTCTGCCCAGTTCTGCATCCCACTCTATTTGTCTTGTTTCGAGAGCAGACCGGTCTCCAGGCAAGAAAATCTTCTGGGATGTGCGTGTTCTGCACGTCGACGACAAAGGCCATTCGCGCAAAAGCGCTTCCGTTGACTCGGAAGGAGTCTCCAGACATGCAGAGTGTGCTGCGTCCGAGGTTGCAAGGTCGAGATGCTCAACTCTGGTCTGATTGGTTACATGCCAAGAGGCCAGCATGTGCCAGTGTGAGCAGTGAGCACCAAGCCATGGAAAGAGGTGACACGGAAAGCAAGCTAAAGATAATCAAGTGAGGTAGGGCGAGATCTGGGCAAGCTTGCGATGTGAGAGCAATTAGTTAATCTCTTTGTATCCGGGTTGGCGATCCCGAGGTTTCTGCAGCTGTACGCTTTTCTTTGCGCTGTTGATGGTTTGTTGTGGGTTTACCATTTCATTTCGATGAGTGAACGATGATGCAAGCAGCTCCTCGCCTGACATTTTAGAGCTCCGCTGAAGTAGAGCACTTTGTCTCGTAAGCATGTGCATTGGTGCCAGGCGAGGAGGGACCTGCGGATTTCACTGAGCGGCCACATTTCGGAGACATCCTGAAGGCACAGACACAACAAACAATCAAGCCCACCTCGTGCTCTCCCATTTCTTTGCCAGAGGTGGAGTGCCTGGCATGCCCCATGCAGCGCGTCAACAAAGAGCCCCAGTCTCAGGGCCATCCTTGACGTGTCTTTTTCATCACAACATGTTTGTATTCTGTAGATGTGGTGCTTCGGTTTTCTGAGGCAGAAGTACAGCCCGTGGCCAAATCTCTATCGGCGTTCCAAGAAGGCAGCACTGTCGACGGCAGTCGTTTTTCAGAAGCAAAACGCTGACCTTAAATGTTACATCGGATGAGCGAACTCAGCGATTTCAGGCAAAGGCGAAGTGAGTAAGGAAATCATGCGGCTTTAAGACCAGTTGAGAATGTTTTGTTTGGCAGGCGCAGCCATTCTTCTCCCACAACATGTGGTGGCCTGCCTCATCTCTGGACACTGTCTATGAAGCTGACAACTTTGCTTGTTGATGTTTCTATCTGAAGGAATGCTTTGCTCACACATGGGCTGTCACGTGAAAGTGGAAGCTGTTGCTGATTACGGTCCCCATTTCATTCCGATTCATCCGCACGTGCAGTGCTCTCGACTTTCCTGCTGCCGGTCTCTCCAATGTAGACCTAGCAACTGTGTTGGAGTGAACGGGATGAACGACAAATTATCCAGCTCGCAAAGACGTCAGACAATTCAGCACCAGGATGCACGAGGAGTCAAAAGAAGTTATGACACATGAACGATCCCAAATCCAGACTGACGGATTCAGTGGCTCATTGATGCATCTTTCAGAAGTCTGCTGCCGTGCCAAGGGTGGAGCAACAGAGGGCAATCGCAAAAGCCAAGGAAATGGAGGCTGTGACACGTCACTCACACAAGGCAAAGTTTCTTTGCCGCAGCACTAGCCACGTTCAACGCAGGCTGGAACGATTGTCGACGCCGTCCGACACCTCAGCCTTGCAAATATGTCTGGGACACGTGCGCGCTGTGCATGTGCCCAGGTTGTCTTCAAGCACTGCCCGAAAGGGCTTGTGGAGACCTCGGTATCTAGGTCTTTTGGGACATCGCGGAACGTTGGTCTTAGAGCTGCGTGTTCCGAGATCATGACGCTTGACGGTCCAGACAAGCCGAAGGGCATGCTGGACATGAGGGATATCTCGCGCAAGGCTGGTAAATCAGTGGCTTTGAGGAGAGTGCCGCAGCTGACACCTGCCAGAAATCCGCGCACAAGTGGGTCGACAAGATGTTCCCAATTGGCACGAAGATGAGATGCTACGTGGCTGCTGCCTCGGTTCATATCTATTGTCCGCTAAAATTAGAACACCCATCAATCCCACACTATGAACCAGATGTCTCCCTGGGCTGTGCCAGCCGTGGCAATCTGCATTGCAGATTCACAGACAAAAAAACCAGGGCCCCGAAAGGGCGACATGCAGTGTCCTTCTGACTCATTCTGCAAAAGCTTCTGCTTCTCAGTATGTTTTTGGACTTCTAGGGAGGTGTTGCGGCACAACTTCAACTTTCAACCTGACACGACATTGTCCGACAGGGATCAAAGTCGGGAACCATAGGGAATGTCAGTACCCATGAGCCGGGAACTGTCCTTTCAAGAGTCGGAAAATAAGGCGGCTGGAGCCGGAATCATGGAGCCATGCAGCACTTCGACCCTGAAGTCTGTTTACCTCTGACTAGGACATGTTTACGTTTTCAGCCCCTACATAGGGGTTTACACGATTTTACACGTACAGATGTTTCGGGGTTAGGGTTCAGGGAGCAAACAGCAACTCGCCTGGAAGCCTTTCCTTTTTACTCCCGGCTCCTGGTTTCCTGATTCTTGCCCAGTTCTAGCGCGACTTGCGTCCTGCACATTTCTGACTCTGGCCTCGTGGCTTCTGGCCTTCCGTTCCTGACTGTACCACCACGCTTTCAGATAGCCACACTATGTTGCTCTTGTTGCTAAGCTGCCAGGTCTGACCCATTGTTGGGGGACACAGTTGTGTGTGCAGTGACAACTTAGGAACGCAGAACCGTGCAGGCATGCGGATCCATGCGCGCATTCATGAATCCGTATGGCTCTTTCCAGACCCGGCCGAGCCTCTTGCGGTTCCTCGATTGTCTACACCGGACTAGCACGATTTGGATTCATTATCCCGTTGGCCTTTGGGCACCATTCTTCAATTTGGCCATCGTGCCGCGGGACAACATTCCCCGCCCACATGCGGTCCAAGAGATCGGTGCGTAACTTGGAGCAGCGGCCGGCGTACGGCAGGCCATGCAGTGCATGGTGAGGAAGACGCCGCAGGACGCCAGCTAAGAACTTACTGGACCCGGGTGTCAGCCTGTTCGCTGGGCTACCGTCGCTATGGGATATTGAAGCATTTCCTGCAGGAGACGGCTGTAAGATGCAAGAGGCGTCACGCGGCAACGGCAGATGGATGGCGGGCAAGTGTGCCTTCTTGACTCAAAGCGGTTTACTGTCGGGGAAAGTCTTCGACGAAAGGTTGGAGTACATCGACTTGGGGATCTTTGGAAGCCCCACATTTGCCGGGCTACATCGGCTTTACTGTGATCTACGTCAAAGTATACTTAGGCACGCTTCATGACAAGTAGTCCTTTGTTCCTGTCTAAGATGGCTGCCGACCGAGACTAAACCAACTCAGTGCCCAACCAAGCGCCCTCATGCACGGCCTTGGGGCTTCGATAGTGTTATGGCACGTCTCGTCTTGCATCCATGGCTGGATTCCCCGTGATATCTTCTACATTCCAATGTTGCGACAACGAGGTTGTGAGACATGATCGGATTCAAGGTGTCGGCAAGCGCCAACCGTTGAACTCCATCACCACTGTGCGCGTGCAGCCGACAGTGCATCGCACATTGGGCAGAGAGTGCCTGCAAAAACCAACGTGTCCCGTCCTGGACACACACTGGAGTAGCGTAGAGGTATAGTATGTCTGCCCACTCTGTCCACCTCCACACGCGATCGAGAGTCGAAGAGCTCCGACGCAAAAACAAGTGAAAAATCGAAGGTCCATGAGACAGCTTTGCGGGACTTGACTGCCAGGCATGAAGAATTTGCGCTGCAGCTAAAGCTGACAAGGAGGCTGAGTTTTATTGCGCGAGAAGAAGATGGTGGCAAAGAAGAGCGCAGAAGGTCATGAAAGCCAAGCTAAAGAGTTTTGGAGGAGGAACGGCAAAGCACGTGTGTGCGCAGTGACAACTTTGGAGCGTAGAACAGTGCCGACATGCGGATTCCTTTCGCGCATACATGAACCCCTAATGGGAGGCTTCCCTTCTGCTTCCTAGGTCGATTTGTATCGATATCGACCAAGGAAAACCGTGGAACTGTTCACACTTCGGGTTGTGTTTGTTACGATACACCCAAGTAAGCTTTCTAGGAAAGCCAGGAAAAGGTGTGAGGGTTGGACTAAATGTCTTTCTGCGTGAGGGTTGGACTAAATGTCTTTCTTCGTGACACCAGATTCAAGGTCCATGCCGACACAGAAAATGGTCGGATCACCCTGTCCACGAAGGAGTTCGAAGACGACGACCACGTGTCTCGGCATCAAGACTTGAAAACACATCAAACAAAGCCCAGCTTAGAGCCACTTGTGCCAACAAAACTAACCGGTTTCTTGATGTGCAGCGCCAGGTCGGGTGGATGTTGAGCTTTCCTGAACGATGCTTCGCGATGGCTGAGGAGGCCCGAAGTGTGGGCGGTATGGGCAAGAGTTGCCTCCAGAGTTAAGGGGCTGTACTGGGCGACGACTTGTTTATCAGAACTCAAGTGTGATGTCATGCACATCTTCACGTAGCCCTTCCTGCAGGCGGTCGAAAGGTATAACGAAAAGCCTGCAGCTCAGATCATCCAGACTTTTTGTCTGAAGCATACTCCTGCCTGTGCTCGTCGCCATCCCAACGCTCGCATGTCGGTAGTTGAACAGCTGAAGATTACAGGCGGAGTGCGTACATCGCGTGGCTGCAGAGATGAGTTGAGCATGTCTCACTTCCTAGCGGTCCTAGCGGCCTCAAGCAGAGTTAGAAGGTATTTCAAGGTATTTCGTGACACAAATGAGGTGTAAGTAGTATGGAATCGTGCGAAACTAGAAGACTAAGAAGAGGTTTGGGAAATTCAGTCCGACGCAGAGTTTTCCCAGCCTTGCGCCGCTGCAAAACGCGTTCCAAAGGCTGCTTTTTGTGAGAAGCGCCTATGAGAGATGTGGCACAATTGGTACACTACGGTACACTTGAGAGAAACTGGTAAATCGATCTCCTCGTAGACATGAAGCCCGGTCGAGGCGTGCAGTCGCACTTCCATTTGTGGCAGCGGAGGATAGTCATTTGCACTTAGCTTCCTGATGCAAAACTGTTCGCTGCCCTGTGGGTTTTGATGGTCCATCAGTTGCAGTCTTCAGAGACGATGAACGGCAGAGCTTCTCTTGTAGCGCCCTGCCCGCCAGCACATGGGCCATCATGGTGGAGCAAGGCCCTGCGTCGTCTGCTCGTTGCACTAAGCCTGATGGGTGCATGTCAAGGTGCCAGGCGTCCCCAGGCAAAGTTGCAGTTCTCCCGGGACCGAGCTGAGTACTTTGGCCACTCTGGTTACTTTGGTCGCCCTGGTCTTCTCTGATCTTGCAGGATGCGGGTGGAGGAGAGGGGAAGATTTGCTCTGGCTGGCTGGCCGGAGTCTCAAGAGTTGTCAGAAAAGGGGGGGGGGGGTATGGCGTGGGAGCGTCACCTAAGGCTGGCACGAGCAAGACATTTTACCGGAAGCGCTTGAAGCAGGCAGCTCTCCAAGTACGGTAGCTGACCACCTCTCAAGGGCTCAAGATGTTCTGAAGCACATGACACACCGCTCGCAGCTGTATGGCTCCTATGATGCTTTGTCGGCCAGTTGCCTTTCGCCTGATGTAGAGCTGTCAGCACCGAGGTCCGGGTGAATCTCGATTGTTGGGAGCGGGGCGCAGTTCCAGCTGTGTGATCATGTGTGATCATGTGTGATCTGTGTGGCTATAGCCGGAGGCCTTGGTGAGGGCAGAAAATGATCCACTACGATCCGAACAGATGGACGTCTATGTTCGGAGTGCGTGGAAGCGTGCTCCCAGTTTCTTTGAGGACAGCGGCCGCGCAGGGCATGCGCCCCGTTTTTTTCCGGGCAGCGTTCCCTGAGTTCCCTTCGCTCCCTTCGCACCATTCGTGCCCTCCAGGATCTCGCTTCCCTGGGCCATCATTGCGCTGATGATCAAGTATCTCGAAGTCTGGGGCGTGATAGATCTCAAGGTGCTTGACTTTCTCAACACCGGGGAGATTTATGGCGGCTTCACCTTTGTCCTCGGCTGCTTGATGCATTCTGCCCTGGCACAAGGGTTCCAATCAGATCCTAGATGCCTCTGTGTTCTTTCCAAGGATTTACCCTCGTATTCCGAACATCCCAGTCCTACACGCGGTACTGGGCTGCTGCAACGGCGGTTCATGAGAGCCTTTGATGGAAGTGTAGGGCTTAAGATCCGGTGCTTATGTGTCATGCTCCCCAATACATGGGACAGCTGGTGGAAGCATGGAATCGCGAAACCCCCCCCCCCATTCTGACTGCGAGTTTTTTCTTCTTCCCGAAAAGTGGCGTAGGCCCCCCAACGCCAGGGACTACAAGGATGTAGAAAGCTGTGCAGCCGAGGATGGGCTCCGAGTGGTCGGATTCCTGCGCGTCGTTGCTGGCCTTCGCCAGCTGCTCGAAATCTCCTCCAGAGGCTCAGTCTCCTGTACATCTCAGCCGAAGTAGCCTTGTAGAACCCGGACAAGGAGGGGCCCAGCCCTGGAAGACACCTACGTCCCCCTTGGATGCTGGGCCCGTTGCCAGGACATTCAGCGCTACATGCACCTGACGGTCAGGCTGTTCAGTCTTCTCCATGCGCACTTTGCCAGCAACATGCGTGAACATCGCACACCAGATTCGTTCAGCAACACTCGGGGCAGACACATGTTGACAATGCACTTCCCAGCGCAGAGTTTTAACTCAGGATGGCCATGGAGGAAATTGCGGAGCTTAAGCATGAGAATTTCCGCGTGATTGACGCCCTGGGGATAGACAGGGCCACTTGGTGGCATTCCAGCCGCTACGTTGGTGGCAGCAGCCTTATGAACACCTGAAGAACTGCGCGTAAGCCAGGACTGCTTGGAAAGCCTTGAGCTCAGTGGCTGTGGATCACAGATGTGCTCTGGGGCTTGAGCTACGGGTGTGGCTTGTTTTTGCGCAGCTGACGAGTAGCCGAGGCATTCACGGAAATGACACATCTGCCAATGCTAAGCGCATAGGTCGGAGTACTTCGCAATGACAGGAAGCTGAAGTTTCCACGCCCATGAGACTTCTGATATTTAAGTGTGGCAGCAGGTCATGCCATCAAGACTACGACCGTCTTGTGCTGGTTGAAGAAGCACATTGTGCTATCCCAAGCATCAGGCGAGCGTTTTGTCGTAAGAGTTCTTGAGTTTTCTGATTCCAAGAATGGGAAGAACTCTGCCAGATTCTGCCAGATCCTGTCCGATTTGTCGGTTCCCATGGTCTAGGAATTATCGCGGTGCCTCCGCCCATCCTGACCCGCGTCTTTCATGAGCTTAGCATGGGCTCCCTGGCTGCAGACATCATCTCCAGGATTTCAGCGGTCAGGGACCTATATCCCCCTTGGGAATTATTTTTAAGTTTTTGTTCATATAAAACCCCAAGAGGATATTGAACATATTATTTTTATTAAGGTTCTCAGGGGAGTTTCGGGACGGGTTGAGAGACCATCTAGCATGTCTTGCCGCCTGGGCTTCGTGGCAAAGGTGCTTGTTCATGGAAGGCCCTGTTGCTGTCGCTTGGTTGCTAAGGACTGGTTGAATATCACAAGGCCCAGCAGGTTGTGATATGGCCATTCCCTTTTCCTTACGTGCCTGGCCTGATCTTAACCTGGAGCATCAAGACGTCACGGTGGAATTCTCGCGTGTCCGGGTGCTCGGCAGGCCCAGTTGAACACGTTCCTGATCTGGATTTTCCTGGCAGTTTCTCCTCTTGTCATCTGCACATGGTCACTTTGACGTTTTTGAAACATGTTGTTTTTGGTGTCTGATCCCAGATCCCCACGATTCCTCGATGCCCCACCTCAGCAGGGCAGTGCATGGGAACTCCATGGGATCTTAGGGACACGAGCCCCTGGATCATCGCTATCTTCACCTTGCTGACCGCATGCTCCATGGTGGGCCTGGACTGTATAGCCGCCGAGATTGAGGCTCCATTTGGAGCCTTGGCTGCAACTGGAGTTCCGGCGAGCCCTCTGCTCGTCTTCCTCGTCATTTTGAGCTTCCTCACCTGATGATGTGCTGTGCTTCAAGCCGCGGTTGCGGGTGTGATGCTCCTACAATCTCATTGTGGAGGTCCAGATCAGAACGATCTCCCGTGTTTCGCACCTGACTTGCAACGAGCCAATTGCCAGTCTTTGCTCCAATAGGCGTGACGCGCCAGAAGACGAGGTGAGCCAGGGCTGTCTAAAGCTTCAGAACTTTAGGACATGATGGACGACTACAACATGCTGCTGCTGGCCACCTGCTGGCATCGCAAATCCGGGTTTCATTCACTCTTTTCCGCGGTTGCATTTTGTTGGCCGTGTTTGAGCTGAGGCCCAGCTGGATCCTAGGTCTTGGCAGGTGCCATTTATGACCCAGGATGCGCTTGTGGACTTTCGTGCCTTGTCTGAGTTAGATGATACCTTGCCTAGTCAGGTGTATGGTACCACCCACACCCTAGGCGAAAATCTATCTTAAGGTCTCAACCCCAATACTCTATCTACAGACCCCAACCCAAGTTGCCATCCTAGGAACAATGCTCACAACTATCTGGGTGCCATACCGCCTAACTAGGCAAGGGGGTCTTGTGGAATTTGGTTCAGGGTTCGGGGTTAAGGGGTGCAACTCTAAGGTAGTCATCATATCTAACTGCTTATGCAATATAATTACATCATAACTAAGAAGAATTAGCTTGTTTGTTTTGGTTTGTCATCAGCAGCTGTCTCAATCATTGCTGTTTCCTTGTGCTTACCAAATAACAGATAGCATGATCAAACACTTCTTGTATTTCAGGCTTTCATCCACTACTTTCGTGTTCTTGTATGCTTTCCATTTTGCTTTGCAATTTATGCAGTCGCGCCAAGGTTGCCCCAATCCATTAAACCCGAACTCTTCGACAGGTTTTTTGCTGTGGCATCATGTGCATTCGGTTGTCTCCATCTTGCTAGTATGAATACACTATCCTTTTGCACTCCTTGTTTCAAGCATTTGGACCAAGTCAAGGTGTATTGACATAATTCGAAGCGTGACTACTGACACAGTATGTTCGTTTGAAACGGTTGATGTCTTTGACTCGACATCTGGTCCACTGTATCCGTCAAACTCAACTATATAATATCTTGTGCACCTTTAACCTGTATTAGCATTATATTAATGCAACATACACTCTTTCATAATGCGAGATTATGAAAAGGTGCGTCTGGACAGGGTAACTATACTACTGTCAAGTTACAATAGGAAAATCTTTTTGCATTCATTGCTTTTCAAAGGCTTCACCTGTGTCCGTCCTCTGTTATGTTATGGGTTCACCTTCAGTTTTATTAATATAAAATGCATAAGGTGTGTATCAATTTCAATATTGATATTGCCATTATCACGGCTTGTTTCCTCTACTAACTCTAAATGTGCACGGAGCACATGCACATCTTGCCCCTTTGTCATTTTTTCAACCTGGGCCTCAGCTAGCCGCGAGGCTCACTGACGCATCCGCAGAATGATTGCCGCTCCGCCTGCAGTCAAAAGCCAGCATGGAATGGCATGGAATGGCAAGAGTGTGCATGAAGCCGAACCAAACCTGCTTGTCCGCATGCCAGCAAAGGCCGCAGTTGCTGCGTAGATGACTGCTTCACGGAGAAGTCAGGACTGCCAGCTTCTTGTGGCGCAGCGTCATTCTGCGCAGTCACAGCTTCTGGACAGGGAAGCCCCCTCTCGTGCCTTGCACCCACGAGCTGGACCTGGTGATCCGAGAGAAGCAGGAGATGCAGAATGCGATGCACAAACCAAGAGAGAGCAAAGATGTGGGTAGTCCCGGTCTCTGGGGCTTCGAGTCTGAAAGCATAACTCTCAGAAGCCGCCTGGGGAAGTGAATTTCTTGAAGCACCCTGGATTTGGGGGGCCTTCACTTTCCCCTTTCAGGACGCGCTGAAGTCCTCCGAGCCTCGGCAGGACCGCAATTTTTGCAGCTCTGCCAGTTCTGCCCTTGCACAGCTCAAGCTGCAAAAGTGGCGCGTAGTGGCGCGTTGTGGGGCGAAGTGCAAGAATTTGGGGAAGGAGCCGCCGGCACCTCCCAAGCTTCCCACGGATGTGGTCGAGGCGAGCCTTTGCCAGCTGCAGCAGATGCAAATATCATCAGCTATCAAGTATCCAAAAATATCAAATATCATCAAATATCCATAAAGTGCACACAGTGCTTAGATGGAGTAGATGCAGCCCTTGCATCTGTAGTTGCTGTAGTTGTCTGCAGGAGCTACGGGAGCTGCGGCGGCAGCAGCATGCGACCCTGCTGAACAAGTGTGGGGTAAGCCGGGAAAGCGTCCGAGCATGTCTGCGCCTTTCGTTCGGCACTGGCAGTCTGCAAGGAGTTCTTCACGCAGCAGTCGCAGCAGCAGCGGGAATATCAGGAACGCCACTGCGCCTTGTCTGTGAGAGTCGGAGGCAAGCTCGGCTGCTTTGCCACGCTTGGCTGCCTTGGCATGTCAACGTGAGGCCAGCTCTTGCAGCACCTGATCCAAGTCAGCAGCTGCTAGGCGGCAAATTTCAGGGCTTCCAGTGCTTGTGCATTGTCAGTCTATTGGGGCTAAATGGACAAGACCCCCAAAATGAAGCACCACCCGGTCTACCGAAAGGTGGACCGGCCTCCGAGCCATGTGCGTAGGATCCACACTGCTAAAGCGAGGTCGGTCCGAGTGCTGGCGAGTTGCATGTGCAGGTTGCTACGTGTGACTGTTTCGAGTGAATGTGATCTAGCTACTGTTTGGCCAGTTTCTGACTCGCTGTTGATCTATGTTCCACTCGAGAACCCTTGGCTGGGTACGGAGAGTGGAGCAAGTGTGCTAACGTTCAGGACGATCCAGCGATCGGTCTTCAGTGATCCCGCCAAGTGGGTCCCAACTGTAGCTCTCTTGTAAAGAGACCGACCTTCAATTGTCACGCAAATGTTTTAGGGGATTCCGCTCACAGGTCTATTCATGTCACAGCAACACCAGCAACAAGCAAGTGGTCCTTCTTTTGGGTTCCCGAAAAGTAAACGCTTGTCCTTGGTTGTATGCATTGCATACTCATGCCCATTGCCAAATCTGTTCCCAGCAATTAATCTTCGCTCAAAACATAGGCTGAGTTTACAAGTCAGATGTGTTTATGTGTGTTTAGTTCGTAGGTTGCCTCTTGGTTTAGCAGTTTGTGTTCATGCGTGTGCCTGCGTCAGCAGCCTGAGTTGTGCTCACTGTTCACACATCAAGGCCAACGCAACAATGGAACTTTGCCTGCATGAATTCTGCTAGCTGTGTTGCATGCCGCTTGACGGTCCACCGCGCGTCCCATCCCTGTGTGCTTCAGCTGAGGCGGCTCTGGCCAATGGTGTGCCGCGCCGGCAAAGGCTGTAATGAAGTGACGCGTCCTTCCCCCGTGCAGCCAAACTGATGGGGGAGGCATTCGGGATCAACAGGACTGGCTGCTTCGTTAATGTAAGGCTGCTGCAGGGTAACAAAGCATGCTGGGCAGCAGCTCGTGGCGTTTCTACGCCAGCTGATGACCATAGAGCGTCTTGCCACAAAGACGCGCATTACCTGCCAAAGATGCAGAGAATGGCAACGCCGCATTTCCCCATTTTAAAAATGACGTGAGGCGGCGCTCATACCGATTCATCTGTAATTGTTCTTCCTCGCAGATCTGCGCCGTTTCTGTCCATGTCGATTAGAGCACAAGTGCCTGAACGACTCCGTGAAGAGACGCTGCTGCTGGAACACAAGACCTGTGTGTCAGCATTTTGTCGTTGCCAGCCTTCGGCCTGAAAAAGGGACAAGAGGCGGCGGCTTGCCTTCGAAAACAACGGGCGATTCGTGGGCTACCGTACCAATGATGCCAGTCTGCATGGAGTTGCAGCAGACACCTTCCGTGCACTGCTTGTCCTTGAATAGCATTGGAGGCACTCCTCCTAGCTGCCGTCGAGACGAAGCTTCAAAGAGTTCGCTTGCTCCCGGTTGAGCAGTCAGCTACCAAGGTTGAATCTTCTTGCAGTATCGTACCGTATCGTGCAGTATCGTACAGTATCGTACAGTATCGTACAGTATCTTGCAGTATCTTGCAGTATCTTGCAGTATCTTGCAGTATCTTATGGCATCTTGCAGTATCTTACGGCAATGATTGTTGCAAGTGCTTAGACCCCTGGAATTCTTGAAACAGCCATCGCCGAGGCGCCCACTGCAGCGCGAGGTGCTGCGGCGGCGGCGCCGGGCCCCATGTGAGTGCAGATCCCTGATGATCGAAAAGACTTTCGGATGTTTTTGTGTGTTTCGTTGACGGGTCGAATGATGAGCCGCGGGCGAGAGCCATAGCGCTGTGTCGCCGCATGTGCCATCTTTGGTCAAACTCAGGCGCATCGATTCTGCAGGGGGGCCAGGCAGCAGTGGCAGTTGTAGGTCTTGTAATGATGCACATCATCGTACAAGTTGCGCTTGACTCGTGACAATTCTTGACCTTTTGCGGGCTCGATTCTCTAGACTTGGTCTCAGGAGTGTCTCAGGCTTCACAAGGGCTAATCAAGCCCCCCTTGCCAGGCAGAGGCAGAGGTGGTGCCTAGCCGGTGGGAAGAGCTCCGCAAGGCAGCAGGCTGATCCGATGGTCCATGTTGGTCCGTGGCGCCATGGTCCAGGAAGTACTCGACCGCCACACCATCGTCATGCCGGGGCCTGCACTTTTGCTTGGAGTCACGTTGACTGATGCATGTCGAACGCGATTCTTCAGGAAGGGCGGTTGGCTACAGGGCAAATCCAGAAGTTTCTTCGTCCTCGCAGGCGCGTTTTGACTTGAATGCAACGTGGATTGTTCATTGCAAGGTGCTGTTGCGATAATGAATGTTTTCGAACTTTATTACGTCTCGATCAAGCAGCATGCTTGTAGCACATGTATGCCAGTGTCTGCCGGTTTCTACCAGTTGCATTGCATGATGCCCTTGTCGGCAGGTGCCGACCTGACCGTGTTCGAAAGGCCAAAGGGCACCGGACACAGACACAGGAACTGGTTCGGAGCTCTCCTGGCCAGGTTAGACAGCACGTCGCACAAAATGCAGCTAAGCCTGTTGGGCTGCACAGCCAAGAAGCAGCCTGAGTGCTCCTTGTATGAGCTGCTTGAAGTCGTGCGCACACTGCGGTGTTGAGGTTAGAGGAGCCGCATGAGCAAACTTCGGCCAAAAGCCTGGATTCTGATATCTTCCGGTTTGGCTCGAAACAATCAGTGCAAGCCTTACAACCCTGCGACTTGCTTTGGGCAATGAGGCCAATCCTCCCTTCGAGCCTGGATTTCCAGCCAGAGCTGGCGCCCTGGCACCAGTGCCAATCTGTCAGGAAATAGGACCAGAGCTGCCCAGGTCAGCGTGACTTTGGCCACAGGGTGGCCCGGACCTCTGGTCGTGAAAAGATCTCACTTCGTGCCGACTTCAAGCATGAGGCGGCTCTGGCTGTATGCGCCACGGCCTGCTCCAAGCTTAGCCGGCTTGTCCTATCTCCGCGATGCCTTCGTAGACGCCATGATGCCAAGAGTGTGCCGCAAGCGGTTCGCAAGAGCCTGGCAAGGCCTTGGCCAAACACTGGTGCCGTTGCATTCGTTTAGCCGCAATCCTGGCTTGGAATTGGCTTTTGGCGAGCGCGTCCTCAACAAACATGCTAACATGCATTCATGATCACTGTGATACGACTAAGACGAATCTGATCCACGAGTCGAAGAAGGGAAAGCTCGTTAGAGCCTCAGGGTTTGAGTGCCAAGCGCTTTGCTCCTCGAGAGAGGCATCGCCTCTATTCAAAGCGCGCTACGTCCACGCTGCAAGGCTTTAGAGATTCCGCTGGAGACCATTGCCCATTACGTGTGCTTGCCTGTGGTGGTTGCAGTAGGTGTTACGCCGTGACACAATGGCAGAATCCGCAAGCCCAGGCAGGTGCATTCCAGACGTCGCGACCTTTGCCATCACCCGCCATGCTTGCACTATCTGGCACTACAGGGCGCTTGCAGCAGAATTGCATAAAGCAACCATAAGGCCGTGCATGGGAAGTCTTGGTCTCGTACAACAAGATATGGTGGGAGAGGCGTCGATTTGTGAGCTTTGGCATGGGCTTTGAGGTCGAAGGTGATGATCCAGTTTCTCGTTGCGTCAGGAATACCTTGCTGTCGCAATGCTCTCAAGCCTTCGAGAAACTGAGTGCAGACGGCTTACCTTGGTTGGGATAGTTCTGGCGTGGCAATGGGCTCCGGCAGTTCCAGGTCCAGCGGGCATGGGGCAAGATGATTGAGGTGACCCTGCTACAGCTCTGAGAATATCTTTTGTCATACGTAGGACGCATGTACTTGCTTGTAACCTCATCAAGCAGTGGTAGATTTCTCGAAGTATTGGGAAAAATCGTGCAGGTGTACGGAGCCAGGTGCAAGGAGAAGGCTCAGGACTGCTCAGGTCACTGGCATTTTCCGCGCATGGTCATGTTTTGTGTGAATCTGAAGGAGGAGGCTGCTGTGCGTTCGATGCCGGTGCAGGTAGCTATACCATAACTAATTATGCACAAACTTGAAATTTCTAGCTGCCTTGAAGTATGTCCTGAACAGTGTTGCTGCTTGCCGGAATTGAGAAGCGACTGTTCGGCGGCAGGCCACGGCGTTGAACAGCGACCAGTGTGGAACCCAATGCACAGTGTCCGCCTGTATATTTCGATGATGAGCGTGCCAGGTATGATGCCGAGCTGTTGACGCTGCGTTACAAGGTTTCATGCCAGGGAGATGTAAAAAGCTTTCTTTTCCGAGTAGTGAAGCGGTGAAAGACACCTTCAGGTTGTGTTAAACAATCATCGGAGGATTCTTTTTGCCTTGCAGTTGCAGATGACCAATGTGCGGTCAGAGGACCCTATGTCTGCTGCAAAGCCCGCGCCAGGCAGTATCCTGGCTACAAAGACGAGTTCGTGACCTAATGCGGTCAGATGGTGGGCTTGCTCCTTGGGAAGTTGTGGTGCATCCTTGGGAAGTTGTGAAGGCAAGTTAGATGTAGCACTTTCTACATCACACGTGTTTCCGCATCAACAAAGTCGGCGAATCCGAAGTTTTCGCCGCGCAAGCGCTGCCCGTCGCTGTTCGTCGTCTCTGAGAGCGCTTGGGGGCGAAACGCAATAGTGACAAAGAAGATCAGTATGGACGCCAACCACAAGCCAGAACAACACCAGCAGCACGTGGTTAGGGTGGGTGGTTTTGAGGGCTTAGGGTACTTTTAGGGCTTGGGGTATTTAGGGCTTTGGGGTCTTGAGGGTTTGGAGAATGTCGGGTGTCGGCGTGTCGAGGGTTCAGGGTCCTCAGGTTACGGCTAGCTTTCGTTGGCCTCAGCTTGCTCAGTATTTGGATCAGATTGGGATGTGCGCTTGTTGAAGCGATGCCCTGAGGTTGGCCGCAGTTGCAAGGGCAGCAGGTGCCCACATTCAGTGCGCACGTGAAATTGTCAGATACCTGTCCTGTGACACCCTGGGCACCATTACGCAGCTTCCTTTGTACAGGAAGAAGGCCGGGGCCACCGCTTTGCCACAAGCGATTGCAGCGGTGCATTCCTGTGGGTGCTGACCTCAGTTTGCAGCTGTTGCCTTTTGTGGCACGCAGCCATGTTATTCTGCCTAAGCATGTGTAGTTCAAGGAAGCACACCTTCACGGAATCATGCTCCCTGCCGCCGTCATCGGCAAAATTTGCCGGCCATTTTGTTCATGAACAAACCCTGCCCGATAATTGGCCAACTCATCTGAACAAGTATTCGCCTTTGCAGTGTGCTTGGCCGGCAAATCTTTGGAGCACAAGTCTGTGTGGTTGCAGCGTTTCAGATCGAATCTACAAGTTGCGCTTGTCCGGTCAAAGAGCTGGAAAGCTGGAACTGATACCTCTAGCTTGCCGAATGAAGAAGTGAGTGAGTTCATTATGGATACGGAATGTTGCGGAGTTATTGCAGTCAGAGCGGCGCGATTTGAAGCCATGCTCGCTGATCAATACCGTGAATTCATGGAAGCAACGACTGGTGTGGCTCGGTTGCTAAGCAGAAGTCCTGCTACGCGTGTGACGACGTGACGACGTGACATGACGAGGCGGACGGGCTTACTGTCCTCTGACAGCCAAGGCCGTGCTGCCCCCAAGGGACCTGCGCATGCCGCGCAGAAGTGCGGAGCTTCGCCGATCGACAGCAACGTCGGCAGCCAAAGTGCAGATGGAGGTCCCAGCCGTGTCCAACACGTCCACACCCTACTGGACCTGACTGTAGCCGACGTGGCTTTAGGCCTTGACCTGTCATGATCCATTTATCTGATTCACTCCTTCCGGCTCATTCATCCCGCACATTTCGCACATGGCGGCCATTCTACGTTTTCTCCGATGCGACCAAGGTCCAGACAGAATGCCATGCTCGAGGCGGTGGCCGGGATGAACGAGCCTGCCAACATGACAGGCGCTGGTGCAGAAGCTGCAGCAGCACTGCAAATGTGCAGCGCTGCTGTGCTAACTGCGATGCCACAGCTCCAGGCGACGACCTTAGTCAAGCCTACTCGCATCATTTTCACACCGCAGTGCGAGCTGCCACCTCGTGTGGGCCTTCCTACATTGAGGCCCCCAAGCCTGGCTGGTCTCGTGGAGGTCCACTACTCCAGGATGCAGTGCGGCTGAGCGGTGGCGAGAACCTGATCCTGCAGCGCGTGCTTGCTGCTTCCAGCTCCTTGGCTGATAGAGCAGGGGGGTTACTCTGGAGGCTTCCATCCTTCCATCCCATCCTCAGCGCACCGGCGCTGCATTCATGCCTCATCGGAGCTTCAGATGTGCACATGCCCCCTGATCCATCGACATCCATTGACTCCCACTATGGTGTTGCTATTTCTAGTATAGATTCAGCTGGTAGCAGTCCCATTTCGGATTTCCCCTTCGTTAATTAGTGCCCCAAGCTCTCGCCCTCTGCTAAGGACTTGTTTATGCCTTGTGCTTGTCTCTTATCATTGCAGCACTTGGCTCTGGTTTTGGGAGAAGCAGCTAAGGCGCTCCAACCCATGAAAGTGCTCATGCGTTCAGTTTGAGGAGAGCGGAGTTGCTCTTGACTGTGGCACCGTCGCACCGGCATTCTGGCTCCCTGCAAGGAGTGCGGTCACCACAGGACGTTCATTCTTGGATGCAACACTGCCACCAATGCCTTGCCAGGGCCTCGGACAGGCTTTGACAGGTGTGCCGCAAGTGAATGGCAGCTAGGCCATTGTTGTCCTGCATTTCGGCTGCCTAGGCTGGTGAAGTTGGTGCCCGCGGCTGAATCCCGAACGTGCTGCTTCTGTTTATGGACATGCCCTTTGCAGCAATCAACTTTTGCGAAGTTGTCGCATCATATCGCAAGCGACAGATAAGAAAGGATGTCCATGACATAGAGGATGCAGCAGATCCGCCCGATATCCTCAGTACAGAAGGCCTCGCAAACTGATCGCCAGAGGACCGCTGCTCATGTTTCAAGACAGTTGTACGACTAAAGTGTTTCCACCCTGTCTCTGGCAGCTCGACTCAGAAAAATCTTGCAACATGTTGCAGCACAGCATAGACTTACGCACACGACTCCGTTCATGTTGAGCTACACAGCGCTGCACGAAGAACCTTGCTTGTCTAAAGTACACTACTCTGTGAAATACAGGTGCCTCATTGGTCGTTGGCGCCGAGCAGGCCTGTTGGGACGGCAGAAGTTACCAAGAGCCTTCATATGTGCTCGCTACTGGTATGGTGGGACAAGACTGGCCCCACCAGGCCTTGCAGCCTGCGGGAAGAGGCGCTGAATCGCTGTGGGGTTTGCTCTTCAATCAGTGTGTGCACGCTCCGGGGATTTATGGGGTTCTTACGTTCTGGGATTCCCTGTGGCTCCTGCCTAGGCGTGGAGCAAGGTTGTCCTCTCGCCTAGGTCCTGTGGTGTCTCTCTTTTGCATCCTTGCATGCACCGCTTCCTCTCGTGCATATTCCCTCGACAACCCTGCCCCCGAGTCCCGTGCACATTGTCCCGGACCTTCAAATCGCGCGAAAGTCGACTGAAGCGTCCACGGAGGTCTTTCGGGTCGAAGGAGGCTTTCGTACAATCGCAGTAGGGAGTAGGGGTGCACTCAGTGGTCATCTTCCACTGTTTGGGGTGTACGTCGACACAACTGATAGTGCGCAGGCCTACACATGGCGGCCCTGAACACTTTTCTAAACAGCATGCAGTGCCCCGAGGTTCTTGTGCCTTCTCCTCGAGCAGTTCAAAGAAGAGCCTGCCGACATGGACCAAGCAATTTGCCGTGTGATTTCACACTTTGTACTGCACAATGTTACAATGTGCAACCAGCAGTCAGCCTGAAGCCACGCACGCTTGTCGTCGGTCGGTGGATGAAGTGGACAGCAGGTGCTGATTGCACAGAATCTCAGAAGCTCGGTGAACGTTTCTGAGGCCTTGCACTGGACTTCTGTGGATTTCCAAGTGTTTGAGCAAGCTGCACGTTTGTCAGCGGCTTCCTCAGATTGGCCAGTGCTCTGTGAGCTGTTAGTTCGCAATCTTGAGTTGTGCGAAGCTCTGTCCTTCGCCTGAGCGGAGCTGCCCATTTGAAATCTGCCTGTGCTCAGGCGAGGCACGTCGGTCTGGGTCTTGGTTCTACTCTGCTCTTGGTCTCGTTTGGGGAGGGTGCTCCCATTTGAGAAGGATGTGCCGGCCTTTGTGCACATCGACGGCATCTCCTCCGTTGTCATGCATTCGGATACTCGGCTGACAACTTGTTCTGGCCTTGAGGAACAGCATCATCTTGAGATGGTCACATTGCCAATGGAAAGTCTTGATAAGGATAGGGTGGATGAGTTCAAGGAGCACGAGTCTCAGAGTCTCAGAGTCTCTAAGAGCTCTCGGCTTTTGGATGCGGGAGTTGAATGCAGTTCGCATCCAAGGCATGCGGGCCCGTGGCTGACCTTGTACGGGTGCTGCCCTTGTCCATGATGCCCATGTGAGTATCTTTTGAAATCTTCAAAATCTGTTCTGAGTGAAGCTGATCTTAACCAGCGGTTGCAGGCCGCTTCAAAACATCCACCGCGGTGTATCTGAGATGGCCATTCGTAGTGTCTCTTCGCGCCGAGCTCTTGCAGCTGGCAGCAAAGTCAGCAACCCAGAAGCCCAACAAAGCCTTCGGCTGACGGTTGCTGTCAGGGCTGGTTGGATACCCAAGGCCAGCAGAAGTGCTGGCCGCACCTGCACACGCGCGTACTTGAGCCTTCTGGGGCAGCGAGTGGTGAGTGCCATTCAGACTGGAGAAGATGTGGACTACACGTGTGCGCTGGACCGTCACATTGCCCTGCCAGATGACAGTGAAGAGGCCTCACAACTCTTGGACGCTCTCGAGGAAGCTATTTGCAGCGTGGACATTGTTGAGGAAGCCCATCCGGATGTGCTGTTCAGCCCAGGTCGGGTCAGTTCAAGAGTGCTTTGTGGCAACCGCGTGGCTCTCTGGCGGCTACTTTCAGCCCAAAGCGAGGAAATGCCGATGCAAAAGACGCCCAGGTCCACAGCGCATGGGCTGCTGGGCTTCAACAGTGTAACGACTACATGGCGAATTCCCTTGTCGAACAGCCGAGACGAGCACATGGCGCAGAAGCCATTTGTGGACATTGACGTGCGATCTGAACATGTGCGATCACAGAGCGTCGCGTCAAAGCCGAGACTGGTATCACCTGAGCAGTGTGCCACTCGGCCCAATGCAGCACAGTATATCAGTAAATCATAGTAGTGGGTATTAAACGGTACAGTATGGTGCCAAAACAGGACAGCAAGGTACAGTAGGTCTATGTCAGTTCTACATCATGGCAGGGCTCGAGCTTGCCTCGGCCTAGACTGCCAGAAAACCTGTTCCGACGTTTTTGACCATGCGAGGCTGCCGTGGCATCGTCTTATCCCTTTGGCTCTGTTGGTGTTCGGACGGCGCCAGCAGACGAGCTGGTTGAGCAACCCGCTGGCCCGAAGCCCTACTTCCTGCAGTTACGCCTGGGCGACTTGAAGGCAGGCATCATGGCAAAGCCGGAGGAGGTTCGAATAGAGCTTCGTTGCGGTGGCCTCAAAGCCTTTTCGCTGCCGGCTGGTGATCCCTGCTTGCTGGAACAGAAAGGGTTCATGTCCTTCAAGGGAGTCAAAGTGCTGCTCCCTTTACCACCTGAGTTTTCGGAGAAGTTTGCAGGTGGTGGGCAGCTTCCTCCTGTACACCTCCTTGTCAAGCTTGCTGCAGCCAAAGATGCTGCACAGCCGATGAGCTTCAACGACGTGCTTAAGCTTTCTGGACGCGCCGTCCAGAAACATGTGCCCGAGACATCTGTTTTGCATGCCACCCTTCTACTTGATAATCTGGACTTCGATGATCCGACTCACCTGCGGCCCCTGGCATTGTGCAGCGTCGCAGAGGCCCCACACGAATCGGTTCTTGCGCAACTGAAGGATACGGCACTGCCGGCACATGTGCCATCCCTAGCAGTTGCCGCCTGCCTTCGTGACGATCTTCAGCAGATTGATGGCGAGCAAAGCGGCAGGGTCTACGTTGGCGACGTAGGTGCTCTCTCGGTGGAGGAGGTCCTTCAATATCCTCAAAGTCAAGCTGATTTTCGCCGCAGCCTTGCAGCTGGCAGCAGCGCCCTTAGCCGTGACCTACAGAACCTTCTTGATTCTTTTGCCCGGCCTTGCCTTTTGCCGCTTGTGCCCCCCTGTGAGGGCCCCTGTGCCACTTCTATGACTTTTCCAGGCTGGGACGAGAAGAGGATCGGCCTAGAAGGTACCCCTCTTCGAGGGCCAGTGTCTGAGTTCCGTGGCGACCTCTCAAACCATGCGAAATAAACAGCTACCACTGGTCAGGCCTCGCACTGCCGTCGAGCTGGCCTCGTCCTCGGACAGGCTCTGAAGAGTGTCTGCAGTAAGACTGTGAGCCCCACACCCTTCGACCATATTGGACCATGCTGGCAAGAAAAGCCCTTGGCAGCTAAGGCCCATTCGCGCTTGCCACCAGGCCGTGGCTTTGAAGCCTGAAAGAGAAGCCCCACTAATCGCCAATCACACAAAACCCGAAGCCCCGAACCTCAAGACCGAAACACCATGAACATAAAACACACACACAGAGACACGCACAGTCATCCTTTCTCTTCATTTAGGGGGTTCAGGGCTTCAGGTTCACAGAGGAGTGTGTTGGATGCCCTGTTCATGAATGTCCTGCGTGTCAATCAGTTCAGCTGCTTTTCCGGCAGACACAAAAACGCTGGTGAACTTACTCCGGAAGCCGCCAGGTGCCCATATTGTTGTTCTTGTTTGTTGCTCCATTTGGCTTAGTGTCTTTAGTAAACTTTAGTGTTTAGGGTCGGATGCTGAGGCCGGCGCTGGAGAAGTGGCCACAAAGCGAAGCAGTTCCAGTCAAGTTTGCCAGTGGCCCGGACTCGAGACAGTTGAGAGCAGCAGCAAGGCTGGAGTCTGGAGAGTCATGTCGAGCTGCATTGCAAGGCCGTTGAAGCAGGCGAAGATGAGTGTGCTTATCGCCGGCGCCAGCTGCAGTGGCCTGAGTTTGGCACAGGTTAGCGGCAGGTTTGTGATCGTGTGTTGTGTCGGGTGCATGGGAGGCCTGCGACCTGGCATAGAGTCCAGGAGGCTTTGATGGAGGCTGGACAGATGTTTCAGTGTTTCATGCAGTTTTGTGTTGCAGCCATTGGCTACACTTTTCATGAGGCATCGGCCACACCGAGCAGCCCATCAAAGCTGCCAATGCCGAGGCGCCTAGTGCCGGGTGGCTTGGAGCAAAGGGTGCATCCTAAAACGCCAGCACCGCGCAGCAGAACAACTGTACAACTTGGTTGGGTTGCAGGAAAGCTCTTGTTGCCGGGGGCTCGAGCATGTGACGAATGATGTTTCCAATGATTTTACCAGTGATGTCCAGGGCATCCGCCTTCGAATCCTTTCAATGTGAAGGTGGAGGAACTGACACATGCGCTCCGAGAAGTTCTCGTCACCGTCCTTGCAATCTACAATGACTCGTCCTCAGTCTCCATAGGATCCTGCGTAGGCCGATAGTCGTGAAGCGATTGTGAAGGATGGGACCTGTGACGTGGAGCTGTCTCCTGTTTTTATACGGCACTGGAAGGCACGCAGCGACTCAGGGCTTCTTCGTGCTTCTTTGCAGTAGACGGCAAGCTGCATCATGGGATCTTCAACAGATGTCTGGATATCTCTCTCGAAAGAAGACGGGCATCCCTGGGTCAGGTCCATGCTGCCCGGCCTACGCCTCAGAAAAAACTTCAGCGAAAGGGACCGGGTGACTCTTCGACGACCAAGGCGCTACCGCTTGCCTGGTGCAGTCACAGCGACTCCTTGCACTGCCACATACGAGCCGGATGCGGAGTCGGGGCCGTAGACCTGGGTGCTTCCTGAGCTGAAGCTCTCGGCAACCTGCTGACGAGGTCGTATCGCGTGATGCTGCAGGGAATACCTGTGACATCAATCAAGGCAGCACCAACTACATTGTACCACCCTTTGTGATTTGCCAGCTTGGTTTGTCTCTGTCCTGGCAGACTTTCTCGAGGCAGAGCAGGCAGCCGGATTTCACGTCTATGACACAGCCGTCCTGAAGCCTCAAGATGACGCGACCCAAGAGCCTCTTCAAAGTGCAACATGCGGTCCGATTCAAAAAGCCTCCCCGAAGATTTCTTGGAGGGATACTTGCCTAGCTCTGGTCAGCCGGCGTAAAGCTCTTCGACGCTCTTCGACGCTCTTCGTCCTTCAAGGCCCTGACGGCTGCACTCCACGGCGGCGCTACCGAAACCCTCGGTGGTCCAGTGCCGCTGGCGTGGTTCCCAGATTCACGTCCTTGCAAGTACCTCATACCGCAATAGGAAAGACGATCCTTGAAAGGGTCCTTAGCCTTTCCCCTTCCATGTTGAGTACGAAGTTCCGAAGACCCGAAGAACCACCTCTGGGATTATGCCTCTCGATGTATAGGAGGTGGTGCGCTGAGGATGCCGTGGAGGAGGTCTGCCAGCACGAGTGGAAGCTGCATCTGCGAGCCCCTTCCCTACACTTAAGACATGACAGAATAGATCTGCATATAGGCGCTGTATTCTGAAAATCCTCATCTTCTGCGTGCTTATTCGTCAAAGGTGGACAGCGAGGAAGACATGCGACGACTGGTGGTAAGCCTTCGGCAGTGCGCCCGCAGCTCATATCTGAAAGGAGCAATTCACAAGCATAGGCTGCCGAAGCTCTCAGTCTGGAGTCATCAGGGTGGCAGGATGCTTCAGTACACACACACACACTTGACTCTAATCGTCCGCTTGCCCTTCTGAACAGTGGTGGAGTTCATGCACTAACGAAACACCCGAGGCAAGGATGTACCAGCAGGTCCAGCTCCCGGTGCCGCCGAGCCCATTGACATTGCTGAAGCAGACTGCGCCGCTGTCAGCCAAGGCAAGGAAGGCCGGTGGCGTCGCTCCCTGGCTGGCTGGACAAAAGGTCTCCTCTGCTCTTTGTCGCGACTGAGCGTCTTTGAAAACCCATCCTCGGTTCCAGAAATTACTCTGTCTGGGGCAAGCTCTGCGAGCGTCGAAGATGAACCCAACTTCCCTCATGAGGTTGATGCAGTATCCACCGCCTTGAATGAAAAATCACTCTGTTTTCTTCGCCAAACCTGATCCGGGACCGGAAGTTTTTTGGAGTTGCGGAGCCCTCAACCCCCTGGTCACCCCCTGGTAGCTCACAAGCCAGGCCGGCGGCCAGCCTATGCCAAAGGGGAGCGGCCAGCCCATCACTGAAAAGTCGCAGAACAATCAGCACCAAGCCGCGTAACACGTCAGCACTCGCTGCAGGCTTGAAGTGCTTCTCGTTCGCGCCAAGAACCTCCTGCCAAGGAGCTTCTGTAGGTTGCTGCTCGACGCCGTATGCGCTGCATGGGCTTGGAGTTGATTTCAGGAGTGGAGGATGTCAGGTGCTCAGGGTGCAGTTGAAACCTCCGGCTGAAAGGCCCCCAAAGCACAGAGCTACGGCAGTGGTACGAAAGCACTTTTGCATATCCTTGGCCCTCAAGCACCGGTTCGTCCAAGGCACAGAGGTCGCCACCTCCTTGGATGCTTTGGCCGCCGGCAGGCCAATCATGCAGGTGGGACTGATGACGTTCCATGACAATCATTCCTACACCTGAGCCTATCAAGCCCCAGCTCGCACGAGCATTCTGAAGCGATGATGCTTGCCATGGCAGAGCATTGCCCCCCCCATCATCAGCATCCTACAGATATCGCAAGTTTTTTGGGGCCCCCCCAAAACCCCGCAGATTTCCGCTTAGCCGCCTCAAACAAAACTGTAGTACTTCGCATTGGGAGAATGCCGCAAGTGATGGATCCTGCTGTTGCTGCGATATCAAATCCGGGGTGGACAAAGTCACAAAGTGGCTGCACATTGCACCAGAGCCGCGCAAGGTTATGGGTGACATGCTGCGACCCGCACGCAACCTGGAGATCTTTGTTCGGCTCCGACTCATCGATGATGGAGAGGTTGGATGTGCTCGGCTGTCCTGGTACGGTTATGGGAGGACTGAATGCAAGTGTCCAGGTCATGTCCATCGACGGGCGACAATGCTTCGAATCGCCGACGCGACAGGGCTCAGCCAGCAGCTGGCCTCAGAGGGCAGACATGCCAGGAACGTGGCGTCGGTTTGTGAAAAAAACCGGTGTGAAACGTGGTGGAACGATGGGCTGCAGTGCTTCCCTGCGTCGCTGCTCGCGGAAGGCCCCAGTTGGACTGGGCTGGACCATGGTGGTCAGCACGATGGCATCTCAGACGCACTGGAGAGGCATCGGTACCTCTAGCCTCTAGAGCCTGGCGAAACTTCAGGTTGGCTGTTCCGGAGCCAGGCCATCCTCCCCGAAAGGCGGGGGGAAAGACAGAGAATGCGACAGGTATCCGGAAAGTTTTGGGCTACTCGTAGCTGGAGTTTCTAAACCTTTCGAGTGGCAGGATGCCGCACCTGTGGCTTGAGCTGGAAGTCATAAACATCGGACTCGTCGGCACCCTAAGTCGTTATTGGAGGCTGCTTTTGCGGTTGTGCGAGACGGTTTCTGATGAGTTCTTGGATGATGTTGGGTGGTTCGAGGCCGGCGAAGAGCTCATCGGCAGGGTGAGGATTCCCGTGACGAAGAAAGACTTTCTCACGAGTCCCAAGGCCCGGGAGGGACATCCAGGGGGATCCGAAAATGCAGAGAACCAACCCCCCCCAAGTGTTAAAGCCCTTGAGGAGACCCCAAGAATGACCTTAAGAAGCATCCTGAGGTCATCCAAAGTCTGCTAAAATGCCTGCAACAGAGCTGACTTGGAAGCTGAGGCTCCTTTCAAGAACCTGTGGCTGCCGGGCTCTCGGGGTCAGGGAGTATGGGATCTACTAGCTTACAAAGTTACAAGGGCTTGGTTTTGGCTGTTGGTTTTGGGGCTCCAAGCTGCGTGCCTACATGGTGGAGCTGAGGCCCTTGGCTCTGCCAGATGCCGATGGCAAGTGGAGGGCTACGACCCAAGCGCAGATTCGGGGTAGAATCGGGGGATTTGCCGGGCGCATGCTGCGCTCAGGTCACGCAGTGTGGAGATGTACACATCCTGACAATGCCGGGTGCCCAGATCTTGTGCACAGCAAGTGTTACCAAATAGCAAAGTGCAATGCAGCCAGCTGTAGCCGGGCTCGAACTCCACGGTGCCTGCCAATGGCATCAAGACTGGCCGTGGTGTTTGTGTGCTTGAAGCCGAAGACAGCAGCAATGACAGTGCCCAGCCCATGACATCTACGGCTACGGACCACCAGAGTATGGCGATACTGGATACAAGTTTGGAAGCGGCTGGAACAGTCCTGGCAATGTTCTTCATCTCATCCCCGATGCCACAAGTTTGGCAAGCTCAGAAGACGCCAGGCAAAGTCGACCTGATCAATCCCATCACCATCCTCTCCATCTACGGAAACTGTGCCGCGCAGGTTGTGTACGGTGTCTTCCGGCCTCTGCCTGCAGCCGTGCCCTGCAACTTGTACGGCCTAGGGGCTTCCTTGTATTACTTGTGTGCCTGCTGGTGGTGTGCGGCAAGGTTCGGTGGTTCCCTGCACTGGAACTTCGCTGCAGCGACTGCGACCGTCAGCTCTTTGCTAGCATCTCTGCTAATTTGGCTGTATGCCGCTCTTGAGATCCACCCAAATGCCGCCGAGCACGTTGGCTCCCTGGCCCTGGTCCTTAACGTCCTGGTCTTTGCGGCCCCTTTGTCGGCTTTGCAGCGGGTCTTCAGAGACCGCTCGAGTGAGTCTCTCCCGCCGCTGCAAAGCGGGATGGGGTTGCTCTGCAGCGCATGCTGGTGTGCCGTCGGTCTGAGGCATCAGAGCATGCCATTATGGGTGCCCAATGCCATCGGCATCCTCCTCTCTTCGATCCAGGTTTTCCTAATCGTGGCCTTTCCCCGGGCCAAGCCGGCGAAGCACGCGCTGTTCGAAGATGCCCTCTGGTTGCCGTTTAATTATCTCTTGATGTGTCGAAATCGGTTAAGTTGCGGATGCTTGCTGGGGGGTGGTCTCGGTCACCCTGATCGCCGCCGCAACAACTCGACCAACCCCCCGGCAGTTGAGGGTTAAGCGAATTCGGGATTATCTAGCGTCTCCCTAGTGATTAGCTGTTGAAACATAGTTAAGATGCTACGAAAACGTGCCGAAAACGTGCCGAGAATGCTGGCGTCCGCAGCAAAAATGGCACTTTGGTCATGTTGGCCGTTTGCTTTAAATTGCAGCGTCTACTTGGGGATTGCTGTGTCCTGATGTGTAATTCCGCCGCTGATGTGTATTCCTGCTATGCAACGTCCACAATGGGGTGATGTGTATTTCTCGCGACCTGATGTGAGATAGGCCCACCGCAAGTAGTTGTTTCAATTTTCTTGCTGGCTCAGACCAAGCCATAACATGCACGTCGCAAGTAGAAAGGATTTGCCTGATCACAGTCATGCGCAGCCTAGGTGATATCAGCGAAGCTAAACCGGAGGCTTGTGCTGCAGACGTTGGCCATTGGAGGGACGTTGACGATGTTCATTGCCGGAATGAGCATGCTAAACGTGGACGCCATCTTGAAGTTGTCGCGTTGATCTGGGCCGTTCGTGGCTTGATGTGCCGAGCGTGCGCAGCTGCATGAATCGGATTCGGCAAGAAGCTGGTGCGGACGACTGACTTCCTTGCGCAAACTCGCCGAAGGATCATGTGGGTGTTGGTTGGAAAGGGGTCATGAGCAGGGCCCTACACCAACAACACCTTCCGAGGGCTGCTACCCTGCGCTGCGAAATCCTCAGTTCGCTGTGTGATTGATGGAGAAAAGGTGTATGGAGACTTCGACGCATCTGCAGGTTGATGTCTCACCGATGCTGTGTAACACAGGGTGTGTAACTCTGACGCACTGTGTCTGGGTTTCTCAGGTGGAAGCCGATAGACATAGACAATCCTCAAGGTGGATGCAAGTTTGCACATTGCTTCGGGACTGGGCTTCCGTTGGCTTCCATTGGCTTCTTTGAAGGTCAACTTGCAGGTGCTGCCACTGCCTCCGGCAACTCCCCTTTGGGTTATTTGAGGAGGTACTTGCGGCGAGCTCCTCAGGCAATGCAATGCTCAAATCTTCATCATACTGGCAGTCCGGGGCGTGTCAGGGGCGAGCTGGAAGCGGCCGAAGGTGGCGCTGGATGCATACGTCTTTGCGGAGGCGACTTGCCCTCAGCTGCCTTTCTGTGCCTGGTGAAGGCCAGATCAGGGCTGTCTTATCTGCCTGCGCATTCAACCCAAGGATGGCGAAATCTCTGGCAATGCTGCGGCCTTAGCATACCCAGGGTCGATGATGGAGCTTGGCAACCGTAAGGGTGCTTCCAGCTAGCATATTTGGCCCCTCGCATCCATGTCGGACTCTCGCTAAGCATTCAATACCTCAGTGTGTTGCTATCGAGCCTTGAAGATGCAGAGGACAGAGGACAACATCCCTAGACGTCCTGGGGCAACGTCGATGGCCCTGTATGATGCTCTGGACTTTTTTGGGGCCGGGGGCAATTTTCAGAGTTAAAGTCCTCGAGCTTCCGGGTGGGCATGTGGCTGGAAGTTGCCGAAAAGTTGACTGGAAGCGATGGCATCAAACGTCTGTCAAGAAGCCACTCAACGATGCTGTTGGGGCGGCGCCGTGTCGACCAAGAAACAAGGCAAAACTGTGCCAGCCAGTCGGGCGACTCTCCCGTTCAAAGTAGGCAAGCAAGGGGCATGGTCCTACAGGTGCAATCTAGCAAAGCAACACCAATTAGATACCCAAAGTCCAACCCATGAGGCCCATACCCCTCCAGGAGTTCAGGTGGAGGCCACGGGGCCACGGAATGCCACGGAGAAGGAATGTGCTCTTCACCCACGGGAGGTGTGCAAGGTGGTGGGCTGAAACTCACGCCAAGCGCAGCTGGAAGAGCCGCTGCAGCGTTGCGCCCTTGTCGAAGCATGCGGGCAGCTGCACTGCACTGAGGGCTCGGACCCATCGCAGCAGGGATGAGTCTTGTAAACACCTCAAAAAGAAGAGCATTTGCGTTTTTTTAGGTTGCTGGGGAGTGGGGTGCTCTTACGATTTACCGTGGCCAACTTGCGTGAACATGTCCCCTCAAAAGAGAGAGTGCAGCATGGTCCGAAGCGGTCACCCTAACTCAACACCCGCCCACGGAGAGCCTCAGCGTCGACCGTTCCACACGCTGCACGTTTTATGCAGGGGCCCATCTGGAGTATGCATGGGATGCCTTCCTTTGAAGCAAAGCCATCTCAGGACCTTGCACTTCTCCTTGAGCCTGCAGGCAGTCTCCGCTGCAGAGTTGTTCACAGCAGCCCATGCAGATACCGGATACCGGTGCAGATACCAATGCAGATGCCATGCCCATGCAGATGTAAAATGTGTTGACGAGGCTACAATCCAAACCTTCCTGCGAGCCAGGCGTCCGCTGAGGAGGCAGCTTTTGAATGTTGATGCGTATGGCGGGCCAGGCAGAAAAGGTCTGAATACGCTGGGCATCAGGTAGCTCTGGAGCGTGCTGTTTGGATGGCCATGCTCCAACCTCGCCTTTCCTGCGCGGTTCTTAGTTCAATGTTCCGCATTGGTTCTGAACCGGCGTGATGAAGGAAAGCTAAACGCGAGGTCAGGACGAGAGGAGCCTCCATAGCTGGAAAGCCTTCCGAGACAAGCTGACATCAGCTGGTTTTGCGGAGGCCTGACGCGCAAGGGATCGAAAGTGCAGTAGAGCAGGATCTCGCCCTGCTGTGAGAGTTGCAGGCCTCACTCGCAGAGCTCAGATTGTACTCTGCCGAGAAGAGCGAGGCATCTTGGACCCATTGCGTTGACAGAGAGTTCCTGCCTCGCACGCGGTTCGTTTTATTGGCTTGATCTTATTTCCCGGGCTTGTCTGCTTGCGACAGTGCTCGCCCTCATTTGGCATGCGCCGCAGCTGCATGAGGCAAGTTGGAAGGAGGAGATGAAGGCCCGAAATGCACGAACCCCGATCTTGATGCGGCCACTTGCGGTTTGCCAGGGTTTGATTCGATTTGGGGTGCCAGAAGAGTACAGGGCGGAGGCCAGTCTCTGCTTGATTGTGCATGCTTGAAAGAAGATCCCCACGATCTTTGACATTGTCTGTAGATCTGGCTGGATCTATCCATGGCTGCGCGGTCTCGCGCAGAGTGGCCGGAGGGTAGCACCGCTCTGAGTGGCCCAACGCGGATCTTTTGTCATGCGCAGACATACCAGTGGAATGACGACGAGGCTACAGTGCCTTCCTTGATTGTGGCAAGCAGCTCGTGAACGCCGCGGTGCAGCAGCTTCAGCAGGACCTGGTTTTTGGAAACAAGATACGTAAAGAAGACACACATCGTAGAAGTTCGAAGATCGCCACGAGACGTTCACGATGGTTCTCAAGTATGTTCAGAGGACATCCTGGCAGCTTTGGAGTGGGAGCCTTCCAAGGTTCGTCTGAGCGCCGCAAAACTGACAGAAGCATTCATCAAACATTGGTCTCAGAGCGCATCATAGGACCCTGCTGCCGTCGAAGTGCATCGGCAGCTTCTGCAGAAGGCAAGATGAGGGGGATCCAGCTCGGCATGGCCGCGTCCGAAGCTATGCTTTAGCTCCAGGCGCGCAATGTCTGCATGGCCCTTATTGGCTTTTCTGCTGAGCCGGGGGCCTAGCAGTGCTTGGCGAGTTGAGATGCGCCATGACAAGCATTGGAGTTGTGCTTCTTGCGTTTCCTCTGCGGCAGCGCGAAGGTCTTCGGAGCATGGTGCAGGTTCCCTCGTAAGCCAAGTGCTTTGGGCTGGCTATGCGCCCCTCAGCTTGCCACAGATGCAAGGCATCGCGTACACTGAGAGCTTGCTGGCGCGGTCCCAAGAACGCAGAAGCACGTTGCCTCTTTCTGAATTCATTTCTACACAGTTCAGATTTGTTGAGGCAGTTGCCTTCCACCTGCTCATGGGCAAGAGCAAGGTCGCCCGAGTCCTGCATTGGAACAAAGAGTACTGAATCAGCTGAACAAAGGGGTTCTGTTGTGCATGTCTTTGCTGTAGGGCCTGCCTGAGATGGCTCCAGCATTCATTCTGCAGGGGCTTGATGCACAGTCTTGGCCATGCCTATTTGACGAGACCTCTGCGGGCATCGCGATGCCCTGAGCAGCTTGCGGATGGCTTGCGATCCTGAATATCACGGCGACACCATGCGACATTGCGTCCACCGGCATGACATCGCTTCGTGTACGTCGTGCTCTGAGCTGACTGGGCGGAGACGGGGCAGCTCATGGCACATGCATGCGACAATCAAGTGAAAGCAGCCTTGTACACCGAGCTGTCTCGAGCTACGCGGCCAGTGGCTGTTCAGCGCATCGTGTCCTCTTTGCAGACTCAGAAGCTGGTGGTCGATAACCGGGACGCTACGGTGGTGGTGCAGAAGCTTGGCAAGTGCTCGCTGTGGGCTAACGCTCTGGATGCAGTGATGCGGCTCGCATGGCCTGGCCTCTTACAGCCAGATGCCGTTTTGCTAGGTGCCATGGTGACAGCATGCGGGCGAGGTAATGCGTGGACACAGTCCCTTGGATGCCAAGAGCCCACGACCGCCCATGTTATACTCATTGCAATGTTGGAACTGCAGGTTTCAAGTTTGCTAGGTATCACATGTTTGACTCGACATCAACGATCTCGTCGCTTTCTATGCTAGTGCGTGTTTTGCTTGATGTGGTTGCGAGCACAGTCGCTGAGCACGATGGGCACGAACGATGGGCACGAACATGACATGAGAACAGCGCGGACGTGGATGTGGTGGAAAAGCTTGGTCACTTTGTGTTCGAATGGTGTATTCTTTGCCAAGAATTCATTATCGGCATAGCTTGTGCAGCAATGGTCATAACTCGATGATGCCGAGAAATGATTTGCCTTTGTTTTCCAACAACCACGCCAGTCGCTTTTTCAAACTGTTTTCATTCAGCAAGGCTCTAGCATTGTCTTACATGTGTCGGTGTGGCTGATCTAACGTTCATCTCTCAATCGAATCGCCGTCTTGCGTGCTGTTTTTGCTTATGGCGGATTTTGGGGCTCGAGGTCCCTTCTTTGCTTGGACTTGCTGGCAGAGTTCGGTATTGAGAAGGGGATCTTTACGGTGAATGCGGCAGCCAATGCCTGCTTGGAGAGTGGCTGGGCGCGGGCTTTGCAGCTCCTGCAGGAGAACGAACACTTGAAGCTGAACACGGTGAGCTACAACATCATGCTTGGTGCTTTCGAGCGTGGTGGAATGTTGGGCATCCGGGACTCATTGCTAAAACAAATGCAACATTGTCAGGTTCGGCCCAGCCTTGTGACGTACAACTCTTTGATCAGCCTCTGTGGAACTGATCAAGACTGGGCTGCTGCACTGCAGTATCTGGACGAGCTCTGGCGAGGTGATTTCGAGTTCCAGCCGGACATTGTCTCCTACAACAGTGCCATTAAGGTGTGCCAGACATGCTCGCAGTGGAAGCGCGCGCTTGATCTTTGCGCGGGGGTGCAGCAGCGCGCGCTGGAGCTTGATGCCTTCTCGTTCGGTGCGACAGTTGCGTGTGCAGCCAAGTCCCGGAGATGGCGCTGTGCGCTGTCCCTTCTACGGATCTTGTCAGGCACCGGGATACGGACGAATGTCGTCGTCTGCAGCTCTGCCTGTGACGCACTTGCGCAACACTGGGAGAAAGCTGTGGGTTTGCTGACCGACATGGCCTACACCGGCCTGCTGCCGAATGCATTTACGATGAGTTCTTCCATCGGTGGCTGTGGCCGTGGTCAACAGTGGACAAGACCGCTTTCTATGCTTCGTTGGCTTGGACACAGAAATCTGTCACGTCCTCCCCCTGAGGCCGTCTCTTCAAGCATGGGAGCCTGTGCACAGGCCCCGCCTCAGGGAGTTTGTATGAAGGGCCTTTGCCATGCCATCTGGGTATTCAAGGGAGTCTTTGCCAAGACGGGCAGAAAGGAAGGGCTTGTCGTACTTGTCGTAATCTGTTGGCTCCCAAAAGGCCCCAGGAACGCCACTTAGATCTGTAAGCTCTTGGGCTCAGGGGATACGAATCAGTTGTTGTGTGGGTGCGGAAAATGAAGCCTCCAACCCACAACTCACAACCATGATCATCTTTGAGCAACTTGCAGAAGCGCCCTCAGGCAAAGTGCTGGCAGGCTTCCTGCTCCTTGCTGGAGGTCCTGCGATGGCAGCCCCAGGGTGGGGGTGTCTTGGCGTACAATGCGGTACTCAGCGCCGCAGGGTCCGCAGAGGATGACATCGACGGAGCCCATGGTGCCTGGAAGTTGTCCGTGTGCCTCTTCCGTGAGCTGCTCTCGGAATCAGCGATCAGTGCTGATATCATCAGCCCCTCGGCCTAGCATGTGTTCATGGCTTGCATTACTACTGCACTCCCATGATGTGGCAAGAGAGCACTCCTAAAGTTTGCCCAGGCTTCAACTCCGTCCTGAGCGCATGTCAAGCTGGTGGCTGCTGGCCGGGCAGCCTGGCTTTGTTATGCAGGCTGCCTGAAGCCATTTTGCAGCCAGACTTTCTCAGCTTCAGCGCCTTGGCCTGAACATTTCGCAGACCCATGTCCTGGAGTCGGAGCCAGCATGGTGCTTGTCACGGTGCTTATGAGACGAAGGTGGTGTGGTCGAAGCCTGCAGCCATGGCTACAAATGGGAGGCAGGATCTTCCTTGCTGGCTGCCATGCGAGAGCTGCAGCCGCCTCAGCACCTTCTCAGATTTCTCAGTGTCTCAGCGCATCCCTCCTGAACTGTGCGGAGAGACTCAGGAGGTCAACTGTCTTCAGTTTACAGATCTTTGCACTGGCCGAGGCCGCAAAGCGACGGGCCCAACATGGCGGCAGCCTACGAGACCTTAGTGGAAGCATTGGCTCTTCAGCTGCATGTTCGGATCTAATTTCTGTTGGATCGTGGTGTTTGTTTTGTTGCTTTAGTGTGCAGAATTTGCAGAACGTGCGGAATGCTGGAGCTGAAGGAAGCGGAGGGGTCCCTTCGAGCCGCCCCTCAGCTCCTCACCGAGCTGCAGTGGCGGACGGAAGAGAGCTACTCAGCAGCCACCCACTATGGCCAGCGGACAAAACATCGCCGCCTGCGTCACGGGGGGGGGGGGCGGTTGGGTTTCCCCATGGTTGCCAGAACTTTGGCATGGTTCGTAAATGTCTTCGACTCGGCAGGCGAGCTTGTCGGAGCAGGATGTATTCTGGCTTGTCCATGCAGTGCGCTAAGCTGCTGCCTGGAATTGGTCCCTCGTGTTGGAAGGCCGTTGGCTGGCCAAGTCACATGTTTAAGGCATTGTCGTACTCCAGCGCGAACGGAGCATTCCGGGACTATTTTTCCTCTGCGCCATCTCAGGATGGTCGGGTACTCACTGAAAGGTAATGATTGGTGCTCAAAAGCACGTGCCAGTCAGAATTTCAGGTAGACACATACTGGGGAGCAAGCGTGGCCAAGTAGAGCTTTGCAAGGCCTGACCTCGGGCTTGGGCGCAGCAGAGGAGATGGCCAGAAGTTGTTGCATCAGAACTCACACCGAATCAGCCTTGAACCAACTGACTCATAGCAGCGTCGGGATGCAAGCGATGCCCATATGCCTCGTGTCGTTGTTGAAGGCCTTAGCGTCAAGTTGGGATTCAGGACACGCTGTTGCTGGACTCTGCCCTAGCCATCCATGAGCAGAGTCCTCAAGAGTGGCGAGCGCGCAAGCACGGCTAAATTCCAGGAACCTCTGTGGAAGATAGACGCTGGATAACTTCACAGACTCAGATAGACTCGATGAACGATTATTGCAACTCATTGCTCAGGCACTGCTGTGTTCAGTATACTCTTAGCCTCATATGTCTTATATCAGAAGAGCTGGTGGAGCTGTTGTCTTGCTTTCGTGGGTTGGGCCGGACCAGGTCTGGATTGTGGTGGGGGGGGGGGGAGGGGTGTGCAATATTGGTCCTTTCAGAGGAGAAGAGTTTGTTGACTTGGGAGTTCAATATTGTTTGTTTAAAGGGAATATGCTGCTGCGTTTGCATCAAACATGATAGTATCAAAAAGGATTCTTGGCAAGCATGCCTGCGTCGGGATAGCAGGATCTGTCCATGACAGAGCATCATCGCCATCATCGTCTGCATCATCAGCATCATCTATCACGGCATCGCGCTCTCGCCCTGGCGCGGCTCTTTTGGCCTCACGGGGGGTGCCAAACGCGCTCCCGCCCAGGTCCCGTGCACGTTCCGTACTCGACATCGTCCTGCCGCCTATGTCCCGTGCATTTTTCAGGCTTGCACCTTTCCGGTGAGCATTCCCCTCGTCAAGTGCAGAATCGTCGTTCGTTTTTGGAACCTCCAGGTCGCGAACTGGTGCTCTCGCCTCGGTCGAGTGCATTCCGTTCTCCAAATTTTGCTCCCGCAAAAGTCCCGTGCACTTTTTCGATTGCTCTCGGCTCGGTATTCGGAATTGTGCTCCCGCGTAGGTCCCGTGCACGTTCCGTACTCGACATCGCGCTCCCGCCTAGGTCCTGTTCACTTTTTGAGTGCCACATCATGCTCTTGCCTAGGACCCGTGCACGTTCCGTAATCGAATTCGCCTTAACACGGATCGGGTTTTCGACAATTCCTGCATACGGGGTCTCTGATTGTTTGGGGAGCGCGCTGGCATAATGATGTTTGTGTGCACATTCCTTTTGATTACCATCGCCAGCAGCAACGTCTTCACAAATAGTCAGCAAGATCGACATCAAACTTGTTCCATCAGCATCATCGTTTTGGGTCGAGAGTTCAGCATTGACATGTCGACATGCCTTCTTGCCATGCTGCCATCATCATCATCATCATCATCATCATCAGCAGCAGCATCATCATCATCATCATCATCAGCAGCAGCAGCAGCATCATCATCATCATCATCATCAGCATCAGCATCATCATCATCATCATCATCATCATCATCACCATCATCATCATCATCATCGTCATCGTCATCGTCATCATCATCATCATCATCCTCATCACGAGCAGCATTTAAATTACGACGTTTTATGTACACCTTTGTACAGCATCTTGGTACGGTGGTGTAGCATGGGAAAGGTGGAGGTGTCATTGTGGTATAGCGGGCGTGTGCCGTCGGGGCGTGGTGATGGCGTGGTGCTGATATGAGTCGCTGGAGGTGTGGTGGCGGGGTTGTGGTTGGTGTGCGCCGTCCAGGGTGTGGTCTGGTGGGTTAGTCCTGTGGTGGGGTAAGGGGGGATGGCGGTGTGCTGGGGAGTCTGGTGGTGAGGTCTGGTGCGCGAGGTGGGGTGAAGATGTTTTGGCTTCTGTGTAGGCAGGCGTGTTTCAGCAGACGACAGACTGGCCACAGAGGGGGTTGTTCTTCTGAGGCCCCAGGTGCGCAAGCGCTTGGCCATGCTGGGGCTGACGCCTCGGTGATCTCTGAGAGCATTTGGGAAGACTTCTCAGAGGGCACTTTTTTTGAGCTCTTGCAGAGGATCCCTGCTTCAGCGCTCTTCTGGACGCATTTTGGCTGCTTCTTCGCTGGAGTGCCCACCCGTTCAGGAGGGCAGGCTCTGCTTACATGTTGTGAAGAGCTAGGTACTGCCAGCTGCCTCCTTTTGGCGGCTGATGGACGTTCTGGTCGGGGAGTGCCTTGGCTGAGTGGGAGGCGCTTTAAATGGCCCTAAGCAGATTCTGACAGCTCGTCCATGCTCGTCCCCAGGTCGGCGGATCCCGAGGCCTGTCCGCATGCGCCGACACCTCTGGATGTGCAGCGTTCACTCACCTGCACACGCAGTTGCCGTGAAAGGTGCTTGAGAATTCACTCTTCACAAAATGAGGCGGCATGTGCTGGTTGACCTCTCCTTCGGAATCCTCCAGCGCCGCCTCCTCAGTGAGTTCGTTGTGGGCCCGGATTGATTGCAAGCCCTTCTGCACTCTTCAGCCTTTCGTCCCGAACGTGGGAGACCTTGAGGGGCAATTCAGTGTTCCTGAAGCATGTGACGGGTGTCAGGGGCTGCGCAGGGCAACCCAAAGCGGTAATGCAGATTGTGCCGCAGAGAGGTGATCGGGAGGCGATCTGCGCATGCCATTCTGCGAACACCCGGCTCGCTTCTGCAGAGATGGAACCTGAAAGTCCCCAAGGATCTTCGTCATCCTACATAGACGATCCGAAGTCGCAGAATTGTCTTCCTAGAATCCCTATGTTGTTGCACATCGCAGCACCATGCAAGATGCCAGGCTGGAAGTCGTGTCGCTGGTCCGAGCCAGGCTCGCCATGCTGGTCGATCCAGAGGACCTTGAGCCGCGCGCCATTGGCTGTTTTACGTTGCCTTGGTTCTTTTTGGTTGTTTGGCAGCAGCCTGGGGGCCTCTCAGCCATGCAAAGCACAGACAGCCACTGTAGCGACCTGTCAGGACTTGGTGGACATCCTCGTCCAAGCTGAGGCCTCCTTGCATATGGTGTCATCATGGCATCGTCATGACATGTTGTGCATTGTCATGCTATGGTCATCTGTTATTGGAGGCATTTCTGTGGCAGGGCTTTAGCCGGAACGAGGCAAGGATACAACTCACGAAACGTTTGGGGAGCAGGGCGTTTTGGAAGCTGACAGGTCCTGAGTATGTGGAGTGCGGCATCTCAGGAGTTCACGAGGTGCAGCTATAGAGTAGCTAGAAGCAAGCGCGCAGATCACACAGCTTTTCTGCAGGGCGCAGAGGCAAAAGGTCAAAAACAGATCTTGCCTTTGGCCAGGTTCTGTCGGCAGCAGCAGCGGCAGGTTCCTGACCCGGCGGGACATGTCGGCATGCGTATGGTCACGCGATGGTTTCTGCCAGGACCTCGTCGTCAAACAGCCGGAGTCCTACAGCATCTGCAAACATCTGCAACAAGAAAGCCGCAAGCCGTTTGCCGACTCTGAAAGCCAAGGCTGCATGCCCTGAGTCCATTCAAGCCCCTCGACAAATCCCTGGAGACCCCACCAGGATCAAGGCAGGGGGAGTCTCGCAGTTGCGCTCCTGAGAATTATGGCATCCCAAGCTGGGGGAGCTGTCTAAAGCTGAACGGCCGACCTGAGAGTCTCCGAGAATGCCTGCACACCTTGCGGCACTTCGAGCGTTGCCTGAAAGACCTGGGTTGATGAATGCATCAGAAAGCGGAAGTCTGAATCGGTAAAGCTGCTTCCCTTTCCCTGAGTCCAGTTTCCAGGGTACGTGGGCTGGGCTTTGTCAATTTCATCGCCCCAGGGTTGGTGCAGAACTTGCGGAAATGATATGGGTACGAAGAGAGAAGTGACGGCGGGAAGGGTGGTGAGAGTGCTGCCCACTTTCTCACCACAAAGACGTGAAGGCGTCTGGAGGCCCTTCCCAAGTATTAAGTCTTTTGCTTAGTGAGTGCTGCTTCACTTTTCCAACCACAAAAATAAATCTTGGATTACACAGGCAAGATGCACGAGCAAGTGTATCTACAAGTGCGTTGAGGGTGGGGAGAGCAGGTGTGGGGCCGATTTGGACTCTTGAAATGCCTGCCCTTAACACATACTTGCCTGCGAATTCTGTAGGGAGAGACACACGAGAAACTTTCGGTAGCATACCGGCGTATTGAGGGAAGTGAGGGCGGTGCAGCGATGGGGGTGATGAGGGCGGGGAGGGCGCGGGGCAAAGGTTACTTCACGATCAGGTGGGGCGGAGTGGGTGCCGGGAGAGCTGTCAGACATGCAGTATGAGAGCAGGGAGGGCGGTGAGAGTGATGAGTGTGAGAATTCCATGGACCGCGTGCCGGCACTTTTTGTCGGATTCTCCGCCTGACTTCGTTCCCCGCCGACACGCGGCCACATGCGTATATTTGTGTCCTTTCATGACGCTGGGTGCACACTTGCACATGCTTGCTACGATGATGCCTTCAGCTGGCGTGCAGAAAAGTGCTCGTGAGGCAGTTGACGACAGAGTTTGTGCTTCAATCTGCGGGGGCCTCGGCAAGAAAGGGAGGTTGCTGGTGTTTTGGTCATGCTACCAGCCGATTGACAAGCCGCCTGACACGAACAGTGCAAACCAGGGGTTGTGCAGCTGCAATGCCCAATGTGTGTTGCTTCATCCCGCACACATAGCTGCCGAATTGCTCACAAAGTGTAAGCCCTTGAAGCCTATACACTAGAAAATTTAAACTCCAAGCCTTACCTAAACCCGAAGCCCTAAACCCCGAACCTCGCCAAACAAAAGGGAGCAGAAACGCACAAGAAACGTAGCCCTAAACCTAGTCCCCAGTGCCCGAGCCTCTAACCCCCCACCCTTGAACCGCCGAAGCCCTCAACCCCAAACCCCAAAGCCCTAAACGCCGCCTGCTCGCCCCCCTAAACACTGAACCCTAAGCCCCACACCCCTAAACCCATATAAGCACTCCAACGCCAGGTGGTTCCGGCCATGCAAGAAGCTCTGCCACTCACCGACGGCTTCCCCGGTGGGGCGCTCCGTCAACTCCCGGAGGAGGGTGTAAGGCTTAGGGTTTAGGGTTTAGGGTTTAGGGTTTAGGGGTGTGGGCTTCGGAGTTGCAGAGTTTCGGGCCACCCGAGTTTTATGTTTGCGAATGACCCCGGAAGGAGCTGTTGGACATGCTCATCGGTCCCATGAGCGACACTTTCGAGCGAGCCTCGGTGCCTCTTCAAGTTCTCTGGTGATGGAATCAAGTCTTTGCCAGTTTTTCTTTCCAGAGACATCAAGAGACTTGAACCCGAAACCGTTTGAGCAGTTGGTGCACTGGCAGCCAGAAGTTTCCATGCAAAGAGACGTGTTGTTTTCGAAATGGCATTTGCAATTCAGCTCATGCACCCAGCATACCCTGCCTGTAACGAGAAAGCGAGAAAGCGCTTCAAAGATAGCAAGAGCACGACTCGCAGTAAAAGGTAAAGCCAGAGAGGGATCGCTGGAGCGAGGGCAGGGAAGGAGACTGAGACCAGCCTGTCGGCCGACACCGAGAAGCTCTGAGCAGGTTAGCCGAAGACTTCTGATTCGGAGAGAAGAAGCGTCTCCAGTCCCCTGGATTCCACCTGCTCACGGACCGGTGTGGTTTGCCGCTTCAAGTGCGCATGCGGCATCGTCTGCTTGGCCGCAAACCGGCGCGGCCAAGGAACGGCCGCAGACCTGCTCGCGGCACACCGCCTGGTCCGTCGATCCCGGTCTTGAAGTGTACACGTCCAGCCTGCCCCGTAGAACGCTTCTCCTCTCTTTCCACTGTTGGCAGGGCAGTGGGTTGTCTGTTGTTGCGTGGATGCATGAGCTGCGAAGCTGATCAATGAGTGCTGAGTTCATCGAAGCGTATGATCCACTTAGCTTTCGCCGAAGGATGCCTGCACCGTTGTTTTTCTGCTTAAAGCTAGTCGCACATGTGCGCGGACTTAACGGACTAGTACTGGCCGGTCAACTGTGATAGCCCGTGCTGGCAAGAAGAGTTGCTGCACATACGGGCTGCCCTTCAGCCCTGTGGCGCGCAGAGAGCAGAAGACCATAACGCTGTGAGTATCGTCATATTGCATGATTGGGCAGCTTGGCATTTTCAAGCTTGGAATGTCGGCTTGCATGGGCCTTCCACCATGGCTAGGACACATGCTTGATCGAGCTGCCGAGGTTGATACAGGCAAGAGTGTAGCGCAGATCGCTTCGATGGCGCGCGCCTGAGATGAGGGCTGCGTACTTCCACTTTGAACAGGCGCATGAACCAGAAGTCAACATCTCAATGGCATTTTTCAAGCTAGTGGGGCAAAGTGATGTCGTGGTGGTGCGGCGAATGTGCCCACGTCTTTTCGGCATGTTTCCGCAACAGAACGTTTAATTGTGTGGCCTCGGAACAGCTCCAATATTAGTCATGATCTTCCTTCGTCCTCAAACCCCCCAAAAAGAGTACCGTTGTCTACACTTCTGGTCACAAGTTCAAGGCCCAGATAAGGACGAGACAGCGCCTCGCATCTGAGGTGGTGTCATCTGCCCTTGGCCTGAGCGACAAGAGGTCTGAAGCTACGGAGATGCCTGACGCCAGGGCCTCGGGATTCCCACTCCGCGTGAGCCAGCTTGTTAAGTGTGTGCCTCTCATAAAGTCATAAAGGCTCCCTAAGCGTTTGCCAGAAATGACCCGGCTCATGAGCAACAGTTCGACGACCTCGTGCGAGGTGCGACCGTGGAAGTGCTTGGGTTCCTTGCCGGAGCCGGAAAAGCTGACTTTGGAGAGGCGCAAGCAGGGGATTGTCTTGCAACAAGTTGCGCCGTGTTGTTGCTTCTCTCATTCGCGCCCAAAGACACGGAGGTTCACTGTGATGCTGAAGGAGAACTTTCCAGGTCCGGTGCTGTTGAAGGGAGAGCGCTCTAGGATGTTTTGGGCCATCTTTCAAGCCAAGGCTGGCATGAAAAGGCCGAGGACTGCAGAGAACTGCAGCTGTTCCGGTCGGTTTCTGCTTTTCTCTCGCGTCCGTGGTCGATTCTAACCAGGAGCTCTTTGCGGCGTTTCGCTGGGATGCATGGTGGTATCCTAAGTCAGTCGAAATAGTCCCTTCTACAGAGATACATTCAAGCCACACGGCTTGTGGGATGTGGCAGCATGCTAAGAAGACAGCATAGGTGTTGATGGCTAGGAGAAGTACTTCAGTACGTGTGTCAGACATCTCCCTGTTCAAGGGCAACCGAAGCTGTCTTCGACAATCACATGAGCTTGAACGAGCCCTGCCGGCTCGTGGCACATGCACCGATTCATCTGTGTCTTTCGTGAGCTCTTTGAGCTGTGTATAGCAGGTTCTTCATCGTTTTCATCTGCTGCTCGCAAGGCCTTTTGCCTTTGTCATCATACCCAGAGCAGTTCAAAGCAGTTCAGACCTTTGCAGGCAGCGTGACGGACAAGGCTGCAGCCCTTTTTGACTTGTTTGCGGACTTCCCCAGGCTTCGCAGCTTCGTCAAACTCGCCAAGACTTTGCTCGACTGTTCTTGTAGACATGTCTGTGGCCAGGCCAGATGCTGCCGAGTCGTACCCCCACCGGACCGGCATTTCCTGAGCCGGATGTCGTTGCATCGTGCGGAGTTTTTTGGCAGGATTCCCATCTCTCGGGTGGCTGAGCTGGCAGCCGGTGGTCCACCAGAAGAAGAGGCCTGTTCAGCGCCCGCTCCGTCCCCTGCCGCGGAAGCACGTGCAAACGCTCATATAAACACGTTTCAGGCCTTGGCGGCGCAGTGCAGGGCCAGAGCCACAGCAATTGCCAGGGATCCCTCAGACCCAAGTGCAGCTGCGTAGTGTTGCGTAGTCTACAAGTTTAGCCGCCGAGTGAGCTCTTTCCCCCTCAAGAATAGAGCTGAATGGAAGCCCTGCACGGAGCTTGATCTGCCTGTAGGCGTGCGGGTCGCTCCCGCCGCCGCAGAAAAAGGAAGCTGCTGCGCTGGAGATTGAGGCGCTTGCGTGTGCTTTCTACAAGGAGTTCGGATGAATTAGATTATGGGATGGTAGATGATATCCATCATGTATAGATTCGCGTAGGGAGGGAGCTGAACTTGGTCAGGTCTGGGCAAACGAATACGGCGAGAAGCGAGCTGCTTAAACTCTGCCAATTGCGCTTAGCCACCTGTCACCATGTCTGAAATTGTTTTTCCCATGCCCAGGGCCGGTGTGGTCTTCGTGCGCTCCTTGTGGCCGTTTGCCCGGCCAAGTCCTGTACTGGAAGAGCAGGAGCTCTTGCGCAGAGGCTTTCTGCACGTTTCTAAAGCACCTTCCTCAGACATCCCAGAACAAGAAAGCCGCCAGGCTCTCATTTCTACATTTGGGCAGACACGGCCGAGGCAGGGGAAGTTTGATCATTCTTGGAATCTCATGGGCTTTTCAAGGCATAAAGCGTGCGGCTCCTCCTATTTGTCATGTAGGTCCATTCCCCGCGATGCGTGGGCGAACTGTACCTGGGCATATCCTGGACTCCGAGGACAGGCGATCTAGACACAATCGAACCCATCCAGGCTTCATGCTCCAGCCGGGAGAGAGCTACACACATCTCTCCAGGACAAGCAAAGTTCCGGACACCGGAACTTTAGTTTTATGTCAGTGGCTCGAGGATGTTCAAGCCAGCACACCCCCCCCCCCCCCCCCCCCCCCGCTCCCCCGCGCTGCAGTTGCACCGTGGCCTCTCAACCCCCAACCCGGAACCCTAGACTTGCATAAGCATCCCGACATCATCACCCAGGCGTTGGCGGCCTCAAGCTCTTCAGTGTCGAGAGGCTCTCAAGGCACCTTGGGATGATCCTTTGGAAGTGCGTAGGTTGCTTGGGGTGGGCTTTTGGGATTCACGAAAGCTTTTGCTTGTGGGAGTGATCGTTTCACAAACCATCCCAACTCGGAACGATCTTTTTAGGCCAGGGGCCTGTGATTTTATCAATCTAAGGACACACGGGGAGCCCCCTCACCCCACCCCCCCTCTCACTCCCACCAGGAAGAAGCCGAGCTTCGCGCTAGGTAGCCCGACAGAATAGTCTCGAAGCTCAACCTCTCCACCCTCTTGAGTCGTACAGAATTTCAGGGTTAGCAACATTGGGGCTTCAGGGTTATGCTTTGGGTCTGGGTCTATGCGTTGGATGGCTTGTGTCATGCGAACTTGGAAGCCACCTGGTCTGCGGAGGCCCTGGATGCGTACAGTGGTCTATGACAAAGACACTGGGCCATAGCAGGGGGTGAACATGAGAGCTCTCGGGAAGACTTTTCTGTCAGGCAATGTCTTCTGCAACGTAAGGACGGTCATCGAAGGCACCCAGTCCTCCATGGGCATCAGAGCATCGGGCAAGAGGCTCGCTGGAAGACGTGTGGTGTGCTACTTGAACATGAAGCGGTTTTTTGTCGGGTGCACCAAAATTCGATGTTCATTCCTCCTGAAATGGCTCTCTGAGGGTTCTCTCTACCTGCGCTGGCCAGGACGGTCTGCTTCCGAGGTGGGCGCAGCACTCCTTTGCAGCCTCTATGGCCTGGGCTCAGGAGGTGGAATGTGCATCACTGTGCACCGTAGAGTAACGCTGCATTCGTATCAGCCAATCTTTTCTCTCTTTCGCCTCCGAAGCCTCTTAGGCCCTAGGCCTTCTTCCCATCATTTGCCATCCCTCGGAGAAGGCTGCCCACTGGAACGCAGACAAGCAGGAGTGGACCTGGGCTTTTGCCTCAACGCTTGAGGCTGCCTGAGGCTACAGAGAGCACATGAGATCGCGCTCCCAGGCACCGCCTGCCAACCTCGTGTCATCCAACACAGATCTCGTAGTGGCTGGTGGAACAGTGGGCAGCCGATTTGCTGGGGTGGGACATGCACTGTCAATCACTGTCACAATGTGGCTCATGCCCGAACGTTCGTGTTGGCTTTGTGAGGTCCTACCTCCTCAACGACCGGGCAGCCAGAAGGCTTCTGAGGGGCTACAAATGCCTACAGTGATTTAGAAAGGATTTTGACCGTGTCATTGCATACCATTTGCAGCCATGTCGAGCATGGAGGTCGTGACCCTGCAGAGCTGCCGGCTGATCGCTGATGTGCTGTTCAGGACTTTGGGAGGTGTGCAAGGTCACTGATTCTGTGGCATCCTGTGGCATCCTGTGGCCGTTTGCGACTTCAGGAGAGGCTGCGCATACCTCTCAAGTCGCCAAGCGGCTCAGACTGCTGACTGCTGCTTCCACAGCTTGGTCCCAAGCTGTATGTCACAGTGCACACCACCCCAAACTGCTTCGGTCGGCGAAGTTCCAAGGAGCTGGCCTCTGTGCTGGCATACTAGAAGCACTGTTGGTGGAGGGGGAGGCCGCATGTCTCAGAGTCAATGGCCCGTCAGGCTATGCATTGCCTTTCTTGGCCTGCTTGGACAGGAGGTGCCGTCATGCGGCATTTCACAGCAGTACTGCGAGAAGCACGGCGCGGCCCTTAGTAGCTTCCGTAGCATCGCAAATTTCCCTAAAGCTCAAGGTCTGTACGTACTTCATGAATTTTCAGTACGTATGTTTTTCAAAGACTGTATGCATGTCATGTAGTGGATGACAAGGTATGGTCTTAGTTGAACCATGTGCGGGCAGGGCTGGGCGGAGTATCTCATGCTTTGCATGTTGAGGGGGATGGCGTTGAACGTTGAGTTTAGGAGTTTCAGGCGTGTTGACAGCAGCCGCCGGTTGGGTACCACGCTTGACCAACTCCCCAGATCCAAAAAGGCCTCTGTTAGGCCCTTGCCACGTAAAGCCCAGGAGGCGAGCATCATGAGCATCAGCTGCCCAGGCCCTTGGCACTTAGAGCCCAGCAGACGAGCATCATGAGCATCAGCCGCCCAGGCCCTTTGCCCTTTGGCACGTAAAGCCCAAGGGGGCGAGCATCATGAGCATCACCCGCCCAAGCTCTTTGCGACGTAAAGCCCAGCAGGCAAGAATCAGCATTAGCCCAACAGGCCCCCCATCCGAGCATCATGAGCAGTCTTGTCAGGCGCTACCCGGCCAGCTTCTTTTCTTCTTATCCCTGATTCTGTGCCCAGAGAATGGGACCCTACAGTGGTGTCAAGGGCCCTGGGCCTCCCAATCCACTGCCCCACCCTTGCGTGCGTGATGTATGCAAAGCCTCCGGCAGCAAACATCATCTACACTGCACTAGCTCCGCGGATGCTGTGCGTGTCCACAGGCCCACGGGCAGATACTCCCCGATGCTATGTCATGTATTCGTGCAGATGGTTTCGGCAGACTCGGCTCTGATTCATGTCTCTTTCTGTCTTGAACGCGTTGACTCAGGTCGATCCTACGTGGACATAAGTGCGTCTATTCTGTTGGAGGCGGAGAAGCAGATGTTCGAGTGCGCCAAGCTCAGATATGCAGTTGTGACGGCAGAAGCTTGGCTTTAGCATTGAAGTCATGGCATGTTCTGCACTCGGGTTTGTGAAGGCACCGGCAGTCTGAATCTTTGGGAAAGAGCAGATAGCATGACAACAACCTCTCTGGAAACTCTGCCCTCGGCCTCGGCATGCTGTTGCAGTATGTTGCAGTATGGTCTTGTCATGGCGACCCACTTTCAGGCAAATACCAGACCCGTTTCCGGACTGCAAAAAGCTGCTCGCCCTACGATACATCCGCCGGGTGCTCATTCTGCTACTGTCTTTCGTGTTTCTATATGCGGGTTTGCCACAATAGGGGACCCCGAAATAGACCCCAAGTAGTAGGATCCCCTCAAAATAAGGACCCCACTGAGGTACCCCTAATATCGCAAACAGGTTAAGTTGCACGTGTTTCAGGGGAAGAGGGGGTACACTCTTGCACTATGGCAGTAGAGCAAAGAGGACACACTCCCGAGACAGCCCACAGAGAGAGTCGTAGACTAAAGTTGAGCCGTAGTGTCCCAACGTAGAGCCTGCTTCTCTGGGTGGGAGAACCCCCCCCCAGATGTGGTGTGTTTTGATGATGTGTCTAAGGGGCCGGGGACGGAGAGCGGCTCCGGGTCATCCTCGAAGTGGATACGGACGGCCAGATCAGTCCCGTTCAGGAGCCATGCCAAGCCATGCCATCGAAGTGATTTGAGAAATCTGTGGAAAGCCTCGTCCCCGGCAGATTCCCATGGATTCATCATCATACGAGTCCCTTGCGCTGAGCAAGAAGGAGCGTGTGCCTTTGTTCACTGCACTTGCTTGAGAGCGGCGATGTTCTGCTCGCATTCTGCGCCCGCTCAGGTTCATCTCTTGCATACAAGCATTCCCATTGCTGAGCGAACCTCTGCGACGGTCAGGGCCAAATGCAGTGACCTGAGCCCACTCTCGAATTGAGTAGCCTGACTGTATGCTTTGACTGAATGCTGTGGAGAACTCCATTTGTGATGCACTTTTCGAGGTGCTCCCAGGACAAAGACAACGGAGCGTTGAAAAAAGTGCCGAGCCGGCAGTGGCCTCGCTGCTTTTGGGTGCAGAGTTCGTGCTTTCGAGACATTTGGTAGCATGTTGCTTCGTGACCAGTCCTCGAGCCCAGGTCCCAGCAACTTCAGCTCCAGGACGATCGCCACTCTGACCATCCTGTGGACTAGTACCTGTTCGCACGTCGCGTCACGAGGACCGGCAGCGGAGCTTATCCAAGATGGATTTCGAAGGACAAGGCACATGAATCCGAGTGATCGGTAAGCTTACCCTTGCACTGCTACGCCATACTACACTGCGATACACTGCGCGACGCCTGGAGGAGCCCGCTGATGGGTTCCATCATGGGCCTACTTGGAGGCGTAGGCTCGATGCTTTGCTGAGCAGTTCGGGTGCGTCCGAAAGATTCCGAAAGGCGCTGATCCTTTCTTGCCTTCATGTGCTAATAAGCCCAAGGGAAAGCAGATGCTTTGGCCCTCGATGTCATAGTCGCCCGGAGCCTAACCTGACATGACCTGGCCAAATTCACTGGCAAAGCACAGAAAGTCGAATGGACTCAGACACGACTACAGCGCCTGTCGCGGAACAAATCCGAGCTGGAATCGCAGTTCGCAATTCGACAGAGATCGCATGTTCGTAAAAGGAAAGCACTACATCCTCGGGCAGTCCGACGTCACAGAAATCCGTGAAAGACAAAGGATTGTGCGCTTGCCGAGATCATGAGCACAGGTGCAGGTTAGGAATTCTGAGCCGACTCAGAGCTTGATCCTCCCAGGCCCCTGCTCTTTGGCGACCTTCTGAACCAAGCAGGCCTGCCATGGGCGATGGTGCCTCATCGCCATAAAAACCCAACGGCCAGGTCCCGCGAAGACGCCGCAACTGGCTCGCCCCTCACAGTGGGATCCTGCGACGACAATTCGACGTCAAAGCCAAGATTTTCTGGCTGAGTGTCGGAGGCGCTGGAAACGGCGATGGATGGCGGAGGACATGGCGTGAAGGCGGCCGGAGTGACCGAAGATGGGAAGCTGTGGAAAGTGGATGCGCTGGATGCCAGGTGTTCCTGAACGATACCTTGCGAGACTTCCTGGTGAAAGTCCAAGAAGCTTGCTCCAAGTCCCAAACTCGGCTGACTTTGCATCCATGGGGTGTCTGGATGTCCATGGGTGTTTCGACATCAGGCTGGGCAGAACCCTTGCAGGACAGCGCGTCGTGCAGGCGCGCTTCGTGCGATCCATCGCTTGCGCGATGCTGTGGCGCCCTTGAGGTGGAGGAGTTAGCCAACAAGTACAAGTGCGTCAACATAGGCGGGGGGAGAGTCTGAGAGAGCACATGCAAAGCTGCAAGCCGGCCGGGGGCCCAAACTCCCTTCGAGGCCCGGAGCACCAGGTCTTGGCCTTCATGCCCGATGCCAGCCCGGACCCCAAGGACACCGCTTAGAGTTGCCTCTGCTTGGGTATTGAAGGGATGATTAGGGTGTTTGCAGGCTTGGGGGTCTTCAGGCGTGGTGTGTGTCGGGCAGGGTCGAGAGTCGAGGGCAGAAGTTGTACGATGACATGATATGTCATGTGCTGAAGCCGACTCTGTGGCTAGGTCTTTGTGGCTTTTGCGGTTCAGAGGTGCCACTTCTGAGTTTTTGCAGGACGGGCTGGTGGGGTTGGTGCGTGCCCACGATGACCGTGCCAGCTGGCATGCTTTGGAGAAGGACGCTTGCTGCAGGTGTGGGTGTTGCCAGTCGGCACGGCATGGCACAGCGCTGCTCCTTGTTGCATCCCCGATTCGTGTACTTCGTGTATTCCTTCGCCTGGGTCCACTGTTGTCTTCAGTCCTGAAGTCCAAACGCATCTTGGCCCATTGGCAGGACCTGACGTTTCTTGACTACGTCGCGGCTTTCTCCCGAAATAAGTCCATGCCGCCGCTGGAGACTCAAAGAGCCAACGATATCCAGAGACTCCGCGCGGATCAAGTGGCGGTCGGCGCGCTGCAGTTTGTTTTGTCAGTCCTGTTGGGCCTCCTCGTGCGTCGCTGTGTCGCTGGAGGTTTCTCAAAGTGGTACGGCTACGGCCCTGGCCCATCAAGAAGATTGCAAGACATTGCAAGAGTGAGTGTAAGCTGATGATGATACACATAGGTACAAGCGATCAGATATGCCATCTTGACACCACCCTGTTGCAACTCATCCTAGTAACTGCCTCAGGGCAGAGGATGCCGGTACCGGCGAGGGAGGGCGAGCAGAGCGCAGTCGGCCCGTGCTGGCAGGCTGCTGGTTCATTGATGGCCCCCTAAGAAAGTCGATGCACGTTGTCCGCATGCTTGCAGGTTCCATGAGCCCTGCTCGCCGCTGGAGGTTTCCGACCGCATGTTGGACTTGTCTAAGTTGTGGGGCCGGGGGAAGAACAGGCCGAGTTGGCGATTGCACCAGCACCTTGACCAATCGCACGAGTGGAGGCCCCCCACATCGAGTGCACACTGAAACTCATTGCCTACAAATCCCTGTCAGGTAAATGCTGGGGTTTCGGAGAGTCGGAGGCACCCTAGCATGTGAAGGCACGCCACAGCTCCTGGATGTTTGGCCAAACGCAAAGATCCGAAAAGACATTAGCAACTCCGAGGCTACGGACTCTTGAAAACGACTCGCTGCTGGACGGGCTACTGTACTGTACTGTGTTAGTGCATCTAAAAATGCTCCGACTTCAGCTGCATATGTATTCCGATTTCTCGGTCAGGACGGCAGAACATCGGCTTTTCCGGCAGAGACATTGTTTATGTCTGCAGTGTGTGAACATCCACTTGTTACAGAAGCTATTGATTCATGATATCCACACATCTAGCAGACGTGTACAAAGCTGGATCCGGGTCGAAACTGACCTAGCTCCCATCAAATGGCAAACCTACACTGGCACTTATTCAGATTCCTCCGAGTTTAGAAGTCCAGTGGAGACTTGTCAATCCCAATGTAGGGGAGACCGGCGAGAAGAAGGAACAACTCGGATGTGTTCCGGAGATTGTCTCCATTGAATGACCGAAAAAGGCAAGGGATACGACCAACACTGATTGAAGCCATACATCCCTGAATCGTATTGGGAGAAGGGGGGAAGGGGAGAGGGGAGGGGGGGGGGGGGGGGGGGGGGGGGGGGGGGTTGGGGGGGGGTGGCTATCTGGAGGGGATGGGGGGTGGGGGGGGTGTGGGGTTGGTACAGGTGGGGTGGTTGGGGGTTTGGGGGGGGGGGGGGGGGGTGGGGTTTAGGGGGTGGGTGGGGTGGGGTGGGGGGGGGGGGGGGGACGGGGGCGGGGGGGCGGGGGGGGGCGTTGTGGGGGGCACCCTCCAACCTAAATCTTATATTACGATGCCCAAAGGCCTGGTCGTGTTCATCATGAATATATTCGAATCATTTCAATGGAAGAATTCAGAACTTTTGAATCCTGAATATTCATTATCTTGATCAGAAATATTCATTTTCAATGTCATGATAGCTCGTCCATCCATTCAAAAAAAGGAAGGGAAGTAGAAAGCCCCGAGAGCATCCGGAAAGCAATTGTACGCGCCCGAAAGCCCATCAGGACAAGCAGCCTAGATCCCGAAAATCCTCAGAATCATTTCGTTTTGTATAAGGCATGGGATGGTACTTGAACCCTTTGGGACGGATTAAGGGTTAGGTTTAGAATGTCCGGCTCGGGATTTTGGTGACTAGCTCATAGCATTAAAGTAATAACCGGATATGACAAGTCACAAAACACCTTTTTGGGTGGAATCGCCGGGCCAGGATTTAGGGATTAGGCTTCAGGGATCGCCGGGCCAAAACAATAAATTCCAATGAGAGACAGGCTCCGAATAATATGAAATAGGACCGCAACGTTTCATTCGCAGAACTAGCAAATGCACAACGCCACTTAAAATTTCACTTGCGGTATCTTGCGGTTCATGGTTCGCAAGACCTGTTGGCCTACTTCTTTCTCTGCTTCAATCTCAGAGAGTCTGTAGATAATAAATGCCAGAACAGCTACCATTTCTTGAAGAAACATTAGGTGCCTTCAGGTTTCAGGAGGTTTAGGGCCTATCTTAAAATCAAAAAACAACATTAGAGAACCTAAGCAGTCTTAAGCCCCCATGCTAAGTCTGAAGATCTTGTTAACTTGTTAGTATCTTCAAATTTAGGTTGGAGGGTTAAACTTTTGGCTTTCAGGCTTAGGGAAGCTTAGGGACTATCTGTGAGCTAAAAATGGTTTTTGTCTGAGCGGCTTTTGCGCCTTGAACGTGACATGAAAATTCAGGCCTCTGGCAACGGTTTAAGACATTGGGAGTTATCTGCTATCTTTTCGGGCCTTGGACGCTAGTTTGGGTTTTTTTTGGACTTGTTGTCCATGTAGCTTCTCAGGGCGACCCTCGTCCTGGATCCATTTTCCGGCACCCATAGCCTTACCCCCACCAAGGTAACTAGCAGTTCCAGGGCTGCAATGACCTTGTTGGGGTCTTTGCAAGGAAGGCCCGGGGTGCCCAATCCGTCTTCACTCAACGAGAACCACGGTCCTTGGCACAACCCCCAGGCTTTCTCGCACGCAGAATGGCTAGGGGTTCAGGAAAAAATCCAGGATTTTGAGGACTACAGCAACTTTGACAAAATACCTTATGCTTTCGGGCATTTTCACAGGTACTGAGGTACTGCTTTCGGGCACCGGCCCAAGTGGCACCCTCATGTTTTTCGCACCGTACACAGCCAGGGCTTCAGCAAAAGCCTCTGCATTTGGGACTTTCCGAAATGTATGCAAAACACTGTTTTCAGACCTGGTTTAGGGATAATATTTTTTAACTTAAGGGGCGACAGGCCAGATGCTTTGACTTTATTTGCTGCTAAGGGCTAAGGGCTAAGGCTGAGGGTTTCACAGTGTCACATCGCAAACGGCAAGCGATTCAGGAAGAATCTATGGAGTCTAAACACGGGCTCAAACGGTTTCACCTACACTGGATGTTGTACATGATGTAAACAACGGAAGTTTGGAGAAAATGCTGCCCTCAGACGGCGCGTGTTTTGTTTGTACTTCCTTGACTTTATCGGGTTTAGGTTTAGGGTATAAGGTTTGAAATTTTCTCACATGTTCCTTTCACAAGTTGGGTCATGTGCACCATCATGCTTTTCCTAATGGAAACGGCCAAGGGTGTTTCTCGAGTATCATACTGGTATTGTCCATTTGGTGTCCCTAACCTCCAAAACATAGACCCCGCATGCTGTGAACAGTCCGCAACTGCAAGCAGGCTCGAGAACTGACGATCATGACTGTTGAAACATCTCGCACAGCAGCACGCTTTTAGCCACATGATTTCGCGCAGCAGTTGCGTTGTCGCTCAGCCTCGTTGTGATTTCAGGATTTGCACCACGCTATGTGAAACAATTCTTCGATTTCTTCCCAACATAAGCAGGAAAGGTCAATCAAGCATTTAGCTGAACTGGATTGGGTTTCCTCCGATAGTAAGGAGAGCGCCTGTCGATTATTGGGCCCGACTGCCGCATTACACCTCGCTATTACACCGTTGCCTCCTTTCGTCGCCATGGAACTGGCAACCGATGCGACAGCTCAGCGACTTCTGCACCAGCTTCTTTCTGAGGAGCATGGCGAGGCCTGGCGTGTCTTTCGCTGTCCCACATTTGTGGTTGGTAGGGTATAGAATGTATACACTGTCTGCGGATGTCTTGGGCTCCTTAGTTCAGTCGCCGGGCAGCATGCTGGCCCGTGCTTGCAAATTTCGTCATAACGTGTGTGCAGCGGTGTCGCGTGCAGTCTACAGCAGTTTGCATGCACATGGTTGTGCGCATCATGGGCTCACGTATGCAAGCCTTTGTTGGCGGTTGTTTTCAGCCCCGACAGGTGCTAGCGCAATGGATAGGTCAGCAGTATTTGTTTTTCTGATGACAAGCACTAGAGTCACTAGAGAACAAGGCATCAGTGTTCTGTAGCAATCTTGTCTGATGACTAACATGCACCTTTGCAGGTGCTCAATGACGCGATGGCTGTTTCCTCGCCTGGAGCTTAGTTGCGCAATGCTGCAGCGCTGCAGACTTTTTTTTATCTCCAGTGTTACTCGACTTTTTACAATCCAGTGCTAGTGTGTCACTTTCCGCTCAGAGTACCCTTTTGTTCATGGTGGTTTTCTGATGCTTGCCGGGTGTCCGGTTCCACAAGGATGCCCCCTAAGCTCTTTTTTCCATATGTGAAGAGATTGGAGTCATGAGTCCAGTTCTCTTCCGGGGGGTGCCTGAAGTTCACTCTGAGAGGCTTGTATTCCCGGGTGGATCATGCTGAGGGGAACGAAGAATGGACAGAACCAGTCACAAACAAAAGCATGGAGATCGACAGTTTCATATTTGTTCGTCGCCATCAGAGAATGACAATTTTGACTGGGTTTCGGAGTGTTGAACAATTGAACACTCCTGTCTTTTGGTGAAAGTCCCCACTTCCATTCAAGGCCTGGCCAGCCTCTCCAAAGTGAGCTCAGGACCCGTGACCTGCAGTCCTCCGACGAAAGCTTCGAAGGGTTGCAGCCGCCATTGACTTCGTCCAGGTCTTAGCTGGTTTCCTGCGTTGCAGTTTGTGAATCTCACTTGAGTTTGCAAAACTGAGCGCATGATGTGCGATTGGCCCCAGGCTGGGCGCTTTGCTCCAGAAGGTCGTTGAGCAGCAAGAGCAGTCATCTGGCGCGATTGCTTCCCACGTTGCAAGCCTGGAGCGACAGATACGCAAGCTGCAAAATCAGATTCTTGCCAGCACGAGTTCTCACCACTTAAGCTGAGAGCTACTGAGAGCGAATTCTGCAAAAGCTTGTGGGTCTTCTTTGCCTATGCCGTTCTTGGGAGTTTCTACGTGCAAAGATCAATGCAGACATGACGGAGCCCCACCCCCCGCCCACCCCTCTTGAAACGACAGCATGTACCAGGGCATGATTTGGGAGGCCAGGCGGGGCGCCGCCCCTCTTCGGGAGCGCCACCAGTTATCTTGAATCGTATGTATGCCACCTCCCGACTTTTCTTGGGTACCTTGCTGTCCAGGGGCCACTTCTGACAATCGAGAAGGGATGGATGTTTTGGCAAACCCATGAGGCAGAATCATGGGCAGTGTGTTCCAAGCGAGGTATGAAGTCAAGATGCAGAGCAAGGCGAAGAGAAAGCGCTTTCTCACATCGTCTTCCACAAGCCCCATCAGTCCAAAGACCAAGAAGAAGCAAAAGGTTCAGGAGGCGTTGTCTCCAAGGCTGCTGCTCAGCTTATTTGAGAGAACCTGGCACAACTTGGTACATGCACGCGCAGGGAAAGCTAACAGTAGCGCCGCCATCAAGTGAGCCGCACTAGAAGGTAGACCGCCCTCGTGGAACGAACGAGGTGCATTGAGAAAGTGCGCCGGAACCTGGACTGCGAGTTCTTCAATGTGGCTGATGAAGAGAACGTGGGTGACCAGCAGGAGTTTTTTTTTTTTTTGCGCCCCTGTAAGGGGCGCCTGTGTTTCTTGACCACTTCAAAGACGGGGTGGCCGGCTGTGGCAGTTCTGCTGTCGTTGCAAGTGTGGCTAAGGATGATGGTGAAGTCTGTCAGATTCTCTGAGCCATAAAGTTGAAGGACCAAGATGTCTGGAGCATTGACGACTGGAGCGGCTTTGAACCGGCTCCTCGTTGATTGTGCAGGCCAACACAAGTCGGGTCTTGTGGTTATGACCGGCTTAAGCGATGCGTGCGTAGCTAGAACTGCTCGTCAGCGCAGCGTTCTGCGTTTGATCACACTGTAAGGCTTGCCGGTGCTCAGACTCAGTAACTGTGTGACGACGCCTTCAGATTGCAGCCATTTCAGGCCCATGTACCCCTCGTTCCCAAAATACGCAGAGCTGCCCCCCCACAAGTTTGCTGCCTGTCGGCATGCCTGATTTGCCGATATTTGCCGCCATGAGTGTTAAGCCAAGGCTCCGAAATCCCAGACGGAGATGGAGGGTCCGCATGGTTGCCACGAGCCTGTCGAGCTTCTCAGCTGCAAAATGTTCCAACCCCCCTTTTCCCTTCTGTTTTAAGGGAAGGGCAAGGAAGCTGACGGCAGGCGAGTGCGTCGTGATGCTGGGATGGCAGGTGTTGCAAGATGTTGTTTCATATTTTTGGCCTCTGCTTCAACAATCTGGTTCAGGGTTCAGGGCTGAGGTTGATTCTTCTCTTTCTTCTTCTGACCTGTGCCCCGAGTTTCACAAAACGAGCACGTGTGTGTGTGTGTGTGTGTGTGTGTGTGGGTGTGTGTGTGTGTAACGCTTGAGCCGCTTGGGGCTTTGGGGGCTTGCAGCAGCAGAACAAGTCGACAGTTCGAGACTGGACCGCCGTGGCGGTGTGTATCTGTATTCCGAGCTTGAATGTTGTCTTAGATTTACAGTGCACAATAGCATATACGTAACGGCAGCATGCACCCGAGATCTACTGAAAGACAAGCCTAGAAAAGCACCCCCTGCCTTTGAGGGAAAGTCAAGTTCCCCGCTAGACCCACAAATCCAAGATCATAAAACATCCCAGATCCTGTCCACCATGATGTGGAAGTCAGCCAGGCAGAATTAATAAGTCAAACCTGGCCGCTAGAAGGAAAACAATCGTCGCCATCGCGGACAATGGCGGTTTGGAGGTGCGGAAAGTTGGCGGAAAGCCTCTGCGCGCAGCATGTTATATAGAGTCTTACACTCCATTTTCAGTGATTGAGGACACGATCTCCTCGCAGTCGCTGCCACGGAGCTGCAGCTCAGAGGTCCGTTTGTAGCTTGGGGGTTTGATGGGGCTTGTGCTCAGTAACTAAAGGTGTGGGTTTCTTGGAGGTGAAGTGAACTATAAAGAACTGGGTGATGAATCCAAGGGTGTGATCAAAGACATCTATTAACAGAGGTTGGGTCTCAAGGTGTGATGGGTGCTGCAGTTGGACTGGTCTCTAAGCCGGTTAAAAGGACCATAAGACCCAGGCTTTTAGTACCCATTCTAAGTCAGAGAGAGATCAACCATTAGCAGGTCTTAGAAGTTTGTTAACGGGCCAATGTTAATGGTACTCTATAAGGCCCGTTAAGAGAACTATTTCATTATATTGCCCGGGCACTTAGTAATTCAATAGAAGCCCGGGGTAATAAGATAATAGAAGTGAATGAGTGAAGAGAACATAATATTAATATTGGCAATGAAACGAAGTAAAAGCACGCAGTATTAATATGCTGTGAACGCAACATGAACAAAATACGGCGTGCAGTGAAAGAACTTATAATCCGCACGCCACAACATAAGAAGAAAGAAGATATGAATTATAGTGCAAAAGGTGCCTTTAAATGATTGATATAAAATTGGGGCCCCTTTTAACACACTAATTGTAAAGGGCGTGCGTACTTCTTCCTATTTGATTACACGCCCGTAGAATAATAGTAATACGAAGAGAATACAGTGAATGCATTAGCGAAGCGAACGAATGTAATGCATGAACGTATGAACGCAGTGGCACAGGAAACACACTAATAGAATGAACGATGGAATGAATGACAGGACGAAAAGAGAATGAAGTAAGAACCCCATTAAAATCGTTTACAAAGTTTTACAGGATTCATTAAAGGATTTCGTGAAGACAATCAGGAAGGCATGAACGGTGCGCCTTTATGATTTACTTCTTATGGCGCACTAATAATACAAAAAACTAGTGCTGGACTCGTCTTTGCGGCAGGCCTCGGCGACGGCGTCTTCCCAAGCAGCTCGGGGACCTAGTGTCACACGTCTTAAGCCGAGGATCCCAGCCATTGTTCTCGAGCTTGTTCCGAGGTTGGTGCTGTGGCATGGGATCCCAAGGGGCTGCTGTGGCATCTTGGACTGCTCAGGTCCTTAGACTCTTTAAAGTCCTGAGTTTAGACTCCTTAAATTCACGGTTGGGGGCCGCTGCTCCCAGAAAATCCTCAAGCACAGCTCTTTGAGTACTCCTGAGGCCAGATTTGCTGCCGTGCCTTGATGTACCTTGTCTCAGAGACGAGCGGCAAATATTGTACATGTTGTAGATACCATGTTGTGCGGGAATTTTGATGCAGTCCTTCTGACGTCCGGGCACTTCTACAGCTGCAGGTGCACGATTTGAAGAGCTGGCGCCAGATCTCCCAGCAGACAAGGAGCCCGAAGGCGTGCAACTTAGCCGCTAGCTTTCCTGAAAGAATGCTGCGCAAACCCGCAAAGGAAGATGACATGATAAGCGTACTGCCTCCCTTCGCTTACTTCTTGACTTGGAGATCCCGGATTGCTGATGTGAGCGTGACCGCGCCAGGCCTTGCTAGAGCACGTGGCCGAAATGGGCAGCATTGACAGGCCTGAGAGACATGGGCATTTCGAGCCACTCCACTTGATACGGTAGCATGAGCCATGCACTCTAAGCACGCAGGTGTCCTGCCCTGTGACACTGCAGGCCTGCAGCACTTCTTGCTTTTCACCATGCCGGAGGCGATCTCGAACAGCGGAAGCAATACGCTTGCCTCTCGACGAATTTCATGATTCGCAGCCAAGGCGTCTGTCTTTCATCGTCTTTCTATGCCGCAGACTTTAGCCCTGCCAAAGCTTCTTCAATCTCAGGTCGTGGTTGGTGTTTGGGCCTGGCACTTGTCCGATCAACCCATTTTGCTGAAGCTGACGCACGCCGCATCGTCGAGAAGAACCTTCGAGACTTGCTTTGGCACTGCCGTGATGCGGATGCGTCCGTGCGTGAGGCTGCGCACGGGGTCCTTGACCTGCATGGAGTGGGGGGCCTCCCTTTTGTGCAGCAACTGATTGCCGAAGACATGCTCGGCCTGATGGAGGAGTTGTTGTTGGAATCCGACGACAACCTCCAGAAGGTGCTGGACTGCTTGCATCATCTTAGAAGTGTCGTTCGCTCACTTACCAAACTTCAGCGACAGCAATGGGTGTCCATCTTGGTCAGAATCTTGCACCATGACATTGCGCACGATTGCCAGAAGGAACTAATTGGAGACCTGCAGATCCTTTGGCTGATTGACAGTGATCCCAGCCGAAGCTTCGCAGAAGCAGAGAAACAGCTCTGGAATCTTTACAAGACGAAGATCACCAGTCCAGATGTGCATTATGATCTATTTCAAGTCCTGCGTGGTTGCTGAAATTCCGATCGTCCGACTGCTCTTCAACAAGGCACATGAAGTGCAGTGATTCGAGACAAGGGCTACGACGCTGACAGTGACTAAGTCACTACATCCATCTCTGCAAACAGGCATTCGAATGTTGCACCAAGCCAGATGGAATTGCCAAGCACATCACCTACGAGCATGTCGTACACAAGCAGTTGTACTACCCCGACGTCGTCGACTACATCAAGCAGCTCAAGCACATCTTCCACATCCATGTTGAGCTTATCAAACATCCGCGAGCGGCTGCATCATTTCATCTACGGACATGTCATTCATCAACAGCAGCACCACATGACACCGTTGACGTCGTGAAGCAGCGCAAGTACATCTTCCACATCCACATCGAGCTCATCTTCAACATCGGCATCAACATCAAGCTAGTCCACGTGCGCAGCAGCACAGGCACATGGGCTACGAGCATGTCATCCACAAGCAGCAGCGCGAGATAGTGTGTTCGCCCAATGAGTGCTGCAGTCCGCTCTGGCTCTGGTGGAGTGCTGCCAAAAGCTGTGCAATGCTGTGCATCTGTGCGCTGCAGCGGTTCAGAATGGTTCAGGCTCGCTGTTCAGGATTTCAACTTTTCAACAACTTTGCGGGTGTTGCTCAATGCTATCCAATACGCGCCATCCGGACCTGTTTTCATTACGTTCGTAAATTCACTTATTCACATTGTTCTCTACACTCTCTTTTCCTTATCTTTACTGACTGGTAATACCCCAAAACCCCCCTTAATTATTATATTCGTGCGTCACTCACTATACTCACGAAAAAGGAATAAGAAGAATCGAAGATTCCTAAATATAAAGAATCAAAAATGAGACGAAGCTCCGATTCAAAAAACATTCTGATGAGCGAAATCTACTCTATAAAACGCTACGGTCAAACCAGCCCTATGCGGTGCGTCACGCCTCGGAGTGCCCCAGCCCCAAAATTTTCCGGAAATTTCTGGACCCCGGCGAGCAAGCCGCTTTGGCCTACCCGGGACCCAAAATTTCCGGGAAATTTTGGGGCTTGGGCTGTGCCCTTTGAAAGGCTGGGCCTCTTCGACGGCCGCAAGCCGGATTCGCTCCCCTAAATTTCTGGAAAATTTCTGGTTCCGGGTAGCCCGAAGCCTCGGTCCCTAAATTTCCGGAAAATTTGCTTCATCGCTTTCCTAAATTTTCCGAAAATTTACACACCCAAAATTTTCAGGAAATTTAGGAAACGGATGCAACCTGATCATGTTCAGAAGCCACGGCCCAGCTCCCTAAATTTCCGGAAAATTTAGGGTGTTGGGTGGCCGAAAATGTCGAAGCATTGTTGACCGCTTGAACCGTTGAATTCAGGTGTTGATCATTTGCCATGTTGTTACATGCTTTCATTGCATGCTTTCATTGTTTTCAATCGTGCTTTGTTTTGTGGCATTACAAAGCTAAAATATTAAACAGGACTTTTACTTCACTTCCAAGATGAGCGCATCACCTGGCATTACCAGGATATTACGAGCGTGCTTTGTTTTATGGTATTACAAAGCGCATTACCTGGCATTACCAGGTCGTCGTCGTCGTCGTGCGTCGTCGTCGTCGTCGTCGTCGTCGTCGTCGTCGTCGTCGTCGTCGTGCGTCGTCCGTCGTGCGTCGTCCGTCGTGCGTCGTGCGTCGTGCGTCGTGCGTCGTGGGTCGTGGGTCGTGCGTCGTGCGTCGTGCGTCGTTCGTCGTCGTCGTCATCGTCGTCGTCGTCGTGGTCGTCGTCGGGTGTCGTCGTCGTCGGGCGTCGTCGTCGTGCGTCGCTCGTCGTGGGTCGTCGTGATGCGTCGTCGTCGTCGTGATGCGTCGTCGTCGTCGTCGTCGTCGCGCGCGTCGTCGTCGGCGTCGTCGCGTATCGTCGTCGTTAGCTTGTGTCGTGCGTCGTATGTCGATTCTATAAAATGTTATGGTTAATTTAGATTTATGTGGTACGTTGTATATCGGGTTGTTGCAGCCCTAAAATTTTACGGGAATTTCTGGTTCTG